ACCACATCCCTTTTCAAAGCCCAGTGGCTGTACAAGCCTGGGCCACTGTTGCGAAGATTTCTATGTTTTTTATTCAAAAGGGGATATGTTGAACATGAAGACAATATATGATAACCCTATCAAATGACAGAATGAGGGGGACCCAAGATTGCATTTTAAAAGGTCTACATGATGATTATCCTACCAATGGGGGATCCTATTTTCACATAGACCCATGCATATGTGTCATTCAAATGACAAATTCACTTGTTGGTATCTACAGTGGGAATCAGGACAACGTTTTTGGAGCCAATGTTATCTAAGTTTCATTCTGGTCAATATTCCCATGCATCATGGCAGTGGAATATCAACCGTCTGGATTCATTTACCATCTCCAGTGAATAGTATGGTTTCCTGTATAGTGTTTCCCTCAAATCAATTGAAACAAAGTTCATATCATTTCCAACACCTGTTCTGGTAAACCAAACAGGTCTAAAGCATTGATACTTGCTGTGACTTATGCTGACTCGTGCTCCTGGGAACAGGAGTAGCCAACGCATATATATATATATATACATACAAATACATGCATACATAGGAACACCACCCGGCACAATGCACGGTGTGACCATTCGTTGGACTGGTAAGCAGCCGAGCTCTGAGACTTGGTGCAGCATGTTTCTAGTGTTGTTCCAACTCTGTTGATCAATACTCATGCACATTCAGCCACCTAGTGATCTACTGCCTATACAAATCATGCAAATAAAGTGACGTGTGTGTATGTATATCTATATATATATATATATGCTCATATTAGCTACCAAACCCTGAAAAGATAGGAAAGTAATTCATCACTTTTTCCGTAGGAACTTACTTGTCTAATCTTGTCTATCTATTTTTTTCGGGTTGCTATAATCATAATCCCCATTATATCCCTATACATCCCCACTATGTCCCCACTATACCCCCATTTATGAATGAATATATATATATATATACACACACAACATAATCATCCTAAAGTAGAAACAATATGGGATGTTCGAATATATTCCTATTTTGGTGGTGATTTTTGAACAGCTCCATATTCTATCTACTCCAGGATGAGACTAATATAGAATACATCCATTTCTGCTGGTCCAAAGAAATCCAATTATGTATTGGGGATATCAAATAATACAAACAACTATATGTGTATATATATATATTCATACAATGCGAAAATCATCAACTCATCTGCCAGCGTATCTCATGTCGAGCAGCGCGTCAGCATCTTCATGGTGCTGCTGGGAGGGGCACGTGAAGCGTCCTCCACCTCTGGGGCCTTGGTCGTGATGGAAATGGTGATTTGTTTGGGGAAACAATGGTGGTTTAATGGGGTTTAACCAACAAAATGGTGATTTTAATGGAATGTACTCTCTGGTAATTTATAACATAGCTATTGAAAATTGCCCATTTAGAGTTTGGTGATTTCTCCATAGCTATGTTAGTTTACAAAAGAGGGTAATTATTTATGTTGACACAATTAACATCAATTAAACCATAGTAGATGTGAAGCCTAGTGATCCAGGCTTTTGGATTTAACATTATCTGTTGATGTGATTTAACCAACAAGAAATGGAAGTGAATGTGATTTTTACCACACACAACATAATGATTTAACCAGCAACAAGGGGAATATAACCAATAAATATATATATATATATATATATATATAAGTATCTGGGTAAATTATAATATTTCACCAACCTGAATTAAGGCCATTTGGGGATGATTTCCCTTATTAACCATGATTTCCAGTGAGGTCGCAGTGAGGTCGTTATAATTTACGCATATATATATATATATATTATGCGGGTATAGCTCGTGGCATCATTGGAAAACAGGTTTTTTTTCATGGTCGTTAGTTTGGCGTATACGAATGTCCTGGGGGTCAATGATTTCAGCACCATGCTGTTGGTTAAGAATTGAGGGTAAATATCTTCAAGCCAGACCAAGCCATGTCGAACAATTTCTTGAGGATAATATATGTATATAAATATATGTATATAATCTATTGTGATATATTGTGATGTTTTCTGCGAAAAAGCATCGAGATCTGCATGAATAAGTCACAAGTAGATATCAACTGGGACAAATTAGGATCATTTTGGTTCATCCCAGAAAATGGATAGTTTGGTAATTAAAGTCTAGTGCCAACAGTTGCAAATTAGTAGCCATTTCTGTTGGCCTCATTATTCCGGACCATGATGTCCCACCTGCAAGGGTCTGTTGGTATACCATTCATATCCATTCACCATCCTTCACCTACTGTTGAACCCACTGTTGACCAACCAATGAAAAAAGGACATCCGCAATGTGGGTTGGCCCGCTGAAGCAGGTGGTAGCAGTGAACCCGTCACGGTCACCACGTGTTAAGGGCCATGCCGGCCATGCCTGGATCTTCTGTGGATGATTCTCCCTTGTCTACCGAAGATTGTCGGATGTCCCATCAGATATCCATTATGGTTGCTAGTGATGTCCAGAAGCCATTTTGGACAGACCATGTATGTATACGTACATCTATATTCTATATCATATCTATATAGATATATACTGTATATATATATATATATAAATATAATACATAATTATATACGTATATATATATATATGTGTGTGTATATACGTGTATATATATGTATATATGTGTATATATATGTATATATATATGTATATATATATGTATATATATATATATGTATATATATATGTATATATATATACAGATTATTGCTACATGACATACATGTATGCATACGTGTATATATATATATATATATATTGCACTGCCTTGCTATCATCATTACTATTTCTATTACAATTCCCATGAAAACAAATGAATAAACCAGACTTCAACTTACTATTACATACAAAAAAACTGCATGTTATCACTACCAAAGTACCAACATTCGAATGACTTTGGTAGATTCACATCCCCATTGCAGCCGTGCAGCTGACACCCTCACCGGGCTCACCGGGCTAGGGCTCACCGGGCTGGTGGGTGCCGCTGGGGCTGATGCCACTGCGGAGGGCGGGGCGGCAGGGCCCGGGTCTGCGCTGAAGGCTTTGGAGAGGACCTTTTTTTGGGCGATGGAGATGTGTTTTTTGGAGGATTTATAGGGGATGATCATGGGATATGATTATGAAGGATTTTAGATTTCATAGAGCGAGATGAGGCAAAACATGAATTCACCCCCCTGGTCAACTCTGGTCTGCCTGGAAAAGTATGGAACATCGCCATTGTTTAGATCAATCATGATTTTGATCATCATTTTGATCATCTTTCTATGGGCCATGACTTCCATAGCCAGAGGGGAACATCATTTAACCATCCAAAATGGGAATAGCGTGGGAATACTTCTACAATACATTGCAGAGATATCAAGCATGGCTAACTGGGAAATTACTGCACTAAATGGAGATTTACAACTAGGAAAGTCGGCAAACTATTGCTGATGCTTCTCCAGTAAAACCATATTTGGCTACCGGAGGCTATAAGTTCCGGGGATGAAACAGTCATGACTGGTGAATTAAGCAACGATGGAGAATCATCAATTTATGATAGTCGCTCAGTTTCTAACTCCCCCTGAAAGTTGTAAATACCATAAACATCCACCCCCAGTGAAATATACATATAGTGAAATACGATAGTTACTATAGTGAACTAGATCAACTGGCTATCCTTCGGGGGCCCACGTTGTAGTGATTTGACCATGAACATTGGAATTGTCGAATTTTAGATTTAAAAGTTGTTTGGCATGTTTTTGTTTTACCAATGGACATGATAGTTTGATCCGGGAAAAATTGGGGTGAAACTGAACAGATGCCAACTGAATTGTGGATGAAAACATGGAAGTCGGTGAGGTCACTAAAATCTAACATGCTGGGCTGGGATTTGACTGGTCAAAAAGTGGATTCTGACGAAGAACATAATTGACTACTAGAGATAGATATTTTACGACAACTAAGAAGATGGTTTTGAATCAGCACGCATTGGGATTTGAAGCACCAAATATATACCAATAGGGATTTGACGAGGTCAAACAACATGGATTCCAACCAATAAAGATTTGCACAAAATCTGGGCAGTTCATCGTTGTGCTATATGATTACTGCATTTTTCATAGACATACACCATGGACAGGCCCGCGGGGATCGACCTTCACTGCTGGGATCCGATAGGGGATCGTAACCCTATGCCCACCATGACTGGGGTCCCATGAAACTGGTGACACCTGGTGACCTTGGGATATCTTGGGATGGTTCGGTTGGATTAATCACATGTTTTACTGACTTAAAAACTCACGACGACCGTGAGGAGCCCGTCCCCGAGGGGGGCCCCGAGCAGCGTCACTTTTTCAGACTTTGCGAACGCGTTTTTCAGCCTTTCCGAGCCACCTGGTTTTCCAGTGCTGCTAAAACTGGTCTCTTTCAAGCGATCTGGGATTTTGTAACGGACCCAAATCACCGCATGTTTCTTGCGAAACACATGCGGAATGATGTCAAGTCATTTAAGAAATGCCGGAGTTTCATGCTAGTTGCTAGTTGCTTCAGACATACAAAAGCACCAATATTTGCCTATGATTGTCCTGCAACAAACTAGCATAGGTAAATTGCATTAAATTGCCATCATTTCTTTCACTATCCCATGACATATATGTCAAATTTCACCACTCAACCCAACCCTTTGAGCCCTTTCAGGACATGAACACCAATATCACTAGGGTTTATAGTTTCCAGTAGACATAGGAGGTTTCATGAGGTTTCCCAAAATGGGGGTACCCCCAAATCATCCAAGACATTAGACCATTTTAGTACTGAAACAACCATGGTGACGTGGGGATCCCCCATGACTTAGGAGACCCCCATCATTTTCGACATATCTATAGCTGCCATAATCTGAAACTCCAATGTGTTTCAAAGGCATGTTTGCAACAATGTACATGCACAGGTAAATTCAGGTAAAGAAACACCAACTTTCAGGACATGACATCATCTCTTCCTCTCACTTCCTCCGCTCGCTGTAACAGCTCCGCCTCCAGCCCCACCAGCCGTGCTGAGGCCAGGCTCCCCACATTGCCGCCAACGAGCCGCTGCTCCAGCGAGGACCGCGTGGAGTCCTTCAGCTGTGCCACGGTCTCCAGAGCTTTCAGGATCAAATCCTCAGATGTTTTTGTTTATAGTTTTTGGGGTGAAAAGCCTCCGTTTTTTCGGGGAAAATTAGATTTTTGGGGTGATCTTGTAGGTCTATGGGTTGGAAACATCCCCAAATATCCACAGTGGGAGGTTTTCTGGCGGTGTATCCCACACGAATCGAATCCTGAGTTTTCGGGGTGATAATTTGGAGGTGTCCTACTTGAAATCCCACGAAGATGCAATACCCATTGAGGCCTCAATAAGATCTAAGATCTATATAGATCTATGGGGTTAGCCCCAAATCATCCAGTGATAGATGACTTAGACCATGACTTAGATCGACTCCTGAGTTATTTTGAGGGGAAACCATGTGGAATGTGGAGATGCGTATGGATTTTGATGGGTTGGACTGAAACCATCCCTAGGTTGGTTGGTGTTTAAAGGATATTTGGAAAGACTGGGATCATAGATGGTTTCAACCCCCTGAACATACTGATATTCATGCTCATTCTGGATCATCATTCTATCTGCGTTTGTCTGAAAATATGGTACCTCCAAGTTAATCATAAGTTCCCCTAGTATATATAGATGGCTATTTTATGCATATATTGGGGAGGGAAATGAACAAAAACTACACCACCAACCAGATCTCAGCGTCGGAATACTTGGGCTCGGGCCATCCTGAAAGGGACCAGAAAATCCCAGTGACTCATGGATTACCAATGGGTTGTGGACTATCACAAGTAACTGAGATGGATAACATGAGTCTCGCAAATGACTTTCAGTGGGTAAGATAGATATACAAATCAAAGCAGATTCAGGCGTTTGCTAAGAATGAGAATAATCAACATTACTGTACCCTCTGGTAAACTATCATAACTATGGAAAATCATCATTTTTGATGGGAAAATCCAATATTTCTATGGCCATTTTCAATAGCAAACTGTTAGTTTACCAGAAGGTAACCCAACAACAGCAACAACAACAACAGCAACAAGAACAATGGCCATCAAACACGTGGCTCAAAATCGTTGACTCGACCCGTTGGGATGTCCACCCGAAGTAAAGTCCAAGTCAAACAAGAGCCAATGACGGTTCAATCCCTTTGGGAGTTAATATATATATATATACACATATATATATACATATATATATATATAGTGTAATCATTATCATATTGTATAATAATAACAAATAATACTATTTATAGTAATTTAATGGCAATAGTAATGACAAAAAAACATACACTAACAAGAATCATAACAACAGTTGAAATGACTTGAACACACTTATCTTAGTTGGATTCATCGTCCCTGCCTTGCAGTAAAACTTCGGAAAGCCAACGGCGTAGCTTCTCCAGGTCTCTTTCGTCAATGGCCTCCTGCAGGCCCTTCTCGGTGTCGTCCTTCGGTACAGGTGGCGGCTCCCGTGTCCCGCGCGGCGGCATGGTGGGCTCCGGCGCGGGGAGAACAGCAGTGGGTTTGGCCATGGCCATGGACTTCCGAGCTTTGTCCACTTTGTAGAAATAGAAGCCAATGCCGATCCTCAACAGCTTCAGATTGTTGGAAAAATGGTGAAAGGGGCTGAAGAAACATGTTTATCGCGGCATCATGGATAGAGCTGCTTGGGGACCCTCCAGTCACCTGGCACTATTGATGCTATGGATGTTTGAACTGCTTGAATACTAAAAAGATATAAGCAGATGTTGTGTGTCCATTGGTATAGTACCCCGTTCTTGGCTCCCCAAAAATGGGAATTTGATCTGGTTTTAAACCTCATAGTTTCCATACAGAAAAATCCATGGGCCTTGGTGGCAATTCCACCGGCAATTCAGACCTACATATCATACCAAGTTCATGGCGACTTTCATTGTGTTTCATGTTGTATAGTAGAATATGTCCATGACATATGTCCATGAAATATCCCTATCATAATATGATCCAGATGAATTATCGACAACCAATAATAAATGTCTAAACAACTATTTTTGACAAATGGTCATATCCCTACAGCAAAAACGGAGAATCCAAAGGCCCACGGGATCCTGGATCCGCGTGGAACCACTTCGGAACCATCGGGGAAAGCTGTTTTGTTTTACCCAGCTTAGTGGTTGCTGGTTACAACCTGTCCTAAAAATATGAATCATTGTAGGAATGTATCATCCAAAAATATCTGACATCTTGTTCAGAAGTATGTCAGAAGTACAAATGAAGCATTTTAAACCACCAGAAGTAAATCAGATTTACCTGGACTCCGGAGCATCTCCGCGACGGGCCAAGCATCAACGAGCAGGTGCAGCAACAACTCAGCAAGACAATCAGCACCACAATACCTCCACCAAGTCCTTCCCGAGCAGAACCAGTGCCACCAGTGCTGGTCGCAGGGGTTGTGGTTTGAACTGAAGCCAGTAGAGTCAACTCTTCAACGACTTCCAGGCCCAAGAGCGAAGCCAAATCCCTGCGATTTTTTGTTTTTATGGCTATGAGTCAAACCCTGGTGCCCGGTTTTGGTAACCCTGAAATAGCTGGCTAATTGCTAATTGTCGAAGGAAGTTTAGAAGTCAAACTTCCGACAATATGGACAGATGAAAAGCAGAGATGGAAAGATTAGAAGAGAGAAGAGTAGAAGAGAAAGAGTCAGAAGAAACAAGATGCAGATGCGCGAAAAGGTGGGAAAGTCGCGAAACACTGTGTTTTTCCAATGATTTGTGGCTCCGGAGGGTCGAAAAGTAGGCTCGCTAAAGCGGCGGGTGCGGAGCTAGCTGGCCAAATGAGAGATGAAAAATTGCACGCCCTTGTGGCCCAAAGCACATTTCCAAGTCAAAATGTACAAAACACACCAGCTTCGGACCACTTTCACTAGTTGAGATGTCGAAAAAGTGCACGCCGTTGTGGCGCGAAGCACATTTCCAAGTCAAAATGTGCAAAACACACCACTCTCGGACCACTTTTGGAAGTTGAGATGTCGAAAAAGTGCACGCCGTTGTGGCGCGAAGCACATTTCCAAGTCAAAATGTGCAAAACACTAGGGGTGCGGACCACTTTTGGCAGTTGAGATGTCGAAAAAGTGCACGCCGTTGTGGCGCGAAGCACATTTCGAAGTCAAAATGTTCAAAGCACTAGGGGTTCGGACCACTTTTGGAGGTTGAGATGTCGAAAAAGTGCACGCCGTTGTGGCGCGAAACACATTTCGAAGTCAAAATGTTCAAAACACTAGGGGTTCGGACCACTTTTGGAGGTTCAGATGTCGCTTCGCTTCACTACACTACATTACACTACAGTACACTCCACTACACTACACTACAGGACGTTACACTACACTACACTCCAGTACACTACATTACACTACACTACACTCCAGTACACTCCACTACACTAAATTACACTACACCACACTACATCACACTACACTACGCTCAACTACACTACACTACACTACACTACACTACACTACACTACGCTACGCTACACTACACTACACTACACTACACTACACTACACTACACTACACTACACTACATCACATTACACTACACTACACTCCACTACACTACATTACACTATACTACACTATCTTCCACTACACTTCACTACCTTACACTACACTACACTCCATTACACTACAACTACAACTACAACTAAACAACTAGACTCCACTACACTCCACTACACTCCACTACACTAAATTACACTACATTACACTACACTACACTACATTCCGCCACACTCCACTACACTACATTACACTACACTACACTCCGCCACATTCCACTACACCACAGTACATTACACTACACTACATTACACTGAATGACACTGCACCACAGATAGACAGGCAGACAGACAGATAGATAGATAGATAGGTAGATAGATAGATGGATAAACAGATAGATAGATAAATAGATAGATAGATAGATAGATAAATAGATAGGTAGGTAGATAGATAGATAGACAGACAGATAGATAGATTAGATAGGTAGATAGGTAGGTAGGTAGATAGACAGATAGATAGATAAACAGATAGATAGATAGATAGATCGATCGATCGATAGACAGCCAGATAAATAGATAGATAGATAGATAGATAGATAAACAGATAGATAGATATATAGATAGACAGATAGGTAGATAGATAGGTAGATAGATAGATAGATGAATAGAAAGATCGATAGATAGATAGATAGATAGGTACCTAGACAGATAGATAGACAGATAGGCAGATAGATAGAGAGATAGAGGGACAGTTTTGAGCGATAGATAGATGGAGAGATAGATAGATAGATAGATAGATAGATAAATAGATAGATAGATAGATAGGTAGGTAGGTAGATAGATAGATAGATAGATATATAGAAGTATAGAAGATAGATAGATGGCTAGATAGATTGATAGATAGATAGGTAGATAGAAAGACAGATAGACAGTTTGACAGATAGACAGATGAAAGAGAGAGAGAGAGATAGATAGATAGATAGATAGATAGATAGGTACATAGATCGATGGATAGATAGATAGATAGATAGACAGACAGATAGATAGTCAGAAAAAGAGAGAGAAAGAGAGGAGACCTCAAGCACCTTTCGATCCATCAGTGGATTCGCTCTGCCATCCCGGATTCACAACAACCAAGCTCTCCTATAGGTTTCCTATTTTGAAACTTCCGCCACCGCCTTGTGCGGTACTACTGGTAGGCTTTGACAAGTTTTGACCCATCCTCAATATTCAAACCATGCTGATGAGATGAGGTGGTTGGGGAACAGTGAATGCCGATGCCCCCAGATTGTCATGATAGTCACTACTTTCCCTTCCAAGACAAATGATTTCACCTATTGGTTGAATTGAACCTGTCAAACTTGGGGGCGAAGTGGGATCATCATGGATATTAATGCATGGATCATATAGCAAACCAGTCAGAGTTTACCATGAACATCATGAACATATCACAGCCTAACAGTTCTTAATGGCATGTGGATGCATGTGGCTGATACGCCACCCTTGGAAGGCTTGTTTCTTTTGAGCTGTGGGTCTCGGGGTGGGGTGGGGGTGGGGATGTGTTAACGTTCCTGCAAGATGTCTTACGTTGTTGATGTTACGTTGAGAACAATAAGGAATGGATGAGCCAGACCGGCTTTTGGGGTTCACTGTTCATGCTTGGAAGGTAACAAAGAAATGTCGAAAGGACGATATCCAAAGAAAATCATGATTTCGCGATTCTTTCTTTAAGAGCTCGAAGAGCGAAACACTTTTTTTTGAACTTGAGTCACACGCCTGCCAATCGAAATGGATGTCCATGTTTTGAACAAGTCCCACAAATACCAGCGTTTTATGTCTTAGCCTCGAAAATATATTTTTTAAATGCGTCACCCTTACAAGGGCGGCGAGTCAGCCGGCTGCCTTGTTATATATCCCATTTAGACATGAAAAGTATCCCAATGGCCTAACCCCTGAACATGTTGACAAAACCAGCCTGATATTGATCACACCAGTGAGATTTGCTGACAAACGCCTCGCTGAAGTTGTTGTGTTGTCTGTGGTGGATGAGAAGTCCGTTGTTGATGTGTCTGTGTCCGTTGTGTTTTCAGTTGTGGTTTCTGTTGTGGTTTCAGTTGTGGTTTCCGTGGCCGAGGCTGCCGTTGTGGTTGCCACTGTGGCTGCGGTTGTACTTGCTGCTGCAGTTGTACTTGCTGCTGCAGTTGTACTTGCTGCTGCAGTTGTACTTGCTGCTGCAGTTGCCGCTGTGGTTGTTGCAGTGGTTGCCGCGGTGGTTGCCGCGGTGGTTGCCGCGGTGGTTGCATCTGTGGTGTAATGAGCATGTGCCGGAGGAGGAAGGATCACGTCCAACCTGATCAGGGGTCTGCAAAGCGCAGAACAAATCGAGGGGTGTTGATGTGATTTTTATGTAATAACTAGTGGTTGCGAGCCAGAAGAAATACTATGTATAGCCAGTGTTGATCAAGCATTCTGGTACTGATAGGACATCAAAAAAGTACTTACAGCTACCAAAGCTTCAAACAAAAGGTCACCAAAAGGGGCCGATCTATATTGTACATAGTTAAATATGCATGAATTAAAATATATTATGCAATATGAATATGAATAAATGTGATCAATGGTTTGCCTGAACAGCTTCCTTGTTTCTGGTAAAAGGGTCCCAACTTGCAGAAAAACTGAATCTTTCTAAACATCGCTTCAGCGACTGTGTGTCGACATCAGTGGCCAACTCCAGTAACTCAGCAGAGCGATTCGCAGTCCGTTCAGTGGCATTGTCAAGACCAATGGCATAGATCGTTGCCTCTGCGTTGGTCACACCGTGCACACCCATGGCACCCATGGTGCGATGCCTTTTGCTCGATCCACTCTTAGTTTACGGGTACCTCATTGAGCTACCCCTAGGTGCACTAGTTACGTTGATATGTTCCCCACAGATGGCCATTTCGGGAAAGTAGATCACTTTTGAAGAGACCCATTTCGGAATTCAAAACACAGCACTCAAAATTCAAATCAATTCAAGGATGCATTATTTGGGATTGCTAGTTTAATACATTTTATCAAGCTTCATTTGGTCGATTTTATCCGTTCCTCAACTCCCTTGGTGAAATTACCGATGGTCAAATGCTGGGAGTTGCTTCGATTGAATCCTCACAGGACTGTCCTGCTGAAAAACGAGAGAACATAATGTTTCAACTTCCAATTATATAATATAACATAATATAATATTGTATGATATTATTATTCCTATTATATTCCTTGCTCGAAAGACTACAGCTCTCAATGCTCCATCTTCAAACTCTTATTGTTCACCTCTAACTCTACAACAACGTACAAGACCCGCCCTCTCCACTGGCCCCAAAGTTGCGTCCTCCTTTTCCTTCAACTCCTTCGCCACCTCCATAGTGCTCCACCAGTCTGAGGCACTGCCATTGGTCAACAGCAGCACCGCCGTGTAGAGGTCGGCCCACTCGTTACCTCAGCGGCGTCATGGTGAGATCTCCCAACAGTCCGAAATCGTCATGTCTGCATATATCTCAGTTGATGGCAATTTATGGCATGATCATCTATCATTCGTATTGTATTATATTATAGTGTATTATATATCATGTTACATTATCATTACATTATATTGTATTTTGTTATAATAAATTAAACTATATATTATATGATAATAAACTATATTATATACTAGAATATATTATATTATAAAAATTAAATTATATATATTATCTTATGTTATATCATATCATATCATATCATAACAAATGATATTATTATATTAAATATTATTATGTTATATTATGTTACATTATATCATATCAAATCATATCATATCATAGTTTATCATTATATTATATATATACTATGTTATATTATATCATATAGTGTTAAACCAATATTACATTAATTTATGTTATAATATTATATTAATGTATATTGTATTGCATTGTATTGCTTCAAATTACATTAAAATATATTATAGTATATCAAATCATTATATATATATATCATATTAAATAATTCATAAATCTCAAGCAAAACCTGTTGGGTGCAAAGGGTGTGGTTCTCGAAGTATCTTCCGGCCAGCGAGGGCACTTAGTAATTCTCAACAAATGGGATGATGGGCTATACCTTAGATAGCCATACCTAGACCCTCCATACCACCCAGAGAATATCAAAAATGCTAATAGTATGGCAATTGATGGAGTAAACACACAATTTTTATAAACTTGGAGAGTCTAAATTGATGTATTAATAGATAAGGTCATGGTAGATGACTTTCCAGGGATCCGAGTACCACCTCAAGTCCGCAGGCCGTGGTGATGTTGGACACTTTTGGGAGATCAAGTGGGATGGTGAATAGCAAAGACGATAATCACCGAGTGGTTCATTAGTTTATCATAGTTTAACAGTTTAGTTTAACATAGTTTATCCCAATACATTGGAATCATGCTGTCATGAATTTCCACACAATCAAAACACAAACAACGCAAACAGATTCAAAACTGACAACAAATCTATACCCTCCAAGTAATAACAATATGATACAAAATGTGAAGGTTTGGCATCTTTTACCTATCTATGTGGGTAGTTGGAGGGTCTGGGAATATCTAAATCTTCATAAATCTAAGTAAGTTATAGTATTTCCCTAATCTGAAATAAGGCTAACAAACTAACAATTGGGAATATTCCCCCCATATTTTTCCACCATCATTCCAGGATAATCTAAATCTTCATCCAGTTGCAGATTTGCAAGGCTTCATGGCTATTGCGAGGCAACACAGAGCTGGGCCAGGAATCGGGAACGCTCGCAGAGAAATTCATCTCCCAGTCAGGATCTTGAAGTTTTCTCTGAAGCTCCGAAACATCATTGCTAAGCTCAATCCTTAGAAATATACGCACATCTACAGATCTACTAGCACATGTTGATACAAAATGGGACTGTAGCTAACAAAATGTGGACTTCACAGGACTGAACCAAAAACAAATTGAATTTAGCCAGCTAAAAAAAAAGGTTTCAACTTCCCACGAATAAACATAGGATTTTATCATAACCAACCACGGCGGGGACTGCACGAACAAAAAACATGGTCGGATTTCACCAACGCAACAAACAAACATGGGTGGCATGGGGAATTGAACCAACAAAAAACTGTGAACATGAACCAATTTCATCATTTGGACGGTGGTTTCATATGTGGTTTCAATCCCCCTGAAAAATCTACGAAAGTTGGGGATCATCCTCAAGCAACGTTGGCCCATGCTGATCGCCACACCACTTGCGTATGGGGAAAAAAACTATGACCCCCAAATGGTAACTCATTGGGTGTGGCTTTACTCTAGGGCTTCACAATCTTCTCCAGCAAACCGCCGTTTCCCAGAAGCCTCTGATCTTATCTTTGTCACTGGAATATTACATGAGAGACACATAGATACACCATGTTCACTAGCCAAATAAATAACACGTATTCAAATGACATATCAATGAATCAACAAATAGATTACCCAATTTCTGTAAACCTCCAAAAACAAACACATGACTCAAACTTACGAAAAACCCAAAAAGATCATGTGGGTAAAACAATAAACCCATCCCAAAATGCCAATAAATAGGTGCTATAATGCATTCCCAAATGGGTGGTTTATCGCCTTGTTTTACCCACATCATATCATTTCTTGGGTTTTCAGCCCAGCTGCGGGTAGCTCACGTTTTCATGGAAGATCACCACTCCGAAGAAAAGGTGCCAGTCGTCTCCCGCCTCCTCCGAGGCGTTCCCAATGAAGTCCGCCGCAAAGCCTTTCCTAATCGACGAAAATGGGCTCTGAAAATGGGCTATCTTCGACTATATATCCATTCTGCTTGGTGGGTTTTAACATGTTTTAAGCATCATGAAAAATATATGAAAGTCAATGGGAAGGATGACATCCCATATATGAAATGGAAAATGAAAAATGTTCCAAACCACCAACCAGCATTTAATGGTGATAACATGTGATAACCAACAATCAATTTTATTTGGGAGGACACTATTTTCTGACAAATTCACATAAGACGCATGGGTTTGTCTGAACAATTAGGAAAACAAACAAATCCACTGGCCTATCATAATTATCCCTATCAAAACTGCCATAACATGGGACATGCTCCGGTTTCATAACAAACACATCCATTTGGGCTTACTGTATATAACTCCAACGATTTTGGTGAAGACTGACTTTCGAAGGTTCTATGAAGATATGCCTATTTGGACTTTGTTGAATTACCACGGATCTGTCAAGGCATACAAAGTGAACCTAAACCCCGGCCTTAAAATTAGATTTTAAGGTCATTGGGTGGTCTTCACCCCCCGCCACTCCGCTCAAATAAAAGGGCCTCCCAGTCGACTACCCAGTGGCAATAGACTTCTGCCCCAGGGCGACACAGTGAAATCTAGCACGATGCAGACATCGCCTACCAGGGGCTCGCTTCCTTCGGTGCGCCGCGCAGGGGCTCCCAAATCTCCCGGCCGATGTGGCAAGAAACAGTAAACAGCCAGCGACAGGAACAGAAGGAAGGTCCAACTCCGAAAGATTCGCATTTTTTCTAACCTTGGAGTTGCGATCCCAGGAACCCCCACCAGAAAATGTTTGAAGAAATCCCTTTATCGATTCCCCCGTCCTTGTGGATTTCCCATTGGGACGATAAGAAATCACCTGAAACAAAGCCAAGGAACTATGTGAGTCTTGTTGCCAAAACAGGCTGGGACCGTAGTGTAATTGCCGTCGTTTTGAACGACCACGGCCCGCCCAGCAGGGCAAAGGCTGGGGAACGTCTTGTTCCACCCAGGAGCTCATTGAAAACTTGGGCCACAGAGGGGAACGGAAAAGGAGAACAAGCACTTCCATCCATGACACCATGAATGGGTCTACCAATCAACCTTACCATCCACTGAGTTGAATAAGAGGCCTTTGTTTATTTGGACAACTATTGGATCAAAGCTTGCTTGGCCGTGTGAGCAGGTTGGGCACTAAACTTAAGACCCAGTTCCTCAAAAAACATGCATAAAGGGCCCGAGCAGACTTTCTTGGTTCTCCGTATATTTTGAACATGTAAGGGCCAACACTCAAAACATGTGGTCACTTCAAATCAACCACCGTTTGAAACCACCTGTCACTGCTTCTTTTGGGTCCCCGAACGCTCATCAGCTGCGTGACAGTGAATTGGCTAGGCCTCAAGGACATCTATATTTCATGTAGCACCCCCCCCAAAAAAAACACTTAAACAATGATAAATCACTTTTCTATCTTTTTCTTTGGGGGGTCCTGTACTTTACCTTTTGTAAGTGGGGGAACCCTATGTCTCCCAGGTTTCACATGCGAACATGAGGTCCCAATGAATTCACAAGTTGTGTCATGATGAGTACGCAAAATATCCAAATGTTGGGGTCACTCATCTTGACTGTCAGTTGTACGATATCTGCGATCTACAATAATTATATATTCCCTTATATACCCTACCGTAAATTGCATGGGCTTTACACTTCATTCTTCATTCGATGTGTTTTTATGTGAGTGGGCTTATGCAATTTCAACGACCTCTGAATTGAAGCACAGCAATTGATGTCGATGCTGATGATGATTCTCATGATGAAGGTGACGACAGTGCTGGTGATGATAATGATTATATGATGATCATGATGATCATGATGATGAATACGATAATTATGATAATTACAATGGAGAACTGGAACTGCATATGTGGAAGAGTTTATGATAATTATGATGATTGTGATAATGTTGATTATTATGATTGTGATGGAAATAATGAAAATGATGTTGTCGATAAGAATGGTTACGGTTCCGATGATTGTGATGATAATTACAGTACTACTATACTATTATCACTATTATCATTATTTATTATTAATTAGCAGAATAACTATGTATTATTAATTATTATTGTTATTATTTTTAATTAATTATTTATTATTATTACATATATATATATATTATTACTACATATTATTATTAGTATTATTATTATATATTATATTATTGTCATTAAAATGCAGCATGATTATTATGATAATGATAGCTAGGTGCCATGGAACTGAAGCACGGAGCAAAACCAACGGGCACTGAGTTCCAAACTCTTCTGCAGCTGAAGATTTGGCAGCTGCCTCTTCCTTTTGTCAAAAGAAAGATGGAATGCTGACTCATACGAACCTTAACATACCCCCTGGAAAAACCAAGAGGTGTTCTTTTTCCGAATATGATAGGCACACCAGTTACCCATTCACCCACCACACCATTCTCCTGATCCAAACACTGGGTGTCATGCCGCATATGCCGCAGGATGCCGAGGATGTTGCGACCATCCCGGGAATTCATAGGAGTCCCCCAGATTCCGGGAATAACTAAAATGTGGTTGAGAAACTCTGAGTGACTTCGTAGCTCCAACTGGCTCCCTATGAAACTTCATGAACATTTTCGGGACCAGTTGGATACCCCATAGCTCCGAACCGCTCCCTCCGAACTGTTTTTGGATACATGATAAACACCACTGCCTCCCTGGACAGGACTGGTTAATAATGGTTAATGTTGGTTAATGATGGTTAAACACCACTGTATCATTGTTCAAATTAGTTCAATTGCCACTGAGTAGATTGCAAGATATCTTCGACTCTTCGACTCTAGGAATGTCCAAAAAATGAAAATATCTCGGACGGCTTCATAGGCCAAATCCCCACGTGGGTACCCGCACTGGTGCTTAATGGGATGCCAGGGTTAATCACTGGTTGTGGATTGGATCATTCCCATCCATTCCCATCCATTCCGTTCCATTCCCTATGTTTAGCACCAGTAAAACATAGTAAAAACGTTCAAAACAAATCCGGATTTAAAAAAAACAAGGGTGAAAAAAACACAATATGGTGAGATCCATCGCCTTGAAAAAACCACGGTTTTCGCTAAAAAACTGGTCCATCTGTGAAGCACGGCAATAAAGGCCTGTTGCTTCTGCAGGATGGCTTGGATCTCCTTGAGGTGCGCCTGTGATTTTGTTTGTCGAACTTGTTGATGATGGAATTTGTTAATGGTCATTTAAGAATGGATGATAATAGTTGTTAATGATGGTTAATGATGGTTAATGATGGTTAATAGTGATCTCGAGTTTGATGATAATAGTGGTTAATTATGGTTGATGATGGTTAAGGATGGTTAATGATGGTTAATGATGGTTAATGATGGTTAAACAATAGTATTGACAATAGTGGTGAATGATCATTAATGATGGTTTCTAGTGGTTAGCAATGGTCAATCATGACACATTTGATGATATTTGACAATTGTTAATTCATGAATGTTAATAGTGGTTAATGACGGTTAATGATCATTGACGATGGATTATGGTGGTGAACAATATCGTTCATCATGATGAGTAATGCTGATTAATTTATCGATGTTTTCCTGGAATACACGATTTAAATATGTGACTATGTTGTAAATTTTGATATCTCTACAAATATGCATGTAAATGTGTTATTGTCGGTGTATATAACAAACGTATGATATAGATGTTGAAGAACTATAGTACTATCCAATATACATAATATGTATGTAATGTTGTACTACACATTCTACATTAACATATGAGACTGGCACCATGTGTGCGTCAATGCCTGTTCTACAGCTAACTATATTTGTGATCATTTGTAATATTTCATCTAGGTGGGTACACTACTCATTGATCGTTATTTGTAGATACAGTATAATTCGGGTGGGGTCGAAAACAACTAACATGGCAGTCATGAGACATGTTTGCTCAGTTCGCTGTCAGCGTTGTCTGTGGCTGGAATGGCTCAAAAAATCCTCCCATTCACTGGTATATCCCAGACAGACTTATATATCTGAACCGGATTTCAAATTCTTAATTGACTAGTTATCGTGAATAGTCTAAATACTAACTAGACAATACCACTATTCCTCGCTTATACTGAAATGGGATTTCCAAGTCTTCGTACCCAAGAAGATATAAAGTATAAACATGTCTAATCATCTGGGGAACCTGGCCTCGCCCCGCAAGATTCTCCAAATCCTCAAATAGGGTATCACGAAACCAGATGGTTTAATCAGTACCTAATGTTCAAACCATTAATGAACATGAGGGGCAAATTTCATTAGCTATCAGCATTTAATATGGTTTATCCATCAGCTTTAAACCAAATGTTCACCATTAAAGCTGCTATTTCTGATGGGCAAACGAAAACCCTGATGGATGATGGCCATACCCGGCGAGCTTGGTTGGTTTCCAAGTTTTGACTACGGCACAGATTTTTATCTGGCTGAATCTTGTTGTACGCTGATTGGTGGTTGACCTACCCCTCTGAAAAATATAGAAAAATATGAGTTCGTCAGTTGGGATTATGAAATTCCCAATATATAAATATATATATGGAAAAATAATCCAAATGTTGTACTTCATGAAATTCCCAATATCTGGAAAGTCAAAAAATTTCCAAACCACCAAGCAGAAGAACATTTGCTGAAAAAAAGGCTACTTTACGGCCCCAAGTACCCCATAATGCCCCAATCATCCCCAATCTAAACCATCCAGTGACATCGCAAGTAAGAGCTCATTACAATTCAGAGTCATAGAGTTGGATAGGTGCGATTAAACACTTTTAAACCATATATTATATATACATATGACATATATATATAATACATATAAATATATATATAATATGTATATATATATATATATATAATATGTATATATATATATGTACATAGATAAACCATAAATAGACCATATGTAACCACGTATATCATTTCATCAAACATTACAGCTGGATTGATTTCCAGACGTGCAAACGCCCCCATCGTTGCGTCTCAGTGCGGCTTGCCTCCTTCTCTTCGGCTTGCGCCTGAAGTTTAAAGCCAACAGAGACAGCAAGGGCGCAACAGCAACACAAACAGAAACAACGAAGCACGGAAATATACGGTGGTATACGGTGGTTTAATATGGATTAATATGGTGGTTTCCCCCAAAAAGATAGAGGATTTATCACCTGGGAGGAATTCACTGCTCTATCTTTGGGGATGATGATAGACTATAATCTGGTTGGTGGTTTTAACCATCTTGAAAAATATGAAAGTCAATGGGAAGGATTATCCCACATATTATGGAAAATAAAAAATGTTTGCAACCACCAACCAGTATATCTATATAGTGTAGATACCAACAAAAATAATTAAAAACAATCAACAAACAAATAAAGCGAACACAAAAAAAACAAGCAACAACATTCTAAAATCATTCATTGAAATGACATTCATTGAACCCATTCCACAGGTCCCAATTCATTGTTCGGTCGCCTTCACCGTTTGCAACGTGTGATGCCATTTCTCTGCCGCGTGTTCCAACCTGGCCGGCCATGGCTTCCCGAAAAGGAACATGACCCATCTATTTGGGATGAGCAAACTGGCGGACAGTTCAAGCCCTAGAAACCAGTGATTTCTATAGTTATAAATGTATATATACCCTCTGGTTAGTTAACATAGCCATGGGAAATGGCCCATTTATAGATGGTTTACCTATTAAAAATGGTGATTTTCCATGGCTATGTTTAATTAATAACCAGATGGTAAATATTGCAATATATATATATATATATATAGATATGGTTATCATATGTTAAATCATTCCATAAATGTAAAATATACTGAATTGTTTAATGCAAACATGCGCCAAATTCTAGCGTCCTGATCCGATCATTGTGTCTTGAAATCGCATCCGGACAATATTGGCTTTACTCCATCAAATGCTGGATGATTTGTTGGTCAAAATCAATTTGACGATCAAAACTAAAACCCTGCACCCCTGGTGAACATCAAAATAGCTGGGATTGATGTTCATCCATGTTTATCCCCTGAGAATGATCAATGGTATTTTGAGGCATTGATCCATGGCCATTTCAAGAACAAACGACCCGTTCGCAGCATTTTCGGCTGCGCTTTCAGCTGCATCGCCGCTAGTGGATTTAGCACCCCTGAAGCTCCAGACAAGACGTCTTGTTGGTTTCAACCATTTTTCAACCAACTTAAAAAATGCGGCTCATCAATCGGGATCATGCTCCTAGGTTTGTGTGAAAAGAGTAACATGTTAACCAACATTCACCAACGAGGTCATCATTGGTATCTATACTACTACAGTGCATCTTACATCTGCATGACACACACACATCCCATTTTTAGATGGTCTTTTCACCAGCCAAACCCGAAACCTCGAAGTTCTGCTTTTGTGACGCACCACTAGGGCCCCTGTTTGAACCCCTGGGCCAGGCGCCTCTTTCGCTCCTCCTTTGCTTTTTGGATATCTCCCTGCAGTTCAGACCTCTCCATGGAGCACGGAGTTTGACGTACGTATAGAAAGTTTTGGTCAATGGCAGAAATATCAAACCGTACAAAACTTCAGAAATTTGATTCTATGCGCTCTCACTTGGATTCACTTGGGGGGTTTTGGCGGCTACTCAAATGGACTGATGTGTCAATTTTCTGTCTCCAGTAAATAAAGTACACCAACAATTGATGGTAGTCCTGTTATATTCCCATCAATATAATCAAAACATATTTAAAATTTCATCAACATATTAGATGGAGTTTTCCAAACAACGTACCCCAAAATCATCCAAATCAAAGCACTTAAGTATGAAAACCCATGGCGACTTGGCTCCCCCATGACTGGAGAAACCTCCATCTATTTCTTGCGAAAATCACCAATCATTGAGAGCTGCTTCACCTGTTTCTGCGTCAAAAAACCGAGCTCGGAGCTTTTCGAGTTCCATCAAACTTTGAACCTGGGAGGTTTCCAACAACGGAGCTACCCCAATAGCTGGATCGTTCATGGAAAGTCCCATGTTAGGATGATCTGGCAGGATCTTCCATACACCAACTAATGGGTATGGGCGAGATATTAGTACATACCTATAGGTATTACAGTAAGTATTCTACAAATTGGGGTGGTATAATACATAGTATTACAGCGCATAAAAAAAAATTGGGGTGGTATAATACATAGTATTACAGCGCATAAACAAAAAAAACATTATGTAATTTGAAAAAAAACTTCTTTGAACAATGGTATATATACTTGATACTAGCTGGTATCATACATTTTAGTTGGCTATAGCGGCTATACATACCCATTGGCATGTTGCATAGTAGTGTGTTTGATCTTATTTACTTTTTAAGTTCATCTAAATAGCATCTGGTTATTTAACATAGCCATGGAAAATCCCTTATAAATGGAGGTTTCTAGCTGGGAAAATCATCTATAAATGGGCCATGTTTCATGGCTATATCAAATAACCAGATTTAAACATCTTCTAAGCAGTGGGAATTTTGGACAATGGCTGGGATCTTTCCTCCACTTTTTCGCAGCTGTGATTTTGCCATGATGTACTTTAGGTAAATATGGCCAGTCCGGATAAAACAAAAAATGATACCGAAAAAAGCTGAGTTATCCATTTGATTGGCCATAGATGATAAGGTCAAATGCTGCTGATTTATGATGTCACTGGTGCACTCTATCCTGGAAACGCAGGAGCTTTGACCCCATGAACGAAGCATCTTTCCAATCCTAGATCCATATATTTAGGGTATAATCACCGTAAAGCCTAGCGAAATTGAAGTGGTAAAGCAACTTTGCTAACGCTTTGGGGCACCACCTTGTATGCACTACTGGATGAATGCTTCCAGAAGAGGCATGAACAAACCTGCTTCTGCCCGAAGCGTGCCAAATTCACCCTGTCTGATGCTGTGGTTATTGGTCAATAATTCCCAGTGAACCATTTCTGGTTGGTGGTATACCTACCCCTCTGAAAAATATAAAGTCAGTTTCATGATTATTCCCAATATTATGGAAACATAAAAAATGTTCCAGACCAACAACCAGCTATGTATTCATGACCAAAACAAATCACCATCAACCAGCCGTCATTTCGGGATTGTTCATACTTCATGGCCTCCACAAGGATTGTGACATATAATGACATATATAACACAACGAATTGCATGGATACTATGTGGGTCCCAATTATAAGTTTCTTGGATGATCTAAGTGTAAAAATCCACTGGTCAATGAACATATTTTCCCCCGGTGAAATGGCCATGGCTTACCTGGCTTACCTGGTCAACCAATGGAAAATCACCATTCAAATATAGGCAAATCATGGCAAATGGGTAAATCCACCATGAATTGGCCATGAATTGGCCATGATTTCCAGTTCGCTTTTCAGAAATGACCAGAGGCAAAAAGCGAGGCCCAACGAAACGATTGCCCGCGACACGATTTCCCGCGGCACCTGTGTCCACTGGAGCTTCTCACTTTCGAGGCGACCCTTTTCGGTTTCCAACATCTCCTGGCGACGGGAGACGACTTGGAGCGAGACGACTTGGCCCCAAAGGGCTGATGTAGAAAATCATAGGTTTTGGGTTCAAGATATTTTGGAAAAGGATGGAAACGGCTACATCGAAATGTTTTCCAAATGCTCTTACATCACATCTTCAGGTTTTGAACTCCCAAGACATTGTGACATTATGTTTGACACGTTGACCATATCTGCCAGGATTTTTCACATCGTTCCTGCTCTGGGTCCATGTATCCAAGGTGTGGTATCCAAGGATTGTTTCCAAGTGATCTACTCCACGTTATCTATTTATCCAAGTTTTTGTCCAACTTATCTACTCCAAGTATATAATAGATTATAATAGTATATATCTGCTTGGTGGTTTCAACCTACCCCTCTGAAAATATAAAAGTCAGTTGGGATGATTATTCCCATATATTATGGAACAAATAAATTCATGTTCCAAAGAACCAACCAGGATTGGTGTAATGTGAAAATCTTAGCCGGAAACTGGCTCGATTTTCCCATGGAAAAAAACATTATGTTCCTGAGTTTCTATTGATTCAAGGTGTTGCAATCTAAAGATGACAATGTTTTCCCCCAGAAAAAAAAGGATCTTCTTCGGAATCCGAATGTAGCAAAAAAGCAACTACAAGTCCGAATTTCCCTCCAGAAGAAATCACCTATACGAAGAATAACTATATTAAACAACCATGGTTTCCAGTTCACACTTCCATGATCTACTTCCATGATGTGAACTTTCTATATCACTTACATACTGTATATAGAATATACCCTCCAGTAAATTAACATAGACCCTGGCAGATGGGGGTTGGAAGATTAGTTTCCACTAAAAATTGGTCATTTTCAGGGTCTATGTTTATTTGCCATAGGGTATATATATATATATACACCTATATGATATCACGTTTCCCTCTCCCAGCACTGCCCGACTGGTGGTTCACCTTCTCTTTGGCCATCACCTGGCGACGTGACGTAAAGATGAAGTCCGTGAATAAAAAAGGATGTACTTTGAGGCTCAAGGTATGTATAATCTGTGTATATTATATATATATATATATATATCTACACATGCTGTACATATATATATATATATACATATATATATATATATACAATTATTTACATATGGCACATAGCTGTATATCTGTATAATCTATATGAATTATTATATCATTATCACAGCTGCTGTTTTATTTGTTTTCGGAGTTCGTTGCACTTGTCATGGCATTTTTGTATGGCCTTGATAGACCAGAATTCGCCATGGTTTTCCATAGGTGTTCAATTCAAATTGGTTGGGGGGTCGGTCATTCAGTGGAAAAGGATTGAACATAGAAAACTGGTTGCTGGTTTGAACCCCTCTGAAAAATATGAAAGTCAGTTTGGATGATTATTCCCAATATTATGGAAACACTAAATAAACATGTTCCAAACCAGTATAGACAGTACAGTATGAAAATAGACATCGACATTGAACAACCTACAGAATACTGAATCATATTCGTGAGAGGTTCTCCTGACTTTCCAATCCGAAACACACCTGTCCATCTATATATAGGATCCCTTTTTACCATTTGGGAGCTCATTGCCTGCCATCTTGAGGACCGGCTACTGACTGGATGTCTGGTGAAACACTTCTTCCACTGTAGCCACGGGGTGTGCTGCACAAATGGAGGCCAACAACTGTCCATCAGCCAAGACTACTCGAAGACAGTCCAACTTGACCTTCAAGCCCTGTGCAATGTGCTTCTGTGTATCTGAAGCCAAGCTAGAGCCAGCCGCATGGAAGCATAATAATGCCTGGCCAGCCAAATTGGAACATGTCAAAATGTATGTATCAGCTTCACAAACAACATGAAGTTGCACGACGATGTCTCTGCCAATCGGCATTGTGTCACTGATGTACTGATTGCCGGGTTCGAACGGTGGAATGTTGCACTGTCGTTCACGATTGCTTCCGCACGCCGAAACGCGGCCATCACTTCGGAGAAGCACAGTGTGAGTGATGCCTGCAGAAACCTGGACGTAAGATATTTCATCCAAAGGTGGAATGCTGCATCTTCTAAACATATCCTTTCCACAAGCAACAGCATTGCCATCACTACGAAGAAGCACTGTATGACCACCACCTGCGGATACCTGCGTGTATGACAGTCCCTCATCCAACAGCGGAATATTGCATTGTGAATCAAAGTTCAGTCCACACGCCACGGCATGACCGTCACTTTGGAGAAACACAGTGTGATTCTGACCAGCAGAAACCTGCGTGTATGACATTCCCTCATTCAAAAGTGGAATATTGCATTGTTCATGTTCATTGTTTCCGCAGGCAACAGCATTGCCATCACTTCGAAGAAGCACTGTGTGAGCACCACCTGCAGATACCTGCGTGTATGACAGTCCCTCACCTAACATCGGAATATTGCATTGTAAATCAGAGTTCAATCCACACGCCACCGCACGGCCGTCACTTTGGAGAAGCACAGTGTGGCGCTCACCTGCAGAAACTTGGGTATATGACATTCCTTCTTCTAAGGCTGGAATGTTGCACTGTCCAACGTCGTTCTGCCCACACGCAACCACATGGCCATCGCTTTGCAGAAGCACGGTGTGAAACCTGCCAGCAGACACCTGGGTATATGAGATTCCGCCAGGGGCCGGGATGGTGCATTGACCACAAGAATTCACTCCACAAGTAACAGCATTGCCATCACTTCGGAGGAGTACAGTATGAAACCAGCCAGCTGAAACCATTGACAATCTCAATTGGGAAAGGATGATTGGGGTTTTCCTCGGGCCAGATTCAATGCCCAAGGTTCAAAGGCCCTGGATTTGACTTGGATTTTCTGACGCTTTCAACCTTTCGCCCCGTATAGTTTAAGTCAACTGCAAAGTATCGAAATCGACATTTTCCAGTAGCAAGCACAAAAACAGTAACATAATCTTAGTGGAGACATGGACGATGTCTCAAAATTTGGAAGCCGAAAATCACACTGTGTATCGTCATGTTCAAAATTAATATGGCAACATACTAGGGGCATATATTCATACTATATTTTGCGATAAAACTATCCGTTCCATATGTATTATGTATATACATATACATATATATATATATATTTATATTTTTTGTCGCTTATATATCCCCAGACCATATCCCAAGAATTATACAGTAAGTATCCCATATTATTATGGTTGTATATACCTACCCCATCTTGTTGGTTACGCGCGTATATACTTCTTGTAATACACAGTGATACAGTAACCTTTCCCAAAAAGAGTGGTTATTCACCCCCCACCACATTTCCCGTTCCACCCCCGTGTTGGCTGGATATATCCCCCATTCACAGTTGGTGTTTTAACCGTTTGCACACATGGAGGTTTCCTGAACTAGGGGTACCCCTAAATCATTCATTTTAATAGGATGTTCCATTATAAATCTTCCATTTTGGGGTACCCCCATGACTGGGTGTTTCCATAGTGGGGAATCCCCATCCATAGCTGGATGGTTCATGGGAAATCCCATCCATAGATGGATTTTTTTTCCTCGGGGTACCCATGACTTGTTGGAAACCTCCTGTCAGTAAGCGAAAATCACCATCTTGAAGTTCGGTAAATCAACTATTTCTATGGCAAACTTAAGAAAACTGTAACCAGTAGTTTCTATGGGCCATTGAATCAATAGCAAACTGTAGCAAATTACCGCCATCCCACACCTGGAGGTTCTCCCACCACTGATCGGCTCGCTGTTGGGACTGGCGCCAAGTCAATTGTTTTTTTTTCGAAATGGGAGAAAAAACGGAGAAATGATGCAACAAATGGGTCTCTATATCTACATGTGATCAATGCACAGGATCTATGTACGTATGTATATATATTTTTTATTTATATATCGTAGTATATATACTATAGTATATATATATATATACTATAATATATATATATATATACTATAGACTATAGTATATATATATATATTATAGTATGTATATATATATATATATATACTATAGTATATATATATATATTATAGTATATATATATATAATAGTATGTATATATATAAAAATTTAGTATGTATGTATGTATGTATGTATGTATGTATGTATGTATGTATGTATGTATGTATGTGTATACACACTATGTATATATATATATATAATGGTTGTAAGTGTGCATAGAAGCATATTGAGCCCCAAATGACCTCTCTTGTCGATTGATCCTCAGGTCCGGCTGGATCCATTTTCTGATTTTCCCAGGCCACGGGGATTTCCCCGCTAGCCACGTTTGATTACCTGAGTTTTGTTTTCATTATCAACCATATAATGATAGATGATGGTTGATATATATATATATAATATATATATATATATATAATATATATAATATAATACATATATATAATATAATAAATATATAGTTAAAACATCTAAGTAACTTTATATAACCATCATCTATCAACCATCAATCACTGGTTGGGATGTTTTAACCATCTTGAAAAATATGAGTTCGTCAATGGGAAGGATTATTCCCATGTATTATGGAAAAAAAAATGTTTGAAATCACCAACCAGTTATTCATCATTCAACACCAGAAAAATCACCATAAATCTCCATTGAAGACCATGAGTCACCATGATTAACCATTATGAACGATTACTAGCCATTACTAACGATTCCCACTTATTAGCCATAGTTAACCATGAACATGTTGTTTTTTTTGAAACCATATATATATATATATGTTTACCATTAACCATTATTCACCTTCATAGAACTTTTATCGATGTCTGTTCCCCTCAATGGGCGATGCCTCTTGCTTCGCTGACTCGGCCAGGACCTGGTTGTGTTCAAATGCGACCGAAGTCGTCAAGTTGTGGGGCCGGGTCCGTGAATTTATATCATGATAGCTGGTAAAGATGTATTAATGATCATGTTGTTGGTATACTATTGTATATAGTTTGTGGCTGCCAGCCGTTATACACTTTAATAACTTTTAATGATCTTTAATACACAATACACATTCAGTATATTTCCATAAATGGTGGGTAAACATGATTAAAAAACAAGTCCTTCGTTCACCATGGTTAAGCCAGCTTATATTAAACCATATTGGGGGAGGAGGGAAATTAGGGTATATCAATGTAATAATGTGTATATATATATAAATCATTTCAGTCAATTGGGGGAAACCATCCGTTTGTTTTTGGAGGAGCAAATCAGTTTGAGCTATTCAGTACCCACAAGGGGGAAGGACCAACAGAAGAACAAATGATCCGACCTGCACAAAATCAAGAGATATGGAGATTGCAACCAACAAACCATCAAGAAATTGTGTTTTGGTTTCAGTAACATGAAACTGAATGGTGGTTTTCATATATATATATATTTATATGATAATTTGACAAATGGGGTCTTGTAAAAACCCCGAGCCCTTTCAAATGGTTTGTTTCACACGTTATCGTTTTTTTCCTCTTATCGTGTTTCCAAGCGCTGGCTTCACACCGTCACCAAAGGATTCACATGAGCGAGGAAAGGGAAAAGGAAAAAAAAATCCGCCGACCCCGGCCTTTGCCAAGGCAGGGGCGGCGCCTGGGACCACCGGAGGTGTGGAACTTGGCTCTCGGGTCGCAAGCAAAGGCACACGCCATCAAGGCAACACCTCTGCCAGCTACATGCCCCAGCCATCTACATGCTCCTGCCGAACTCTTACACCTACATGCCCCTGCCATCTGTTTTTCAGGGGGTTCAAGACTGCCGTTTGCCCGGCCTCAAACCCCCCAAACGCTTCCGCAGGCCTCCAAGGCAACAACCCTTACAGCTACATGCCCCTGCCATCTGTTTTTCAGGGAGTTCAAGACTGCCGTTTGACCGGCCTGAAACCCTCCAAACGCTTCCGCAGGCCTCCAAGGCAACAACTCTTACAGCTACAAGCCCCTGCCATCTGTTTTTCAGGGAGTTCAAGACTGCCGTCTGACCGGCCTGAAACCCTCCAAACGCTTCCGCAGGCCTCCAAGGCAACAACTCTTACAGCTACATGCCCCTGCCATCTGTTTTTCAGGGAGTTCAAGCCTGCCGTTTGCCAGCCCGCAAAACCCCCCATATGCTTCCCTGCAGCTCCCATGCCGTTTGCCAGCTCCGGCATTGTCCTTTTATGATGGTTCAAGCCTAAACCCCCCAAATGCTTCCCTGCAGCTCCCATGCCGTTTGCCAGCCCCGGCATTGTCCTTTTATGGTGGTTCAAGCCTGCCGTTTGCCCGCCCGCAAAACTCCCCAAATGCTTCCCTGCAGCTCCCATGCCGTTTGCCAGCCTCGGCATTGTCCTTTTATGGTGGTTCAAGCCTGCCGTTTGCCCGCCCGCAAAACTCCCCAAATGCTTCCCTGCAGCTCCCATGCCGTTTGCCAGCCCCGGCATTGTCCTTTTATGGTGGTTCAAGCCTGCTGTTTGCCAGCCCGCAAAACCCCCCAAATGCTTCCCTGCAGCTCCCATGCCGTTTGCCAGCCCTGGCATTGTCCTTTTATGGTGGTTCAAGCCTGCCGTTTGCCCGCCCGCAAAACTCTCAAATGCTTCCCTGCAGCTCCCATGCCGTTTGCCAGCCCCGGCATTGTCCTTTTATGGTGGTTCAAGCCTGTCGTCTGCCAGCCCGCAAAACCCCCCAAATGCTTCCCTGCAGCTCCCATGCCGTTTGCAAGCCCCGGCATTGTCCTTTTATGGTGGTTCAAGCCTGCCGTTTGCCAGCCCGCAAAACTCCCCAAATGCTTCCCTGCAGCTCCCATGCCGTTTGCCAGCCCCGGCATTGTCCTTTTATGGTGGTTCAAGCCTGCCGTTTGCCAGCCCGCAAAACCCCCAAATGCTTCCCTGCAGCTCCCATGCCGTTTGCCAGCCCCGGCATTGTCCTTTTATGGTGGTTCAAGCCTGCCGTTTGCCCGCCCGCAAAACCCCCCAAATGCTTCCCTGCAGCTCCCATGCCGTTTGCCAGCCCCGGCATTGTCCTTTTATGGTAGTCCCTGCAGCTCCCATGCCGTTTGCCAACCCCGGCATTGTCCTTTTATGGTGGTTCAAGCCTGCCGTTTGCCCGCCCGCAAAACCCCCCAAATGCTTCCCTGCAGCTCCTATGCCGTTTGCCAGCCCCGGCATTGTCCTTTTATGGAGGTTCAAGCCTACGTTTTGGAGCCTTCCAAACGCCCCCCTGCAGCTCCCATGCCGTTTGCCAGCCCCGGCATTGTCCTTTTATGGTAGTTCAAGCCTGCCGTTTGCCAGCCCGCAAAACCCCCAAATGCTTCCCTGCAGCTCCCATGCCGTTTGCCAGCCCCGGCATTGTCCTTTTATGGTGGTTCAAGCCTGCCGTTTGCCCGCCCGCAAAACGCCCCAAATGCTTCCCTGCAGCTCCCATGCCGTTTGCCAGCCCCGGCATTGTCCTTTTATGGTGGTTCAAGCGTGCCGTCTGCCAGCCCGCAAAACCCCCCACATGCTTCCCTGCAGCTCCCATGCCGTTTGCCAGCCCCGGCATTGTCCTTTTATGGTGGTTCAAGCCTGCCGTCTGCCAGCCCGCAAAACCCCCCAAATGCTTCCCTGCAGCTCCCATGCCGTTTGCCAGCCCCGGCATTGTCCTTTTATGGTGGTTCAAGCCTGCCGTTTGCCCGCCCGCAAAACCCCCCAAATGCTTCCCTGCAGCTCCCATGCCGTTTGCCAGCAAGCCTGCCGTTTGCCAGCCCGCAAAACCCCCCAAATGCTTCCCTGCAGCTCCCATGCCGTTTGCCAGCCCCGGCATTGTCCTTTTATGGTGGTTCAAGCCTGCCGTCTGCCAGCCCGCAAAACCCCCCAAATGCTTCCCTGCAGCTCCCATGCCGTTTGCCAGCCCCGGCATTGTCCTTTTATGGTGGTTCAAGCCTGCCGTTTGCCAGCCCGCAAAACCCCCCAAATGCTTCCCTGCAGCTCCCATGCCGTTTGCCAGCCCCGGCATTGTCCTTTTATGGTGGTTCAAGCCTGCCGTTTGCCAGCCCGCAAAACCCCCCAAATGCTTCCCTGCAGCTCCCATGCCGTTTGCCAGCCCCGGCATTGTCCTTTTATGGTGGTTCAAGCCTGCCGTTTGCCAGCCCGCAAAACCCCCCAAATGCTTCCCTGCAGCTCCCATGCCGTTTGCCAGCCCCGGCATTGTCCTTTTATGGTGGTTCAAGCCTGCCGTTTGCCCGCCCGCAAAACCCCCCAAATGCTTCCCTGCAGCTCCCATGCCGTTTGCCAGCCCCGGCATTGTCCTTTTATGGTGGTTCAAGCCTGCCGTTTGCCCGCCCGCAAAACCCCCAAATGCTTCCCTGCAGCTCCCATGCCGTTTGCCAGCCCCGGCATTGTCCTTTTATGGTGGTTCAAGCCTGCCGTCTGCCAGCCCGCAAAACCCCCAAATGCTTCCCTGCAGCTCCCATGCCGTTTGCCAGCCCCGGCATTGTCCTTTTATGGTGGTTCAAGCCTGCCGTTTGCCAGCCCGCAAAACCCCCCAAATGCTTCCCTGCAGCTCCCATGCCGTTTGCCAGCCCCGGCATTGTCCTTTTATGGTGGTTCAAGCCTGCCGTTTGCCCGCCCGCAAAACCCCCCAAATGCTTCCCTGCAGCTCCCATGCCGTTTGCCAGCCCCGGCATTGTCCTTTTATGGTGGTTCAAGCCTGCCGTTTGCCCGCCCGCAAAACCCCCAAATGCTTCCCTGCAGCTCCCATGCCGTTTGCCAGCCCCGGCATTGTCCTTTTATGGTGGTTCAAGCCTGCCGTTTGCCAGCCCGCAAAACCCCCCAAATGCTTCCCTGCAGCTCCCATGCCGTTTGCCAGCCCCGGCATTGTCCTTTTATGGTGGTTCAAGCCTGCCGTTTGCCAGCTTCAAATTTGTAGCGTCATACTCATTGCATACACATTGCACATTGTGTGACTTCAAATTTGTAGCGTCATACTCATTGCATACACATTGCGGCATTGAATTGCGGCATGGGGGCATATCAAAACATATATGTCCATGTCTGTCCCACCATGTACCACCATCGACCTCAGCACGGCCCGCCGGAAGCGACGCGCCACTGACCCACTGAACCGCTGATGCCGTCGGATGCCGTCGGAGTATCTATCTCTCCCTCTCTATCTATCTATCTCTCCCTCTCTATCTTTCTCTCCCCCTCTATCTATCTCTCCCTCTCTATCTATCTATCCATCTATCTATCTATCCATCCAGCTATCTATCCATCTATCTCTCCATCTACTTATCTGTCTATCCAACTGTCTATCTATCTATCTGTCTATCTCTCTCTCTCTCTCTATCTCTCTACCTATCTATCCATCCATCCATCCATCCATCTATCTCTCTCCCTCTCTCTGCAGGACCCCCCAAATAGGGGGGGTCGGCGGCACCCGGGCGCTAGCCCATTCTATAAAGGAAGGGAAAGGAAAGCATAGCAAAAGGGAGAGGAAAAGGAAAAGGAAAAGGAAAGAGAAAGGAAAAGGAAAGGAAAACGAAAGGAAAAGAAAAAGGAAAGGAATAGGAGGAAAAGGAAAAAGGAAAGGAAAAAGGAAAGGAGAAGGAACAGGAAGAGTAGTAAAGGAAGGGAAAGGAAAACGGAGAGGAAAGGGAGAGGAAAGGGAGAGGAAAGGGAGAGGAAAAGAAAAAAAAGGACCGTGTCTCACACGGAGCATTTTTGATACCAAAAGTTATCGTTTTCGTTATCGTTTTGTTATCGTTCGTGAATCCTGTGTACGTTCCTTTTTTCTGGAAATGGCTGCAAACATCAAAAAAAGAGTGTAGCGACTACCCAGGCACCTTCCTTATGCAGAATCTGATACGCATTTGTTGGCACGCCATTACGACGACAAACAATGAAATGAAGAAACCCAAAACACTAAATAGCTGCAGAACGATGGAACAATTAAAAAAACATTGGATTTCAAGAGTCTGGACACAGATCATTAACAGAACCAACGTTCAACGTTATTTTTTTTTCATCTTGTCGTTTTTTCGAGTGAAAGCTAAAAATGGTTCATGGGGGATTATGGAAGACTAAACGAATAGGCGCGGGGTTTTTACAAACTCCCAAATGATGATTGGTTGATGATTATTTGTGGGTTTTTGCGTGGTTGGACTACTGTATCTTTTTATATTGGGGATGATCATGTCATAGTCAATTCAGTGGCAATTCCAATCTATCCCCAAATAGGGCTTCAACCAACAACGGACATTGAACTGCTCATAACCACCACCACAGTGGGCATATAACAAATGCAGGGGAATGCAAACATCCTGGGTGTAAAAAACAATCTCTATGAAAATGCGTTGATAATCATCTGACCATGCCCCATTTAACGGGTGAATCTAGTTCAAGTTTTGATTATGGTTGGTTCTATATATATATATATATCCAATGAACTATGCACATTAGATCCCCGTGTTCAAGGAGTATAGCATCCAACCAACTCGATCATGGTACATATGCAAGTTTTAAGTTGGTTTATAAACCCATGAACTATAGTTTTAATTACATCCAATTACCATAAACCCTTGTTCAAACTGACATGGTGAAGACACCAACCCCGGTTTACTTCCCCAAAACACATTCAGCCCACCATGCCGTGACCATTTCCGAACTCCAAAGGGCGCCCGAACGCGTTCCTGTTCGGCTTCGCGGAGCTTCTCTTCCGCTGCCTTCTTTTGGCCCTCCGCCAACATCAACCTGCGCCCGGGGCGGAAGGAACTGCTATGCACCGGTAACCGGTGAGGCACCAGGAAAATTAAGTGTTATTTTCTGGCTGCGAACATGTTTTCAGACTTGGGAGAGTTTAGACGGCTTTAGACTGCTTTAGCGATGGAGATGGACGATTTTTTTAAATTAATTCGAGATTCCAGTAATATGGAAATGAAATGATTTGTCAGCTAAAATGAGGAATTAAGCAGCAAGTAAATCTCAGGTGTTTTTTTTCAGAGAGAAACACGGAATTTGCCAACAAAAGTGGCGGATGAATGTCCAATAAAGTTGGGATTTCACCAACACTGGCACGGATAGTGGAGATTGACTGGGTTGATTCGAGGCAAGATGTTCTTTACTGCAAACCATGGTTCTTAGCATCCAAATATAAATGTCCACTACACAAATTGAGGTATTGGAGACCTCCGGACAAAAGTAATATATAATGTTGACAAAGCTATAAACAAAACATGTTTGATACAACAACCACAATTTGGGATACTGCTAATATGCATGCTAATAATGATAAAATGACTATGACAATAGTGATGACGATGACTATCGTGATAATTCGTGATGATTACAAAAATGATGAGTCTCTAGTATTTCAATTTCAACCACACTATACTCTCCGATAATCAAACATTGCAATGGATAATCCACTATGTATTGAATTTAATGAATTTGATCATGATTTTCCATGATTTTCCCAGTGAATCCTTCATTTACATGGCAAATTTCCTATGAAAAGCTCCATTGAATCATTTTTCAGGGATGTTCAACTGACCCACGATCCCAGGGGACCCCATGATCAAAGTCCCGCCTGATGTTGGCAGTTCGCACCATCTCCTCCGCCTCCTTCTCTTGAATCTGGATCCGCAGCTTATTTTCCTCATGGCAAAAAAAATGGCCGCGAAAGAAAAAAAATCACCTACTCATTGGTTCCCGTGAATCCACGAGAAAAAATAACACATGTGGCTTCATGTGGTTCGTCTATTTTTGGACTTGAAATCATTTGAATCAAGAAAGGATCAAGTGGGAAAACAATGGGAACAGTATTCCTCTATGGGTTTCGACCAACAAAGATGGGCATGTTTACTAAACACACAGGGGATCTTCGAACATGGATTTGTCCATATATATATATATATAATATTAATATGTATATATATAATATAATAATGTATAATATATATATATAGAGGACTCAATCACTCTGGGTATGTGCATCTCAATCACTCTGGGTATATGTGCATGTGGGCGCCACGTGCAATGGCATGCCCCGACTGATTGTTCGTTTTGCTGGGCACTCTTGATCAAGTCTTCCTGAGATCATGGGATATGGAATAATATGTTTCACACAGTCAATCTTTGCGAATTTTACCACAGCAAACCACTGCTGCCTTTGATCATGAATTCAATGAGTTGTGTCTTTGGGATGTGAGAAAAACATGTGGCCTTTCACTTCCCGACGTCGCCAGTACCAGTCAAGTGGGATGAGCTTCCTTGCTTGGTGACATTTTAAGACGATGGAAACTACATGAAACCACCATGCCATCATGATTGGACTCGAATGATTCGAATGATTGTAATTATTCTCAATCAGCAAATCCATGATATGAGGGTTTCCGTAAATGGACCCCCAAATCATCCATTTAATAGGGTTTTCCCTCATAAACCTCCGCATATGTTGGGGTACCTCCATATATTCCCACATGTGTGGGGTCAAAAATCTGGAGTCATTGGTGAAACCCGACTCAGCTGCCTGGGTGACCGCCCGAAGCTCCCCTTTGTGGTGCTTGTCCAACAACTCCTGGCCACAGGTGGATGGATTTGGATGTCATGTCGAATAGCAAAATAGTTAGCATATGCCAAAATGGTGAAGAACCGTGGCACCAGCAACTTCCCCTCGAGATTTTGAGATTCGATTACAGGAAAGAGCACCGAGACAAACCACTAGGAGCTTTACAGCTTTACCCTCCCAGACTTGATAATTTTGCAAATTTCCCAACACTTTGTTGATGATTTCCAAATGTTTGGTTGATCAAATACTTCAAATACGAGATGCACCCACCCACTTGTTTACAGCACACATGATTACATATGAGTTTGTCTGAAACGACTTGTCATGCTTTGTCTATGCAAACCCAACTCCGATGCTTTAAAACTTATTCTTCAAAGTACAGTCACTGACATTTATAGAGGTATCCACCCAATCTTTGGACTAAGCCAAGCCCACTATATATTCCACGGTTTGATGGATAACACCAGGATAACAGTTTAACACGTCCACAACATGGTAAATCTTAGATACCTGGCAAAAAAAAAACTCAGGTTTAGCTGATTAGGATCAATTTTACCATAGATAGCAACATACTGAAGTACTAGTTGATTCTAAGAAAGGCTGACCCACATAAAACTGCCACTGCCATCATAAATCCATGCCATCAATGATCTCCACGGGGTGATCCCCCGTAGTTGGTGGTTGACCTACCCCTCTGAAAAAATATGAGTCAGTTGGGATGATGAGATTCCCAATATGATGGGAAAAATAATCCAAATGTTCCAAACCACCAACCAGATATTTATATAATATATAATATATATATAAGATTTTATAAGTATATAAACTGGTTCCAAACACCAGTCCAACACGGTGTTAAAGGGATGTTCAAGGTGCTTGACAATAGTGGACCAACAACGATCTGTTGATAGGTGCTTTAACTTAAAGAGCATTATACTTGGGGGATGCAGGAAACAAATCCGAATCCTCTCCTGACATTGGGCCGCCACATCTGGAAAGGCGCTGGCTGCTGTCTTCACCACACCTTGGCAACAAGCAGCAACAAGCAGCGAAACGGATCATGCCTGGTGCAATGGCGAAATGGCTTCAAATTGATAAACGGTGATGGAAAATGGTGACTTAACCAACAAATATATGGGAAACTATGATGAATTTATGGTAGCTAAGTTAAAATATAACTAGCATAACTAGATATAACTAGAATAGGTACGGTTTATGTAACTAATCCCTTCCCTCCTAGTATAAGATGCCCCCCTAGACCCCCTGGTATTGGATCTATTCATTCGGGGTGCCATATGGGAGGTACCAAGCATGTCTGAAATGGGGAAGATCAATTGACAATTTGAATCATTTTGACCAACAAACATGGGCTGTTTGAATGGGATATTAGATGATATATGATGATATTAGCACCAGACTTTCCTTTTCGCCATGTTTGTTATACCAAAACGTGACCTACAACAATCCTCAGGTCTCAGGCAGATCATGATCCCATGGTGAATTGCAGAGATCCAGACCTCCAATATAACCAGCCCATGCCATGGGCCATATGGGCGAAGCCGATCGCCGATCTGACACTCAGTCTGTCGCCGTTAGCCAAGAAAATCTGCTTTTAAAAAAATAGCAGCAATAGCAATGGCAAAACCGGGGTTGACCTAATTTTTGACCTATTCAAACGGAATTTCTGACCTAAAAATGAATTTCACCATATCTCACCCATCATCCAGTGTAGGATATGGGGGTATCCTCAATGCCCTGGTCCATCATCATCACCATGATCATCATCATAATCATCACGATTGAAATTGCCATACCTGTTCGAGAAAAAACATGGCGGCATCTGGGCCACTCGTTGTAGCCACTCTTCACTGTAAATTGGCCCAGGTATCGGCTCATTGAGTTTGTAGTGTGAGGGAAGTACTGGGTCATTGTGTTTGACCTTCGATGCCATTATTGCAAAATGCTGGTAGTGGAATTCCCTGTGTATGCGGCAGCACGTCATCTGGGGTTGAAACGTCATCGATACCCTCAGCCACAGGCATTTTCTGACCCTTCTTCTCGCCCGTTGATTCCTCCACCCCATCATGCTGCAACCTAGATTTTTTTGGGGGGTTCTCCTCAGGCTCCTTCTCATCTTGCTTGGCCTTGCGCTTCTCATCCTCCTTTGGTGCTTTTTCCGGCACCCTGAACTGATCACTCACATTCGTCTTCCCTCCACCCTTCTTCTCTTCAACAGCCTTCTATTGACAAACCCAACCATCATATTGTTGATGATCTATATCCATTTAGTTTCAAATCTTCATTGCTGCTTTAAATTCCGTACGTGCGTTCCTATTGAAACAATCATCATCCAGTGCAATCCGTCAAAAACATTTGTGGTCAGTATATACACATACTATATATATATATATACATATATATATACAGTATATATATATATACATATATACAGTACACCATTATAGTTCAATAATGTTTTGTAAGAAAAAAACATGTTCCACATCATAATTATCTAATTGAAACTATATTACCATTATCATATAATATAACATAATAAATACATATAAATACAGATAATGTAATGTGATATCATATAGGATATAGATGGATATAGTCCTATGTTACTGTGACTAGATTTTTGTTAGGACGATATCCTATGTATCCTCCAGAGCCAAGTTACGGATGATGGCACCCAACTCCCCGATGGCTTCAGCGGCCTGGGGGCCCCGTTCGCTGTTAGTTGGGCTACAGGCTGTTACAGAGTCTACTCAATAAGTAATTACCCTCTGGTAAACTAACATAACTATGGAAAATCGCCATTTTTAATGGGAAAACTCACTATAAATGGCCATTTTCAATAGCTATGTTAAATTACCAGAGGGTATATACGTTCATAGTTGTGAACCATCATACAATAGTAGGAGTTAAGATGAGTTAAGATGAAATAAGTATGTATTTCAATGATTTCAATGGGAGTTGCTGAATACTGTGGATGGTTGCGAAATCCTGCGCCATACATGGAAGATGGAAGGCTTATCCGTTACAAACCCATAATATTTACAGTGTTGAATTATGCTACCAAGAGTTACCCACTGGTGCAGGATTTCGCAGCCATCCACATTTTGAGGTTAACAATGGTCAACAATGATGATTATATAATGATGATTAATGGAGTTACCTTCTGGCAATCAAACGTGGCTGGGAAGTCCTTCCATTTATATAGATGATTTATGATGATTTACCCATTAAAACCTTCATGGAAAAAGGATAGTTCCTTGCCCCGTTTGATTACCAGAGGGTATGTTTACCAAGTTAGTTATATTTACCACGTTTACCCTGTTTACTGTTGCCAAGCATTTTACCATCAACCAACAGTGAACTAAACCAACTTGGCCAACCCTTGCTAGGGGGGCCCACCTTTTACCGGCCCAAGAACGATTCTGAGGGTCTATGATAGTGGGCGGGATGTTCTCCCAAACAAAAAAACTGATAAAAAACGAGAGCTCAATCCCAACTTTTACGGGGGTTCTGGGTCTGGCTGAAGTGGAACAACCCACTGACACGACTCAATGCTTCGCCCAGTTCAGGGCGCTCCCCCCAAAATGAACAATGGCCATAGACCACATCAATGCCAATTTTGGGAAGGTCATATCCCGTTCATTTTTCATGAAACTCATGGTTACATTCCCCACCTGTCTTAAACTGATCATTTTCGCCGGGACTCGACACATATTCAGCGATCTGATCGGAGATCTAGATTCAATCCCAACTTTGTTAAACCATTGTTACCCTCTGGTTATGACTAACAGTTCGCCATGGAAAATCACCATGCATTTTTCATAGGTAAACCAGGTAAACCATCTATTTTCATGGGCCATGGCGAACTGTAAACGTCATAACCAGAGGGTATATCCCATGGGGATAGGACCTGCTTTCTGGCTTCGTTGTAGCCATCACCACCTGGGAACGAGTTGTGAGCCGAGCTCAACGGCCGTGTAAGCCCGTGTCGGATCGCTTGAAATGTTGAGGATTTTTTGATGAGTTTGGGAGTTACAGTAGAGCATAAAACCATCATAAAACCAAGCTCACTCCATTTTGCCACATGGCCTCATCATTGTAGGCATTGTCTATGTGTTGTTTGGTGTTGTTGCTTTGTTGGTTCAGGCCAAAATCTGCGCTGTTTAGGCCCCAAAATGACATAAATGGCTGGGCCAAACGGTCAACCAGATTTTGGTTTGGTTCTCCTTTCATATCAACAAGCTGCTGTAGCTCAAAATTCGGTCACCAATGCTGCATCGTTCAGGGTGAGAGGTCGTTCTGAGTTCTCTGTCACTTGCCCTCCCTATCATCAGCCCCACAATACCCTCTGTACCATTGAGAGCATCAATGACTTCCAACTCCCAGATGTACCTCCCCAGCCCCAACTTGAAATCCCTAGTTTTTTTTTTCTGTGGAAAATCCCCAGTTTTGCTGCTGAAATTCCAAGAAGAGTCGTGGTTAAATCACATGAAATCCCTGGGGCGGTTCAATTCACAGGTTTATTGGTTACCCTCTCTGGTAATTTGTTACATAACTATGGAAAATCACCATTTTTAATGGGAAAATCCACTATAAATGGCAATTTTCAATAGCTATGTTAGTTTACCAGAGGGTAAATTGGTTAAATGACCACCTGTTAGTCGATGTTAGTGGTGAATGTTCCATTCCATCTTTGTCTTAGCAAAAGCCTCCATTTTGGATGCAACGGCCTACAACCCTCCACCGATCCCCAAGACGCCGCACCAAAGAGGAGCCGTAAGTCCGCGCCAGCAGCGAGTCTTGGCACAGTTGCGCAGGACATCTTCAAGGAGCCAAGAGAAAAATATCCAAACAGTTGGAGTATAACTTTGTAATGTTGGGTATTTGTTTTGGATACATCCAGATTTGAATAAGACGATACTAGGTGATACTAATACTCCCATAATTTGCACTATCTTGGATACCCAACATATCTAGATTCAACTAGAAGATCGCTCCAAATTCTAGATTTCACTCACATATCCACTAGTAAGGATTTCATCAACCAAAACGTTAAAACATCGGGATTCAATCAACAAAAACATGGACGTCGACTATGTCACCGACATTCACCGACAAATCGACAAACATGAGGAATAAAAGGATTTAACGCGACAAAAAAGAGATTTCAGCAGAAAAATCAGGGGTACTTACTTGGAGGGCACGTTCAACCATTCAAACAACCAAGAAAAACAGGATTTTGGGGGGCTAGCCGAACCCACGCAGGAAGGGACTTGAATTCGCAGGGCATTTTAAGCATCATTGGGCCATGGGCCCATAACGGCACAACTTCTACTTGCTCCCTAAGCCAATTCTGGGAAAAAAAACAAACTGCAGGATATTAATCACTATAAAGCTAGGATATAGTTGAACTAGCAAGGTATCATAATGCATTATGAATCATAATGTGCAAAAACGGGTCATAAGGAAGCATTTCAAGCCAGGTTGAGGCATCATTCCAGTGGGGTGCTCTTGGCTTCATCCCAAGTATCATGTGGGGCTACCCTCCAACTGGCTCCCCATGAAAAATAGGGACGGATTGGATACCCCTACAGTTATGGCCATTTATCAGTTATAAGTACTAACAAAACCCCATTTATAGAATGTATAATCCCATTTATAATCAGTTATAACGGGTAAATGGCCATAGCTGTAGCTTCTTATCTCTCTCCTAACCACTGGATAGCCTTAAAAGAAATACGCAGATAGCTTTCACACCACAGTCATAGGCAAAAAATATCATGTGTATATCTCAATGACTGTGGAGGTTTTGGTTCACCATGGTTAGAAAATACCTCGGTAATCCTAGGTATATAAGGGTTTCTAAGCGTTCCCAACTTCTGGGGTTTACCTCAGCATGGTGAAAAGGCCGCTGCCATAGCCATGGTCACCGATAGCACCCAATTTAGTCGCGGCACTCCATGAGCCGTCGCGAGAGCTCCACATTGTCCACCTCGGGCCTTGAGGAAATGATGGCCGAATCGGCCATGGGAGATACCCTCTGGTAATTTGTTACATAACTATGGAAAGATCCACCATTTTTAATGGGAAAACTCACTATAAATGGCCATGTTCAATAGCTATGTTAAATTACCAGAGGGTATTTTGATAGAAGCTACTGATGGGATAATACCCTCAGATGTCATCAAAGGTGGCATGCTGGAAAATCCACCATTTAGGGCATGATTTGTTTCCCATGAACACATAATTAAGAGACACCTCCATTTATAGGGGATTTTCAATTGCCATGTTTGAATACCAGAGAGTATGGTTTTCAACGAACGAAGAAATTGAGATGATACCACACAAATTGGGCTTGGGAGATGATTTTCCGATGTTGAAGATGGCCATACAATCTATCAATTCCATGTTAAAAGATAAGGGGAGTGACCCCAAATTGGCAATCCTTAGGCGGGAAATCCATGGACAATGGACAATAGGTTTTATCATGTTTTGAATCATTCATTATGTTCTTTTTCTCCTTGGGGTGACATATTTGGAAACAAACCCAAGCGGGTTTGTTTCCGGGGGTGATGCATTTTTCTAGTCCCAACATGTCCCAACATGAGTGCCCCCAATTGCTGTACACACCATTGCGCAATGCTTGGGTCTGGGATACCGCTAATATATATATATATATATATATACCAATCCAAAATCATTGGATAGTTGGCAACACAAAGGATTATGCCAAATATGTGGATATCCATGCTGCTATATCCAAGTGTTGTGAGTTGGTATGGCAAGGGATCTCAGTCAAAGATGCTGTACCAGTGCACCAAGAGAAATCGGAACAATCATACAAAAATGGCTTCATTCACACAAGGGAACTTAGTTGACTTACTTGCTGGCCAGCGTTCGCAAGCTCAAATTTTACATACCTATAGCCTATAGACCCTACAGACCATCAATAACAAAATCAAGAAACTGTATATATCAACATATATTTAATATTGTTGGTTGTTGTATAAATTGTGATTCTTAGATGTTATTGTTCAACAAAAACCTCAACCTTAACATGTATTAGCCAAGAAATATAGTTAAACAAACCCAACAGCCTTGCCATCAACAGCCTTTCTGTGGCGTCCCTGGCTTGAAGAAATCACTCACTTGTCCACGTCGCCTCAGCTCCACAACCCAGGTAACCCATGGCTTTCGGGGCGAAACAGGATGGCTTTAGGATGTAGGAAACGACAATTACTGGTTGGTGGCATACCTACCCCTCTGAAAAATATGACTTCGTCAGTTGGGATGATTATTCCCAACTGAATGGAAAGTCATAAAATTCATGTTCCAAACCACCAACCAGCTTTTCAATGGATTGGTGTGTGAAAATCGTCGAAACTTGATGGACATTTTGGGATATGGGAAATGGGTCCTGGGTCACTGGGTTTGTACCCCGGGTGAAAACACGTCATTTTTTTGCTGGGATTTATGGACTTCCCCATGAAAAATGGTATTTATAGGCTTATAGGTATTGATCCATGGCCACAGATGGAATTACTGAAGTTGTGACTTGCTACTTCTAAGGTTGACAGGTGTGATGGTGATTGATGGTGTACTGGAGTAAGAATGAAATAGTTGGATGTAACAATGTAGGATGATAGTGAATGATATGAGCACTGAAATGTGTACATATATTGAAGCAATTATGAAACCCAAACATATGGTTTGCCCTCCTGATATTCGCCATGTCGTATCCAGTTTCTCGATGTGATGATCAAATGGATAAGCTTCAAACTGTTTAAATCCCCAAGTTGTATCAACAGTTCCTGAGTTGTGGTCCAACTCAAGTAGTGCCCGATTTACTGAACCGCAAGATGCTCTGTCCATCTTTGATACACATGGTGCGTAAAAAAAAGTAGAACATAATTCATGCCAGACCATAAAACCATAGCCAAATGAACCATGCATGGGATCATCATGAGTCCAAACATGGTGCTAACACATTGATCTAAGACATTCCCATTGAAGAACCGTTGACCAACCACACACCAAGTGTAATGCTAAAGGCAGATACACAAATTCTTGGGTTTACCACATTGTTACTAATTCCTTTCATATAATCTTGTCTACCAAACGCCCCCCCAAAAAAAGAAAAACAATCAACAAGCATTAACCATGAGTCTGAAAATTGTGGATACCAAAAAATACAAGATTAAATACATGTATGGAGAATCGCATTATTCAAACATGGAAAAATCTATGGTTTCTCCTAAATGTTCAAAGAAACTCATGTAATGTGGTAAGCTGCCATCAACAATCCAACAAAACGCCCCATTTATGGCTGGCCTTTTTCAATGCTCCCAAGTTCAACAACCATACGTAGTGACTTATAGTACCCTTATGTTTGACGCCATTTTTAGGGCTGGTGAGTTGAAATAGTACCAAATGTGTGCCATTTATATTTATTTATATGTATATGTATATATATATATATATGTATTAAATATACATACGTACAATTATATATATATGTATATATATATATATTATACAGTATATATATATATTTATGTATATATATAGTGGTAAACCCTAAATCATAAACCAAGCATTTGGGGATGATTTATCAAACCTATGATTTCATGTGGTTTCTTGGCACATGACCATTTCCGAGCCTCCCGAGCCCCCCACATGAGCTTCAATCCGGCCGGGATCAGCTGTGCGTCCTTCCCCTCTCCCAGGCTCAGGTCCGCCTTCAGGACCTATGGAAAACACCGTAGAGGGATGTTTTGAAGGAGAATGTAGAAGATTTGAAGAATAGAAGATTTAAGATAGAATTTCTATTTGAAGAGTTTTGAAGATAGACGATTTAAATGCCAAAAAGAACTGAAATCAAGACACGAGTCGCAGAGATTTCTGTTTGAGTTTGAACATAGAGGATGAAACTAACACACAACAGTCAAGTTGGACCCTGATACCATGACATCCCAGTACGGCTGGTTTGGTCGGGTGGTTTGGCATCCCAAGTCGTTGAAAGGCCAGGGACATAGCGAGACAGCCATGTAGTTACATGAGATTACCTGGTGAAATGATAAGTGAGTAGCATGGGTAGTTTACCAAATGAAAACAAATGCGAAATTGATATCCCAAATTGGGAACGAACTGCGAAGCATCTTTCAAAGCATCTGACCGAAAAAGTCTCAAAGCCAATTGTTGTTGGTCAACGTATTGTGTTTTTGGTTGCTCAAATACGACCCATTACCTAACATTATCACGATCAAGGTCTAACCAAATCAGAACATTGTTAATTACAGTACTTAAAGTCATATCAAACTCGAATATTCCATGTTTTGTTTCCCAGTATCTGGTTGATTTTCGGCCATCTCTCGCCTGTGGGTCGCTGAGCCCCCCGACTAAGGTTTCAGGACAGAGCAACTTCTGAATGCGCAGCAACTCCTGTTGACTTCATAGGGATTCATGGCCACAGAGGTAATTTTCATGGGCATTTCATGGGCAAAGCATCGATTTAGAGGCAAAAGATGTAGGCATTGGGAAAGGCATTGGCAAATTCTTGTGGAGATCTACCCCAGCCATTGGCACCAGAGGTGCCTGTTTTCACATCTCCCTGACGCCTGGGAATGTCGTGATGCTAAGATCTGAAGATAGCACCAATGAGATTCCCATCAGTCACCGGTTCCCTGGTTTTTGTTGGTTATGAGATATTACTTTATAATTCCCTATATATATATATATACATATCATAATTAAATTCCCTAGAATAATATATATATATATGTATAATTATAGAGATAGTTTGTGAGTTGCAGTCCGGTCCTGAAACCACGCATTACATCTGGATAAATTAGGATATATCAATTCTGATTTCCTCTACATTCCCAATTGGGATACACCCATGTTTCTTTCTAGCCTAGTCGATCCCTTCCCCTTAATATTGCCCCTCAGAAACCATGATTTGTAGAGAAAAAACACAAAATAACACATATCTTTGGGACCATGCACCGAGGGTGTTTAATATCATTCCTCCATTTAGTTCGACGATTTTCCCAGCTATAAATCCACATCTATCAACTGGGGGTCCACATGGCACATGACACTGTATAACTAGGCTTTCTGCAGGTTAATCATCATCATAAAAAAACAAAAACACATGATATCCGATTGATATCCCCATGGTTTATATGACAAGGTATAAACTTCAATTAACCAAGGTAAATCCATGGTTTATATGCCATTTTATATCCCCATGGTTAAACTTCCATGGCCCGGTCGCTGTATGTCGCTGTCCTCCTCCGCCGTATCGCTGGGGATCAGGGCCTAGACCAAGGCTTAGGGGGACTTGGTGATCGGGTTATGAGGCAACTTATATACAGGTTAACATAGGTTAACTATGACTATAATGAACATATCAAACATATCTATACAGTCAACTTAAGGTTTGTGAAAACCGCCAACATTTTTTGTAAAATCCCCAGAATTGTTTGTTGCTTAAATCCTCAAACATGACCATCGACCACAGATTCCGATCCAACTGGGGCTGTCTGGCCACTCGCATGTCCGCACTCTCCAGCGCACGCTCCAACTGCTCCTGGCTCCCATAGGTCCCATAGGACGACCATTGGTTAACCAATGGGGATATCATGCTATCGGTGGTGCCCCATAGCTAGCTAAGTTGCTTTATAGCTCCAATAACTATCAATAACTATGGTTTATCGTAGATATATCTATATACTTACTATGGCTTCTAAACCAACTTATAACTGGGGGGGCACCACCTTGTGGGGATGTAAATATATGGGAATACATGTAATATCATACAATATATAGTTGGAAGTAATGGAAATGAATAGGGATATAACCAACTACACTTGGATGTACTGGGGATATAATGGGATATATGATATATACTGTATATCTATATATATGTAGATATAACATACTTGGGGGTGTAGTGGATATTACTTTTATGGCTATAACCACGGTGAACAAAACCCCCCATAGCTTGGTATGGGGCCCCTAGGGCCCCTATGGTGTTTTATCTATCCACTTGTAACTGGAACTGCACTTCCAAGTATGTTGACATATGTGCCATGGTCAAATGATGGTGGCTAAATGATACTTTGAAACCCATGAGTTTAGGATACCCCTCACAAATACCAACTTTCATTACATGTTTTTTTTTCACATGGCTTTGTCTGAAAATAGATTGATCATCATCTGGTTGGTGGCATACCTACCCCTCTGAAAAATATGAAAGTCAGTTGGGATCATTCTTCCCAATATATGGAAACAAAAAACATGTTCCAAACCACCAATCAGCTAGATGATTTACCATCATTAACCACTATTATTGGTATATAATCCCATTATAAAGATAATCATTGTCCCTATTATATTGATAATCATTAACCACTATTGATAATCATTGTCCCTATTATTTGATGGCCATAACTGGGGGAAAAACAGCCCATTTTCACAGACCCACGTGGGACTTGTGTGCTTCTCACCCCGCCTGCGTTTTTTCCATGCGGCTGGCAGCACCGTCCAATTTGCGGATCCAGTACCTGATCCGGGCGAGAATCTGAAGATTCTCGTGAAGTTGGTAAAAAGAAGTGTTAATTGGATTTAAACAAATACGCACCAACTTGTATAACTACCGAAATTAAAACTTAGTGAACATAAGTTCATGAACAGGGGGTTGTAATGGATATATCCAATCATAATAATTATATGGGCATATAAAGCAACTTATATAACTACGGGAGCCCTTCCTGTATGGATCGTAGCTTCTCAGGTGTTTTTGCGGAAGCGCCCTACAGAATTCGACCCACCAATTGCCCAGCGAAAAACGACCAGACCGGCTCTCGGGCTGTTCGGTGTTCTCGTAGATCTCCGTGAAACGGCTTATGACACGCTGCACCAACTCATACTCGTGCTGGTGCCTCAGGTCATTTTCCCACGGTGGATTTCTTTGGTGTTTAAGGGGCGGAAATATTTTTTTTTACTTCAATATTGGTAAACAGTGCTACGTTATTGATAATTGTGGATTTTAAGCATGAAACAAATGGTAACAATGACATACCAAATTTTATTGTTGTAAAAAACACTAGTTTCCAATCATATTTATTGGGCAAATTGAGAATCTGATGATGTCTCTTGCGTCTCAAGGTTATCTCACCACTTGGGGATCAGCTTGATCTAGCCTCTGGTTATTTCACGCGCCTAGCAAACTGGAGAATCACAATTTTTAAGCACGGTAAATGATCATTATTATTTCATTATCATCTATTCTATGGGCCATTTCCACGTGTCATTATGTCATAAAAACCAGAGGTTAATCTGATCTCATCTGGTTTCATTTCATCTCGATCTCGTCTGATGCCGTCTGATCTGATCCTTTCAGTTCTCAATGCCGAAGGGAAATGGTGAACTCTGGTTGATTCTTCACGGAGATTTCCCACAAAAGTGATCTGCAATTCAGAAACAAAAAAAGAAGAAAACAATTATAATATAGATGTTATTACAAAATTAGAATATAATTCCTGGTCACATATAGCAAATAGATGTAGATAGTATTGAGTATTCTATAAACAAATCGCTTTCTGTACCGGCAAAGTAACACAGACTCGGCCGGGGTCAGATTTATCGTCCTTTGGAACATGGACATCGACCTATCCTGTTGACATAGGACCCATCCTGTTTGGACCTATCATGACCTATTACGACCTATTGAATCATTGAATCCTATTGAACACTCTACCTTCAAGAGGGATCTATTTTACTTATTACTTATTAGATCTTGATATTTTTTACTTATTAGATCCTAGAAAATGTATGAACATGTTGTAAATAGGGGTTTCCAAAGTCATGAGGGATTTCCAAGTCAGCTGGATGGTAAAAAAAATCATGGAAAATCCCAAGAAACAATGGATGATAACTGGGGGTACCCCCATGACTTAGGAAACCTCCAAATAACATCAAATAACTTTACAGAATCACCATATAGTTGATAATGATCATTAATGATCATTATCAACTATATGATGATTCCTGTTATCTATAGTTGGTAATGATGATCTTTAGATAACTCATATTAATATATATATATAATTGATCATTATATTTGGTAATAATCATTATTACTAGTTAGTTTATTAGTCATTATTAATGATCATTATTCACTATAGTTATAATGATTAATCATTGATAATGGTCATTGATAATGATCTATAGTTGGTAATGACCATTAATATGACTTTGCCAAGAGTCTTGCCATTTGCCAAGCCGAGCGGCTCAGGGGTGAACCAAGCACGGAGGATCCAAGCCGAAGACAGGGCCTGGTGAACCGTCACCATTTCTCCCATGTCCAAAGAATCATGTGGAATTGCCATGGTAAATATGAGGAATATTAGTCAACATGGATGGTGGTTTATCATACCATTCTCCCAATTATCATATGTAAATTTCTGGTTGGTGGTTTTAACCCCTCTGAATAATTATGAAAGTCAATGGGAAGGATTATCTCATATATTATGGAAAAAATGTTTGAAACCACCAACCAGTAAATGAGGAATAGAATGGAAATGTGGAACATGTAAAAACATGTTTGGAACCAACCATTAGTCGTTTTTGGTATTTGTTTACTCCATTTCACACCGAGAACAATCAAGATTTAAGCTGTTCAGAACAACATGTGGTTTTCATTTAATGGACTTTTAGCCCACTAATAGTATCAAATATTTTTTAGGTCAAACTTGGGCAAAGCACATCATGAACACAAAAAAACAATGACATAACATACACTCAAGTAATTTATAACAAAGCTATGGAAAACGTCCCGTTTATGGATGATTTACCTGATAAGAACCGTGTTGTTCCATATGTTTCTTTTTCCATAGCCTTGGTTAAGTTACCAACAGGTCCAGTGAAAATCACAGGTCCAGTGGGGATGATTTCACCGCAAAAAACGATGGAAAGATCCACCGTGCGATTTTTATGGGTAAATATCCACTATTTCGACTGGGCCATTTTCAATAGCTTTTTGTAAACCTTTACCAGAGGGTAGTTCATCTAGTCTCTAAAAAGAATCGATCTCCTGCAAAACCCTTTCAGTTGTGTTTTAGCAATTTGAATCAGAAATTCAAGCCATTACCTACCCCTCTTCAAGGTTTACCGCCTGGGTAAATCATCTCATTCAATGGAGAATCCATAGATGTTCTTCCTTCTGAGAAAGAAAGCCGAGCATGGGAATTGCAAATGATTCTCCGCCGCGATTCGTGGGTCATCCAAATATAAGTTTCAGAACAAAAAACATACAAAAACCCATTCAACTGTAGACATCTCCAGCATAAATCCAACTGTTATGGTTATAAAAATGAATACCCTCTGGTAATTTAACGTAGCTATTGAAAATGACCATTAATAGTGGATTTTCCCATTAAAAATTGGGATTTTCCATAGTTATGTAACAAATTACCAGAGGGTAACAGAAACCAATCAACCTGGGGGACCGACATGGCACCTACATGGCAGCCTTCAAGGTCGACCCAACTTGGACCCGCCTCTACAGCATAAGGTGGCCGAAGTCGCTCAACGAATCCTGAACTCTTCGATCGATCCAAAACTCGGATCCTTTAAAGTGCATATTCCGTCATATCCAAATTGCTAAGCCGGATCTTCATTATCCCCCCAGATATGGTGTCATTTCATAGAAGTTTACCATAGTTTACCCTCTGGTAATTTAACATAGCTATTGAAAATGACCATTTATAGTGGATTTTCCCATTAAAAATGGTGATTTTCCATAGCTATGTTAGTTTACCAGAGGGTACCTATGCCCACTTCGTGAAAATCATGGTGTCCACAAGTGGCGATGATCTGCTTGCGGATGCGCCCAAGGATCACAAAAAATTCCATCCGGATGAAACACGCCACGCAAGGTCCAAAAAACATGGTGATTTCATCCTTACCACTGGCTGGTTTCTGGAAAAAATGTGTTTTTTTTTTCTTCTGAATGGGGGAACGGTCTCCTGGGGTGGATTCAGTTAAAACAGCTGGTCATGACAGTGTTAAACTGCTTGGGTGGTTGAGGCCTTAAAAATATGAAAGGATCATTGATTTCATTTCGGTTGAACATATGGGCTCATATGGCTATGGGTCAAACTTCAAGACCTGAAAACACGATTTTAGTCCATTTCTGGCACTATCAAAAATTATTGGGGACCTAATGACTTGACTTGACCCATAGTTTGAAACCAACAACTACTGTGGATGGGCCAGCGAAATCCTGCACCAGTTCATAGATGCATTATTTATAGGGTTTCAACCATTCTTTTGGTGTTGCAGGATTTCTTCCATCCACAGCGATGGCGCCGTCGTGAGTTCTGGAGCTAAGAAAGAGCAGTCGTGGTGATACAAAGCACCCACCCACCCCGTCCATGCACTATGTAATATATATATATATTACTATATAAGATTATAGATATAATACTGTATATACATGTGTAAGACATATATACACATAGTATATATATATTATATATATATATATTATATAAATTATATATATAATATATATTATATATATATATTATATTATATATATTATATATATTATATATATTATATATATTATATTATATTATATATATATATATTATATTATATATATTATATATATATATATTATATTATATTATATATATATTATTCATATATATATATATATTATATACATATGATATATACATATATATATATATATATATATACATAATTATACATATAATTGAATTCCATGATTGACCTGACCCACGTTTCCCACCTAACGGACGACATTTCGGGCCCCGACGCTGCAAAGTCGCCGGCATCTCGACGATGGTCTTCTCGTCGCAGGTCTGAGGCGCCGGGGTTTTGGAAAGCCAACGTGGTGAAAAAATGGTGACTCTGTGGTGATGATAGTCAATTATGATAGTAATAATTAGTTATAATCACCAAAACTTATAATCACCAATAATCACTGTAATATTTGTCAATTATTAATCAGCAAACAGTGGTGACTGATAGTCATTATGATAGTAGTGATAGTAATAATGGATAATGATGGTTTAGTATTATGATGGTTAATCAGCAAACACTGGTGAATGATCGTCAATTTATGATATATAGTAATAACTATGGATAGTAATGGTGAATTTGATGGATACTGGATAATTGAACATTTTATGTTAAGACATAAACTATAATGATGGTTGAACAGTTGTGAATAATTACAGTAACCAACTCAACCGTAGTGTTAAATTAGCGTCAATTTTGGATAGTTGAGTTGGTTTACAAACCCCATTAATCAACTATAGTCATGATAATTAATTAGTCTTGCTTACTAACTTCCAATGGGCTCTTGAAACCCGTGAAAAAGTGGAAATTGCCATGTCTGGGGCTGCGTGTTTCTGGGCTTCTCAAGAGTCAAAAACCTGAAATAACACCCTTGGGAATTCCAAGTGGCTATGGAACACCACCATTCTTAAGGTACCTAGATCTTCCCAGGTTGCAAAAGTTTAGCCTCTAAGTTTAAAAAAACCTCTGTCTTCTGGAAGCAAAGTGTGCTTGCAAATAAAAGTTGTCTTTTGTAATATGCTCTTCAATGCCAGCTTACAATCCAAAAATCATGTTTCAATGCAAGCTTATGGCTTTGCGCATGCTGCGTAGATCAGCTGATTCAACACACCTCACTCCCGTCGAAAGCATTTCCCTGAAAGTGAAGGTAGACCACGGATCAGCACATTCTTTGCTGTATCAGTCAAAGAGCTGAGAAATGCTTCTCCAGTGCGCCAACGACTGTCGATGACATGGCTTTGATTTGCCTGATGAATCTCTCCGATGATGTTTCATGACCTCGAGGCTTCTCATTTCTCTCAGCATTCACACGAACATGTTCAAGCATACGTTTCACCTCATCCTTTAAATCGTTTGCAAACTCGTCCAGGTTATGTTCGATGCACATTCATTAATATCCATCAAACATAACATAATCTAGCCGTTAAACATCATTAAACTCGTAAGGTGCGTCACTAGACTGTAGCATGAAGCCGAATGAAGCCATATAAGGTATTGTTTTCGGGGCACCACCTAGTCTAGCACTAGCCATGTCTGGCACCAAAGTGCCAATCTTACTGACTGTAAGGAACATTGTGAATAGAGTCCAAAATGGGATTTGGCTTGAATTCCTTGCATCATATGTGAAAGTTTTTGCTCTCTCATTGTGGCTGAGCAACTCAAAGTCCAAAACATTACATCACTCTCCGACCCCCAGGACGTCGATTTCGCCCCATTGGTTTGAATGTAACCCATGTTATATGTGGAAAGTGGATCTCCTTTTAAAACCGTTTCAATGTTCAAAATTGACCTTGGGATTGCGAATCTGTACCCTGGCCAACTCCAACTCTTTCCCGGATTGGATCGAGAAGATCAAAGTATCAGCGTTTTGCCTCGGAACGGCCGGACAGAATTCTCACAGTAAACATGGACATGGCAAGCAAACAAAGTGCGCATCAAAACTTGAAGCCTGGGAGTAGAGTAGTCGACATGCAGTGGCATCAAATTTCCAAAACAAGATGCGCAATCAAATGTTCTTTTCTCGTCGTGCGCACGTGGCTAGGGTGTTTGGACGGGTGCTGGGAAAAACGGCTTTTGGAACCAGCTAAAAAAATTGGCTTGGAAGCTCTAGTATTCAATGTGTCTTTCTGAATTAAACTCAACATCAGTCAGATTCCATTGAAACATGATCGGTTGATTGGGGGCTTTGGTGTTTTGGATTCCAATGCCACGTTGTCCACAGCCTGTGCTTTGTCCAACAGAAGTCAGTAGTGTCGTGTGCTTGTCAGTCTTGGCATTGAAGGAAAAGAATAGACCTAATCTGCCAACCTTTTCCTTAGAGCGAGGTTTTCTCCAACAGGTTTTTGACAAGAAGAGACTTTCCCAAGACTGCGCGCAAGTTCAAGGTATCTATATATGGCTATCTTGCCTGCACGCCATGCAATTTAGAAAGGCAGACTGCTGAAACAGCTCCAATTCAGATAAGAAAAAACCTGGGCAGTGGCTCAATGCAAAACATTGACATTGCAAACTCCAGTGTGGTATGAAAGTATATATATATATGACTTATATCACCACGAAATTCATCAAATGTTGTTCAGTTCTATCGGAGCAGTTTGAAACGCTGCACAGATGGCGGGAAATCGTGACCAGCAAGCATTCTCACTTGAGCAAGTGGGCGCCGTTCACCATCTTGAGTGCCTGAGAGCGATCATTTCCGGCCTCCTCTTTTCGGCGGCGCTTTTTTGAAGCCGCTGTCTCTTGGCCTTCTGCTTCAAGTTGCTTCTCTCTCAAATCCATCGCAGCACCCAAACCACAGCGAACGGACGGCCAAGCAACTTCCTTTTTGCTCTTGGCTGCTTTCGCGGCTACTTCTTCTGGCGTCATGGCCCTCACCAGTGGCAGCGGGGTTTCCGACCCTGCATGCTTCTCTGCAATAGTCAGCCTGGGTTGGACCAATGGAGGTAGTTGGGCAAAGCATAACAGAATAGAACCCAATGAAAACGAAAACATCTTTGCATTTGGCTCTGTAACACCCAATTGTAAGTTGTTTCGAGAAGATTGTAGACTAAGAACAACAACTGCCCTGTTTGGACCATACAACATTGACACCGCTCACGGCTCACGCCACCATAGCCGTAGCCCAAAACTTTCAGTATAGCAAGTACAAATTTGAAACTTGAGAAAGTTAAGGAAAACAAGAATTATGCAGCGCCAATGAACATGCCCAGGAACGAATAAGTCGTCAACGCTATCTTGATGTAGCTTGGGGGCTTCTCAGCCTTGGAAGGATCTGGCGAGGAAGGCGGCGTCTTTTCTGGGGTTGGGCAGTAGTTGTCTTCAGGCTCAGATTCAGAAAGCGGTCCAGCGGCTCTCGCCCCAAACTTGGGCTCCTGCAAATCAGCATCAGCAGCATCCTCACATTTCTGGGCTGGTTCATTCTCAGCATCAGCAGGTGTTGCTGCTCCTGCCAACTTGCCCACTTCCAACTTGGATTCCGAAGCACCTGCTGCTGCCTTCTCAGAAAGATTCTCATCTGCATTTCCAACTGCAGCAGGTTGCGCTGACGGCCCCAACTTGCCCAACTCCGCTACATCCTCAGAAGGCTTAGCTGCAGTGTCTGCCGCTTTGCCCAGCTTGCCCAACTCCACTTTGGACTCCTCCTCACCATGTGCCCCATTCTCAGAAACGCTTTCGACAGGATCTGCAGCAACAGCACCTTTGGAGGGCTCCTCGGCCTCATTCGGCAGAACCTCGGAAGGCAATTCCTGCTTGGGTGATCCTGCTTCCTTTGCAACTGGTTCTGTTTCCGCATCCAACAAAGTGGCGTCAGCGACAGACCTCAAGTCAGCCTTCAAGTCACCATGCTCAGGAATAGGGGTGCCAGGGGCTTGAACGGATTGGTCCTTCTTGGCTTTGCACTTGGGTTTTGCACTTGCACCCAAAGCCTTCACATCACCCAGGATAGCTTTCAATCGAGAGACTTCCTCATGGGCGGCTTTCAAGTCAGATTCACGTGACTCACACTCTCCCTTCCACTGTCGAGCAATCTCTTTGCAGTTGCGAGCCTTTGTTTTTGCTGCCTGAATTGCATCAGACATCATAAGCTTGAACAAATCCGCTTGTTGAGTTGTTACCTGCCTCTCTTCCCACGCCTTGCTTGGGTTCAATGCCGAGACCTCCCCATTCGGAGAAACATAGACAGTGATCACGGCATGTTGGAATTCCAAAGTCACATTGTCTCGCTTGTGGGTTGGTTTGGCCAGCCAAGCAGGGACAACTACGTCCCCTTGAGGAGGAAGTTGAGGAGGGTGCATGTAGAACGTGATTTCCCCCAATTGGCCAATCTTCAAAGCATCTTTGGACGGTTCAGTGCTAACTGGCCCGCAAAACAGCAGCTCTGCTGTTGGCGGGCAGTTCACCAAAACACACTTCTCAGAGCTTTTCAAGCCAGCTTCTTGAGGGTCAGCTACATACATCACGTGGCTTTCAACTGTCTTCGCCGTGACATCCTGATACAGTCTCCAAAGCAAGGACTCGATTCCTTTCTCCACAATCTTGAGCCAAGAGGATGTCATCTTGACGCGAAGCTCCGGCACATTGCCAGGGCAGTAGTGCTGAAGCTGGGACTCATCAGCTTCGAGAATTTTGGCTGAATCCACAGGCATGTGGATCAGCTCCAAAGGGATCAAAGCTTTCTTGTACCCAACAAACCAGTAGTCCTCATCCTCCTTCCCTTCATCTGCGCCGCTACCATTCGCGTCGTCGTCCTGGCAGAGTGAGGAATAAGAAGCGCTACGTAGTTGTGCAGGAAGAAAGTTAAACAAGACAGGCCATGGTTGAAATCAAAAAGGGGTAGTTGAATTTCTTTGCAAGTGCAAGTTTCAGTGGCCAAATTGTCATGACAAGTTGTTGACCTGAATGGTTTGAAAGGCTGCTGTTAGCAATGCAAGTAACACTATCAAAATCATGCCGTGCTGGCCCTCTCCCACCATTGCCATTGCGCCATTGCACTAACCATCGCCATTTTTGAAAGTAAAGGAAAAACTGCACAGTTGCTGTTGGGCTGTTAGGAGTATATAGGTTAGGGACGCAATGACATAGATGATGAACCCTTTAGTCTTATAGTGCGCCTTCTTGTCTTTCAAGTCTTCTGTGCTTTGTCCTTCCTTCAACTTCCTCTTCGCTGCGCTGATTTCGGGGTCAACATCTTCGGACTTTTCTGGCTCCTTCGACTCTGCCTTTTTGTCAATCTCGGCCCGCTTGACTTTCTTCGGGACGCCGCGGAGATCTCGAATGGCTGCCGCCCCAGTAGAGACTGAAACGCATGCGCCAAGCAGTTTCACCCACTGATCAGTCCAATTCATGTCGCCTTCGTGCGCCAGTTCCTCAATTCAGAACATGGGGCCGACTGAACAAACCAGCTGTTTCCCTGAAACATTGGCCTTCACTAATTGCAGCATCTTACATTTGTTTTAGACAGATTCAGAAGAACATCATACACCAAGCACAGTTGGTTGGTAGTGAGTTCGGTTGGTTTCAACCATGTACAGTACTGACAGACCCAAATGATGCGACGTAAAAACATAACCTTTCTACACCTCTTAGTACGTGAACCTTTGTTCCAAGCACAACACCCTGTTTGCATCAAAGTGTCCGCGTCAAACGCAGTGATAGCAGAGACAAACGTAACTCCAGCGCCATCCCCAGATGATGAGAAACTTTCAAGGCCACAGGATTGATTTGTGTCAAGTTCAGAAGCCATCTCTGAAATGCTCTTCCCAATCTCTTCAGAACACTTCAGGATCTTCATGTTGAACAAATCCTCGAGCCCAAGAATCACATACCTGGCCCTCATTCCACAGAACTGAGCGAGAACCTCACTGCTTTCAAATGTTGAAGCTGTGCTTTCCACCAGGCGCCCGCCAGTCTTTTGGTGAAGATACGCCGCGCAAGCCCCATAGATCAACCAAGGCGCTGGAACAATCTTGAGCTCAGTGAAAAGGTCAAAGAAATAGGCAAGTTGGGCCTTGAAGTCAGGCAAGTCACGGAACTCCTTCATGCTTGCCCCAAGCTTTTGGCGAAACTGAGTGAGCTTCTCATGCATTGAAGACGGGAGATGCAAGTGTGAGCTGATGTATCCTCGAAGCGCAAGGGCTTCAGAAAAAATTCGAATGAAATTCAACATGGATTCTTCGTCATTGTGGCCATCGCTGCTGCTCTCGGGAACAACCTAGGCATCATTGCTGCAACAGAATCGACATATTGAGCATTTCTCTAAACGGAGGGGCCCCAAAAGTAATTCATTTAAAAAAAAAAAATCTTTTGGGGCCCCTTGTATGGAGAGATACCCAAACCTAACAGAATCCCAAAAATACAATTGTTTGTTTTTGAGGCAAGATGGAATTGTCACCCACTTCCTGCTCAAACTAGTAAAACCAAACAAATAGTAGTACCACACTGCCACACAAAAAAAAGTCGAAGAAGCATTACAGAGCATCATAACACAGCCGAAAAGCCGGTCCAGAAACCATGTGCAGCAAGTCCTGGGCAAGCTTCAGCGGATCGAACTTCTTCTCATTGACCGTCAACTTTTGGTGGGCTGCGTAGAAGATCACATGGCTTTCTTCGCGGAAGCTAGAGTATTGCTTGAACAGCTTGCCGTTGCAAGCCACTGAACAGCCCCATGCCAGCTCAAGGAAGAGGCTGAGAAGAAAACGCTTGGACCTACTTGCCTCCTCATCGGAAATCTCTGTCGCAAGGTTGGATCTGGCCCAAGACAGGGTTGACAAGAAATCGTCCAGAGCGTGTTTGGTCCTGCTGTCAGAACCCTTCAAAGCCAAGATGTTGGTGTCGAAGCTGTCTGCTTCTTCAAGGCCCTTGGTGGGCTTTGCCACTTCCACTTTCTTCCCTTCAAGATCTTTTCCTCCGGCTTTCTTGCTGGCCTTGGCTTTCCTCTCTGCGTGAGACTTGTCTTTGGCCAGCTTCTTGCGGATCTTCTTGCCTCGCTTTTCTTGTTTGGCCGTTCTCAGTGCTGCAGCTGCTGCATCTGCGTCCGGCTTTTCATCATCCTCCTCATCATCACTTTCCTCTGACTTGTCTTGGCTTTCAGCTTTCTCACCTCTTGTCTTTGCAGGCTGGGAACCGTCACCCTTGGCGCTCTTCACTTTCTCAGCACGGGACTCACGGGCAGCTGTTGCTTCATCCAGCTGTCTTTCTAAGTCCTCTTCAATCATGTGACGGAGACGCTCATCCTCTTCTCTTTGGGCCTGTGAGAAGCAGGCTGGCCCCACGGAACAAAAATAGTCTGGCACCAGTGGCTGGAATTCTAACCGCAGCCTACAAAATCAGAGCATGGAAAATAACAAATAACATCTCCAGAATCTAGACTGTTAAAGCTTGGAGGCTACAGGCTACAGGTCAGCAAACACTTAGATCCATTGAAATCCAGCGGGCCCATGAGGCCTTTTTGCGAATCAATTTCTTGAACGCAACGCTGTTTTCCATGGGGATCGTGATGTTGGCCATCATGTTCTTGTCTGAGAAACCAGGGCGGAAGATGTGAGGAATTGCTCGTTGGGACCCATTGCTCGTGGAAGGAACCTGAGGCTGCACTATGGGAAGCCTGACAATATGACTACAGGACCTATAGGCTATAGGACTTGCTTGGCTTGAACGCATGGAAGTGTTAAATAGAAAACTTTGGTTGGCCAAGCATTTAGATCGACCCAAATGCTCCCCATACGTGTCTCTGCTCCATAGCATACCCTTACCTTGGATGAAAAAATGACAACCAACCAACAAAACAAGAAACGCAGAACTTGAGCGCTTCGCCCAAGACTGCCTGGATGTCTGCCTGACTGTGGAAATTCCTCAAGGACTTGACGACGATGTTGGACATCTGACACATCATGGAAACCGAGTGCCCAGGAGGCACGCCACAGAGGAAGTCACCATGAGCCTGATGCCAATCCTGTTTTTGTGCTTCGCAACAACAGCCGTTTGACCAACACTGGAAACCGAGACGGTGAATCTGCTAGGTAGTTTTTGTATTATGGCCACTCGACTTGCCACGCCTAAATTAAAAGCTTCTGCGTCAATCCAGCCGCCTGTCTAAATCAACTTGGCAACTTGCAAGGGAGATAGCCAATACAACGAAATCTATATAGTTCAAGAATGTTTCACTGGTTATTGCACTCCCTTGGCTCCTCCTAAAAACTGTTTAGGTCATTGAATCTAGGGTCGCCTTGCCAACACGAATCGACAACCCAAACGAAAGCTGTCCTCAAACTCCTTCTGCAATTCAAAGTTCTGCATTGTGTGGCCCAAGGACTTTGCGTCTTGGAAAAGACTGATTGATTCCCGAAAGAGAGAGGACTGGTTTCGAACAAAGCCATCATACAGCCTTTGGTATTCGGAGTGCCGAGTTGTGATTCCTTCGGTGGAACACTTCCTACGCCAGCTAGCCTCAAGGTTCAACGCTTCCTCCACAATTGCCAAAGGTGTCACGCCTGAGCCACTGTGATGACGATTGTGTTCATCACACATCCACTTGATCACATAATTTGGAGTGTCCTTGTGCAAGATGCGGGCTCTGCGAAGCCCTTGCTTCAGGGTCTGGACAACCATGGGATGCCACGGGTTCTTTTCGAAGCACCCATAGAAGGCTGCACGCCTGTGGTTGAAGGAAAGTGCAAGAAGAGGATAATTCCGCTGCTTTGGCCCTGGCGACCACCTCAACCATGGGAGTCCTCAGTGAGCGCTCCATGAATCCAATGTTGCATGACTGTACGATATGAAAATTGCAAGGTGCTGGGTTTTCAATCCATGAACCGCCCTGAATCGCCATGAAAGCGTAAAATTAGAAACAGGTAAACCACTCAGCATTCAGATAACACACTGTTGCATTGGCTTGGACTGTTGCACACACACACTTTTGATTGGATGATGATGCTTGTACTGTTTGCTGTTGTGCTGGCTGGTTAAAAACAACCCGCAGGCGGCAAAACAAAAACACAACCAAAAATACGGATACCGGATACCCATACCCAGGCAAGATACCTGAGCAATCGTCTGCAAGCCCCGACTCAAAAATGCGGGCCTCATACTCTAGGACCGTTGCTTGCTGAAGAGGGCGGTTGACAGGGTCCGAAACAACATTTGGCTGGCCATCGGTGAACCAACCAATGTCCATCGATTCTCCCTTCGGGTCACCAAAGACCTCGAAAATTCTCTCAATCCTTGCTGCTCCATGGTAATCCTTGAAGACAACCTCAATGTCATTCGGATCTTTCCATGGGTCAGAACCAGCTGGCGCAGGTGAGGCTGGAAGACTCTTCCCTGTGATTCTGCGACGCTTTGGAGTGTCAGTATGTGAAAGCGCCATCCCACAGAGTCAATGGAGTCAATGGAGTAGAAAAACCAACTGGTCACAGTTGCAATGAATCTTGCTGGAAGGTCCTCAAAGAACCGGGGTTGCAATACCCCTCAAACGGCACAAGCGCCAGCCAAGAAAGCACTGCAGGAAATCGGCAGCAGCAATGCGGGTCTTGGCAAACGCTATTCACGGGCTGATCCAAAACAATGGCAAATCACGGACAAAGTCATCATCGGGTGTGTGTATGAAACTGAATGGCAATCCCAAGGTCACTGCAGTTTGTTGCATCAGTTCACAAGACCGAGTTTACTTTCCAACAAATGCCACATCACTGAAACAGTCACATCACCTGTGTCAAAAACATATCTGGGAACCTGACTGAAACTGTGAGACAATGGGCCGCCGCAATCAAAAAAGTCATAGAGCCTGTAGCCTGGCACGGTTGCATTTCATTCTGCGACGTGAGTGAGCAATAGGCAATGGCAAGCTTCGATTTGGACAATGTTCAACTCCTGGAAAAGTCAAAACTCATGAATCATGACACTACACTGCAGCCTCCGATACAAATCATTACCGGGCTGCTGTTGCTGCTAGGGGTTGAGACCTAGGACCTAGAATGATTTGATGTATCATTGCTGGGCCGTGCAGAATTCACCGGCCCACTTGTTCACACGCAGCGTGGTTTTGTCTGCCACATGTTGCTTTCAGACCTGCACGCACGCTGCGTTCAAGTGTTGAAGAGGCCGGCCCCTGCCGCTGAAAGATTGAAGATACTCTGCCAACACCTTGAACGTGAAGGTGTGTTCAACAACTGCAAGCCAATGTTCTCACTTAAACCTATTGCTGCTATTTGCATAGTTCTTTGCACTGCGCCACTGTGTTGGCTGTGGGTCTTCATCAACAGCCAGCCAACCGGCCGCTCTGGAATGGCTGTACGAAAGGTGACTGTTTTAAACAGTAACAATTAAGTTGCTGTATCCAAGGTGGCTGTTTTAAACAACTTACCATTGGAACATTCAGGGCCCATTGCTTCACAATGGAAACCTGAAAATCGACAACGTGTGGCGAGAGCTGCAACAATCATGGCTGGCTGGCTTGCATGTTTTGGGAAGCCTGCAAAAAAGTGAGACATGAACCCAATAGCAAACGTTTCTCAGAAAAGGTCGTCATCATATCCTCTGGGGTGGGTCTGGCTGTTTCCCTTTCACTCGCTTCTTGGGGCGCTTTCCGTCAGCACCTTTCTCCTTGTCAGGCACGCAAGCACTCTTGCTACTGATCTGCTTTCGTTTGAGAAGGGCTGCTTCGCGAAAAAGGGCAATTTCACCAATGATCCTGGGAAATTGAATGAAGTTCTAACTTCCTGTAGTACAGCTCATGAAGGCAAGACGACCAACAAGAAACAGATACGGGGACAGGCAAGATGGCAAGGAAGGAGGCAGCAAAGTAAGCTAAGCTACTCACAATCAGAAATGTTTTGCTATGTTCTCGTCTGACTTCCACACAGACATTTACAAGCTTCTGTTACCTGGCCTTGCCACTGCTACAGGCCCATCAAAGGCAAAACTAAGTTCTCACCAATCTGGATCCGTGCGCAATCAATGTGAACATTGAGTGTCAACAGCTAGTTTTTCTTGTTGAATGCAAAATTTCCACAAACGATGGTTTCCAATTGACCAATTCCCACACCCGCTCCTGTTGTATTCCCCTGGCTGGCGCCAACACACAGCAGAGTGAAGGTGGCACAGGAATGGACATACCACATGCATCGAATTGCCTGCTTGTGCGCAAATAGAACGTGGCTTTCTCTGCCTCTCAAAGTGGAACGAACTTGTGAAGAAATCGCTGAAGTCTGGGTGCACCGGAAATCCCTGCAAGCACAAGCACTCTGTGCCAAACAGCCATCTGGAACAAGCCCTCTCGCAACCAGGAAAGTCAGCCTTGGCGGAAGTTTCATGGGGCTCAGGTTGATGCACTTCATCAACCCAAATCCTTGGCTAAGGCAGGCTGTTGTAAGAAAACAAATGAAACCAAAAAGAAAACACACATTTCAAGGTGAGCTGCCAGGTTTTGTATTCCTGACAGCTGCAAGCAAAAACTACAGGAAGGACAGAAGGAGCTCAACGAAAAAATGATACCCAAGACTTGCCCAGTGTCAGGCCGCAGTTGTGAATCAAGGTATGCATCCAAAACAGAGTTGAGTGCATCCCGTGCCCAGCACCTGGGTTTTGGTTGAGCTGCCAGGCCTCCCCGGGGGCCTTCTCAGCATAAAGGCCTCTCATCTTCAATTCATTGGCATTCAAGGACGCCAGAAAAGGTTGTTCTTGAAATCCGCCAAGGGCACAAATCATGTCCTGCACTCGGACAACCACCGCCTACAATGTATCTTGAAAAGGCCCCTGCCACATGTAAGTACAAGCGCGTTATGACTCTGTAAGTCTATAAGAGTATATAATACATAAGAGTATGGATGAAGATTTGCAGGCTTCTTCCCCGAAAACACAATCAGATCAATCCTTCGCATCAGATACTTCTTGCGCTCCATAGTGGGCAACGATGCGGTCAATGTCCTCGACACTTTCGTGCCCGCTGTTTGCAAAGGTCCTGATCATACTCAGTTTGCGGCTTCGGGCCCATTGAAGCTCGGCTTCGAACTCAGTCGGGATCACTCCATCCTTGAACATATGCATGAAAGCAAACTCTCTCCAGCTCCAATGCACCAAGCGGAAAAAACGCTTGTTGAAGCGAGAAAAAGGACTCAACTCCATGAGGGCCGCTGCCTTGTTCCTCAAGCGATGGTACTTGCGCCCTCTTGCAATTGGAAACCTGTAGAGGCGCAGCTGAAGAGTTGGGAAAATGTTTTTTTGTAAGAGCAAGCAAACCTGCTTCTGGGCAAATTAGGTTTCATTCAGAAACCCCAAACAAACCAGGACAACTTGTTCAATGACTAAAGCACTCAGCCACACCGAACCATTTCAAAACTAGGGCCAACCCCATGCTATTCAAATGACAAAGAACCCAAAGAAGCGTGGATCCATTTTGATGGCCTCTATGAAGTACATTGGCGACATCAATCTCTCCAGCGCATCAGTGGGAAATTCTTCAACGTTTTCCAACGTAATCTCCTTTTCGCCCACCTCCAGGCGCAATCCGCACCATGCCAAAAAGTGGATTGCATTCTTGTCACTGAAAGCTTTGCCCAAGCCCTGTTTAGAATGGGCTGTACAAGAACTCCCGGCAGTGTGGGCATCGGATGTCTGGAGGAAGCATTCCTTCTGATGGCGCAGGCACCAAGCCCGACGCTTCATGGCTTTGCGGCTGCACAGCAATGGCGCTAGGATCTCAAAGGCCATAGTTGGTTTCTGCTCCAAACCCTTGATCAAGTCGGCAATGTCGTCACGGAAGAACCCGGCTATGTCGCTGAATATGCAACTGTCTTGATCGAGCCCTTTGCAAAGGGTCATCAACTCTTGCTGACACTCCGAGTCCCACTCCACAAAAGACGTCAGCCGGGGCATATCAATCTGAAGGGTCTAGCCGCAACCCAAAAGAAATCATATTGTCAGGAATATGTTCGTTGAAGTGTGGGATACGCTGGCTGGCTGAATGGTTGGGAAAATGCCATGTCTACTACATCTTGAAATTGTTTCCTGTAAACATCTCTGCTTTCGAGAAATACCAAAATACGCATCACAGCAAGAATACTAAAAACAGCCAAGGCCATATCTAGAACTGGGCCATTCAAATTTTGCTAACCCCCACCTGCCGTGAGGGAAGTCGACGCTGCACTGCTCTGTGCAATCCCATGAGGGCTGTCTCAGGCGAAGCTATCCCTGAGACAGCAGAACTGTGAGAAGTTGTTTCCAGCCAGTCAGCAAGCTGGTCAAGCGTGCAAGTGGCATGGTCCAATCCAGCCGCTGCGTGATTGCGACGATGACCATCACCCTTTTCGGTCCTTGCAACAACCTCATCCAGAAAACTGTCATAGAAGTCCAAAGCGTGCATCAGTGATTTGGTAGTTTTCTCGGAGGATTCTGGTGGAAACAAGCATTTCTCTTCATCCAACCTTGTCGCATTCAGCACTCCTTGGTGAGTCAACAGCTGATCGCCTGGAAGGCTGCGGCGCTCAGACTCGCCTTCTACATGTGCTGGGTGTGGACCTTTGACTGGAGAAGGACATCTTTTCGAGGAAGAGGAAATAGACGTAGACTTCTCTGTCGTCGTCCCTTGAACACGAGGCCGGGGCTCCAAAACATGCTCTTTCTTGATCTTGGCAGGAGCAGCTTCTGTTCCTGCCGACCACACATCTTTGTCGGTTCCTTCCTAAACAATGACGCGTGGTTACTTTGTATTTTGATATTTTGATTGGCTGACTGAAGTATATTGGCATTCCACAGCAGTATGGATGGTAGGTCGTCGGTTCTGCTTGAAATGCCTGGCACTGGACTCATGCCTTCTTCTGGATGATGTCAGCTGTTTTTATTGCGGTCACAAGTCCCACGCTAACACAAATGAGAACAGAGGAGGAATGGAGTCGGAGGAAACATCCGAAGCCAGTCAATAGGCTAGAAGTAGAAACAAACGTTCACACAAGACAACGTGACAAAATCGAGTTCCGAAAGGTGTCCTGCCACTGTCGCGGGAGCATCTGGGTTCGCATCAGGTTGCGCTTGTTCATGCCCCCCTTTCACCAAAGAATCAGAAATGCTGGTTTGCTTCATTCCATCATTTTGACGCTTGGTCCTTGTCTTCAAAGGGACATCATCTTTGTGCTCAAATGTAGAGTCCCAAGTGAAATTGTACCAGACTTCCTGCCATCACCGCTCGACTGTCTGTCACAGTCCGAGGCTCGAAATGACTGACTTAACTTTATCATTGTCACGGTCACATGCCAAAACCAATGTAGCCCATGGGGCAAGGGTTACTACAACATGAACATGTTCTCCTACATTTCTGCAGCTGAACGCACTGGCCATGCGAAAGAAACATGAGTTGCTCCAACCTATGCAAAGCCAAACATTTGTATGGCGGCCAACACCAAAGCAGAAAGCAACACGCACACAACTTTGGACACATCACCTGAAGTACTTGCGATGGCCAACACCAGTCCTGACTTCCGCTGGGTAGGTATCTTGGAGGGTTGATGACTGAGTCCACTTCAATCTCCCAGGCCACACACCCTCCTTTGTCAGACTTCCACCCTTTGCGCATAGAAGCATACGCGTTGGATGGAACTCGGTGCTTGTCATAAAAGGAGTCAAAGTCATCATGAGAAATGAAATGGTTTCCCTTGAAAATCAACTTGGCTGCTATCTCAAGGCAAGTTTGCCCGTGCAAGTTCCTGCCAGCCCCTTTCTCAAAAGCCCTGAGTAGGTAGAATTCACCACCCTCAGGAACACACCGCAAAAACTGGTTGCGAATCTCCAAGGTTTTCGTTTCAGCAAGGATCAAGTCTACAAATTTGTTGTGCACAATCAAACCTCTGTGAAGAGGCCCGCCATCTGACCTCGGCGTAATCCAAATGGAATTGCTTGATGTGGGGGTTCGGGGATGCCCTGCACAAACAATGGAAACAAAGGGTTCTCTTGTGGCTGTTTCAATCTATGAAAATTTCATCGGCCATGGATACATGTAGGCAGGAACATCAAAGATCAGAATTAATAGGTTTTGATATAATGGTTTCTTTCTGGGTCACATTGTTAGTCTTATGGGCAAGACACCGGTTTTCAATATGCAACAACGCCACTGTTGGATTATTTCCTTTTGAACTTTTATTAAAAGCCAAAAAAATATAAAATATGTATGTAAGTGTGAAAAAATGTCACAGTCACTCAAAGTACCAGGACAGCTCACGCGGTCACCAACTCACTCTCACTCTTTTACTGCAGGGAGTTGGTTTTGGTTCAACATTCCAAACATATTACTTGCAACCGCAAGCTAAATGCAAGAAACAAAAAAAAACAAAAAACAAAAACACAAAAAAAATAAAAAAAAAATGAAAAAAACATGGGCCCACACCAACCGAAAAAGGCCCAGCCACCCTCTGATTTAGGACCCCCCTCCCAAAGGGCTAGCTCTTTCAGGACCCCTCTCCTGAATCTGGCCCCTCAAGACCCCTTGTTCGGGACCCCCCTCCCGAAGGCCAGTCTGGACCCAGCTCCTGGGCCCCTTGTTCGGGACCCCCCTCCTGAATTTGAGCTCTGGGGCTGGCTTGGTGTTCGGGACCCCCCTCCTGAATCTTCCTTCTGGTTTGGGACCCCCCTCCTGAATTCCCACCTATAGACCTTTAGAAATCCTTGGGCCCCCCCTCCCGAAAACAAGTATTCACACATTTTTTTGTTATGATCTAAGGAACCTTTTGGCTGGCAAGGAGCTTTCTGATCAAACCGTCTTTGCCTTTTCTGAGAAGTCATCCTAAAACAAAACTTTCGGCAGATATGCCTACAAGTGCATTCAAGGCAATGATCCTAAGCCAGTAAATCGCTGGCACCTGGGACTATTAGTGTTTCGATTTGAAAACACCTATAAACGCTACATGCATTGCCCTTCCGACTAACTTATCAACAAGCAAGCCCCTCGGGATCAGAAGCCTGATATCCTGCTGACAACTGATTCTAAGAGAGACCTAAACATGATGCAAAACCCACGGGGTCGGTGCAAATTACTTTCCCCATGGGTTTCTGCATTAAAGCAAAGATCAGCTTGAGTTACACAAAGAATCTGGAGCATGAGCTTCTGGAAGCACAGGTTCTGCTGGTGGATTATTGGTGGATGCGCGCACAGAAAGGATAAACATGTCATGTCTGGTATGAAAAAGAGAAAACAAAGCCACTTCAGACCTCATTTCTTGAGGAGGGCAGCTCTCCCAAAAATTGCACGCAACTCGCCTGCTTCAACATGACAAGGTGGGACCGGAAATATTTGGTTGTGAGATGAACCCAATCACAGCGCCAAACCAATAAAACCGTTTTCATTGGGCAGCGGCCCCTGCTATTATGTCTGAAGCCCCCACCTTTGTCAGCATTGGGTTTGCAACATGTCTCACATTCAAAAAACCTGACACATCTAAAGCCCACTGCTAAGAGCAACAAATAGCAAAAGTCGGCACAACGGGCCTTGCACCCCCAGCTCAAGATACCACAGCTGAGCGGACGGGCAAGGAATACTAGTAAGTAGCCCTACCCAGCAACAAACATTGTAAGAACTAGGCATTCTTTTGATCATATATTTCAGATATGTGTATACATCGTAGAGCGGAACACACAGGATAAAACCCCGGTTGCGACGGCATCCCACTTGGCACCACCTATTCTTGAAAAGGTGGGCCAAAGCAAAAATTTCAATACAAACCAACCAAGCGGCTTGCCTGGTGTACTCCCTGCCGCTGGAGTTGCTCGCTCATTCCGCTTGCTGTCCTTCTTCTGCTTTTTCTCCTTGTTGGCTTTGCCATTGGCCATGGCTAGCAACAACACAAATCCAAGACACTGCGTTTCTGATTGGGCCTGCTGAACCATTTCGCAGAAAAACGAGTTGCTACTGTAAGTCTGCAATGCTACAAAAAACTTCAGGGTTGTTCGTACGAATCTGATCAGTCTTTCATTTTCTTTTGACGTTCACAGCAATCGAGTTTCACACCCAAGGTCGCATTTAGGTTTCCCAGACACCTTTCCAAACCGTAAATGACACAGGCAGGAAAAAACAAAAAAGAGAATGGCAGCAAGGTTGATCAAAGTGGAAAACAAAACATATCACTGGGCACAAGTTCTATCCAGAGCGCACACGCAAACCTAGTTTCCACACGAGGGCACTGATAGCTGACAGCAGTTTCTGCGAAACTAAACATATGATTCCTGCACTTGACATGAAAACGAAGTTCTTGAGACAAACTGAACTGAAAATTTAGCCGGGCTAACCTGTACGTCATGTTCATGAGTCAAGCTCGGCAGGTTCCAGCCTAGGATTGGCTGAACGTCATGATGGGCTGGATATGGTTCAAACACTGGCCAGCCAACGAAGCCAACACAAAGCCACGTAAAGTAGCAACTGGCTCACAGTCGTCTACATGCCAGAGCTTCAAGTCACTTTGCCCAACCTTTTTCCAGCCGCTCCAACGGTAATTCTGCTCTTCATTGGAATCTTGTGTCAAAGCCTGAATGGACATGCGGTAATTTGAGTTGATATGGAAGCAGTATTGAACTACATTTCAAAATCCCGGGGGTCCTTCACATTGCCGGCTTGGCAATTGTTAACTGGCTCAAGCACTCTAAGCTACAGAAGGGCCTTCGTTTCGACCAGATTCAGGGCTGTCTGCATCGCCCGGGTGAGAAGGGTTCAGAACCTCCTCAATCCACATCAGGGCGTTCGATTGCATCTGACGAAAATCCACAAAGGCGGTGTTGCCAATCACGTTGCAGCAGCCTGGGGCCGCCAAACCAGGCAGGGCTGATCGAAGCAACAATTTACTAAGCACTGGGTTGTCTCAGTGTCTAACTGTAGTAATCATCTTGGAAGTCAATGATTTTTTTCAAGCTGAATGACACAACTACCTTTGGCATGTGCATCGTTTGACTTCAAAACAAGTCATCTGCTTCAACTAGTGAAGGAGCCCTAGAAGTGAACCAACTTGAAAACTGTCCAGAATTCAAAAGCAATTGGAAAGCTTCATTCGCGCGATTTGCATGTTGCGCGCGGAGGAGAAAACACACCTGTAGACACGTCATGGAGGAGACACACATGTTGATGTGTTGTTTCCGTCTATGCCAGTAGATAATGGGAAATTCCAAGTTTGAAATCTTGAATGTCCGTAACTTGGAGTTAGGTCTTCACAACCAGCTTTTCGCAAAAGTGACCTGGGGGCTTCTCTTTGAAGGGTTCGAACACCTCTCCAGGTCACTTGTTAGAACTTGTCACCTTCCATGTGGAAAAGCAGTTGCCAGTTGCCAAACGCATTGCGATACTATCATCAACATCAACATGTCTCCAAGTCCTACATTTCGTTTCATGGGAGGGCTCACGCAACATGATACCACTTTGGGCTCCAGCGCAATGGCAATACAAGCATACAGCATACCAAAAAAAGCTTCTCATAAGTATTCACAGTGATGGCTTAGTTGCACAACACCACCAACGGACAATGAGTTCTTATTACACTAGCTGTCAGCCTTGGCTGCTTACCTGTAACATCAAGCTTTGGCTTTCCATTCTATTGCACTGTCAACCAGGAACCCAAAATACCACCACCCACCCTCTTTGGGATGGACGCTCAAATATTTGGGAGATTGTATCAAAGGAAAACACGGACCTGAACTGAACTGAGCTGAATTGAACCCAAGCAGCAATCACAATGGAGATTGATATCTTTTATCAGCTGGTAGCACCGCCCAATGAGGAAAACATCGTGGAAGTTGTTCTGGGGTGGGTGCAACATAGGACCAATCCATGAAGCACCATCATTTTGTGTCCAGTAGAGTCTTGCATCTTGAATTGGATGCTGCGCCTTACCCATGTTCAGACTGGCCCAAATCGTTGGATTGAAAGCATTGTCGATGCCAGACTCTTGGATCACTATGTCCATGAAGGTCGATTCAGGCGGATGGCGAGTCAATTGGCACAAAGTCCTCTCCAGCATATCGCCGCACCAGCTGAACACACTTCCCATCTCTTCAATAAAGAGAGGCAGAGGTGCCACTGGCATTGCTATGATTGACAGCTGTATGAGCAAATCGCATAACACTCTCATCTCTGATTGGCAACTCACCATCATTTGCAATGCATCATATCGCTGAGAGGCACTGCTAACTGAAGCCGAAATCTCATTGGCCACGGCCAGGCACACCAAGCCTTTCCACTGAGTGAAATCCATGGCTGCTGGAATTGGATGGACGGATGAGGCTGTGAAGCCAGAAGCACCCCGACGATCAGCACAAGAGCGAATGTAAAATTCCTTTCAAAAAAATCGAAGTCCTAGTCATTGCATGAAAAAAGAATCGAAATCAACTGAAGCATCTTGCCAACATGCACCAACAGGGAACGGACACTGGTAACATCAGGCAAAGCAAAAAAATCTCCACTAAAATTCTGGCTCCTGTGATTCACCAATGAGCACTGGGAACTGGCTCTCCTCAGATATCTGAGAACTGTGCCGTGATTGCGGAGCCTGAGGAGAAGTCGCAACCTCACCTGGCAATTGGCGCATCACAACAAAATCATGTAACGGCAACGGCAGTAGTGTGACAGCCGTGACACTCGCAAGGCCTTACTTTGCCCTGGAAGACACCAGTCAATTGTCGTGATGTTTCCTATTGTCTATTGATTATCAGAATCGGCAAATCCACATGAAAAAGCTCTGCCTCCAGAGTGAGCAGAATCATCGCCATCGGGTCCTGTAAGCGGGAATGCGCAATAATTCAAACATGGTCGGACCATTGAGTAACGCTGGTTAACAATTGGCCAGCCGAACCAATTCGTTAGTTCATTTACAGTTTTGAATCTGAAGGCCCCTGCAGTCCTTCGCAGGGCAAATCAGGAAATGCGTAGGCAGCGCAAAGAGAGCAAAGAATCCTGACAACATGTCCACTCTGGGTTTGCTTTGAAAAGTTAACAAGATAGTTTCTAGCCTCTAGCGCTACTAGGCTACTAGGACTACCAAATCAGCATTCTAGTGAGAAGTTATACAAAGCCTGCATTGCATATAATTTCATATCATCGAATCAGTCTTTGGCCAACGTGCAAAGCTGCAAGCTCAACACGCTGAAGACAAACACAGCAACAGACAGCCAGTACATGCAACCACTGGTCCTGGTTGAACCACGGCCGCCATCAATCGATGTGAAAACGTCTGGTGGGTCAAGCGCTGCAATATCAACATCCTCCGGAAATGAAAAGTTGGCCATGTCGGCCGACTTGGAAACATGATCCAAAATTTCAGAAGCGCATCTGCCATGATATGGCAGAAGGCACAGGGAGCACTTTGAAACTACATCTGCTGCGACACCTTCTGCCACCAATGCCTCACCAGCACCAGTATTGCAAATAAAGCATTCGCCAAAGCTACCATCAAGATCTGTCGCACCGAAAGTCAAAGAAGAATCTGAATCCCTTGCAACCAGAGCAGCTTGCCACATGTCTCTCAAACGAATGACATTTTGGGGGACTTGTGGGCGCAGCCCCCCTCGATATCCACGTGTCCTTTCCATCCTCACTCCAATAGCTGGATGTATGACAGAGGCAGCGGAATAATCCTTGGGTTCCCTAAGAGCCCCTGTTGCAACAATGCAAACAACACGATTCTCTTTGTCCAGAGAAGCGGGCCTACCTGATCGGCGTTCTGCCTCTCTCCAATGAACCCAGAAAATGGATTCCTGAATTTCTTTACTGTCCTCACTGGAAGCTTTGGCTCCTTGAATATGTCCATGGACCAACGACAGCTCCCCTTTCTCTCCGACACTTCTGGTTTCAAGGGCTTGCTTCCGGTCTAGCAGTGCTTGCAAAGACGTCAAACATTGGTCAAACCAATGGCTGAAAGCCGTTTCAAATTGCATGGGTCTTGGAAGGGAAGCAGGATTGGCCGCGCCACTTTCCGCACTTGCATTTGCACCGACATGTTCAATGGAAACATTGCCCAACATTGACTCCTGATTTAGCATCGCTTCTTCTGCTGCTTCTTCTGGCATCATTCCACCTCGAATCTGGTCGGCAATGGAAGCAGCTATGTTGGCTTCCACAACCGGCGAAACTGACTGAGACTGAATCTGCGCTTTCAATTTCTCACATTCTTTTTGGATCATTGCAGTTTCCCTTGCGGCCACCAAATCCAAACCTGATTCCTCTGCCGCCTCCCTGGCGAAGGATTCCTCTTCAGCTTCCAAGTCTTGAATATCCGCTGGGAGGCTACTGTTTTGCTTGTTCATTTCAAAACCCTCCTGAATCAATTCATCAATTGCGTTTTCAGGGTCGTCAGAGCCATCACCAAAGAAAAGATTTGAAAGGCAAGCTCTGCCCTCTGCTGACTGCAAGAAGCTGCTGGTGCTGGAAGAAGGCTGCCCGGTATCAAAATCATCGCGGCCGTCAGAATCGTTGTCATCCCCCTGGTCAGAATCGTCGCTGTCAGATTCATCAGACTTGGAATCAGAGCCAGGTGACGAGTCTGAATCCTTGGTTCTTTTCCGCCGTCTCTTTTGCTGTGGGTCTGGGTCTTGAAGAACCATCACCTGAGGAGTTGCTCTGACTGACTCCAAGGGAAACGTGGGGCATGTCCCAGAAGACATCACATCGTCATGCAAACATGTACTGTTGGAAACAAGTCTGACTAGGGCTTCACTTGGAACTAATCTGCAATGTCCTCCTGAACACCTTATATAATATATATATATATTATATATATTATATATATTATATATAGGACCGCAAGCAGCGTGTTCCAAGCGTATCATCTCAACACATTTGATGGCACACAGTGGCTGGTTCTGATTCTCTTCTAGGTCTGGCAAACCGAAGGAGTTGTGAACCCTTCCAAGAAACAAATAGATTCACCGTTGGGTCATTGACCAGTAAATCCGCACAAGGAAATTAATTTTACAAGTGGGCCCTGGGCACAAACCACAACTACAACACAACCCATTCCATCTGACTGACAAGTATCCTCTTCCCAGGGAAACACCCCGGCAGTGAGTCCAGGCGTTGTTTGATCGCATTGAACGACTCCATGAAAACCATGAGGTGGACCAGTTCTCCAGGAAATTGGAAAGGCCACTATGGTTAGTGGCCATTGTCCAGCCTGCATGCTGTTGCTGGCCGCAGTAGTTCCAGCATCTGCAGCGGAGGTGGTTGATGAAAGGGCCCGAAGTCTTTCCAGAAAAACATTTGCCGCCCAGCCAAATGTCCAAGGCCTCCGCAAATTCACTTGTTGATTCTGCCATGCGCCTCCAACTATCCGTACTGACCTGTTGACGGCCTCCCCAAAGATGTAAATGTCTGTGTTGTCTGGAAGGTTCAAGGGCCTGCTTTGCTCAAAGTTTCCTGCGACCATGGCCACACCACAGAACAAATTCTGCCCACTCTTGGAGCAATCGCTGGCTTTGCCCATCCAATACTTGAACAAACGCCGGTTGATTGCAGCTGCAGCCACAGAGTAAACAGTCTTCTCAGCGTCTTGGGTTCTTGGATCCAAGACAGGAGTCCACTGGCGAACATCTGCTTTGCTTGGGCACCAATCTGGCGCTGGTGTGTCAGCAAAGCGGGCATCGCCAGAAAGCAAACTGATCCCATCAGACCAGTGGTCAACACACTTGCCCATAACGGAAGCAGCAACAGGACGCATTGTTGACCACTTTTTTGTTTTGCTTTGAAGGCGCTCTTTGGCATGTTGAAGCTGTTGTTCTCGGAAGCCAGCGGCGCCCAAATGGTATTTGAGCGCGAGTCTTGCGCTCAGAAGATCCAATGATGAACCAGGTGCTCTCTCACCCATCAAGCTGAGCTGTTTGTTCAGCCTTTCCTGTTCAATGACTGATGGCTTCCACATTCTCCGCAATGCCTTCAGGGTGCAAAACAATCTCAATCCAAGTCGGCCAGTGTCCTTTGCAAGGGTGAGGTCCTCTTTGAAAGCCTTGATGATTTTCAGGCTGTTGATGTCCAGGCTGTGGGCAGGCGCGCTCAACAAGTTGGTAGCCAGTTCTTGGCGTTTGGAATCTCTGATGTCATAGCGAACCCTGGCCAGGGCAAGCAAACACACTGGAGCTAAACCCACTGGGTCCACAATTCTCCTTTGAAAAGCACATGCGTTTTGCACCAAAAGGCACGCCAGAAGATTGAAAGCAAAAGCCTGGTCTTCAGAAGCCATCCCGCCCCAATCTGGATGGGATTGCAAACGCAAAGCTCCGTCTGCGTGAAAAATTTCTTCAAACTGGGACCTGAACGCCTCTGCTTGTCCATCAACAAGTTGGGCCATCTTGTTTCCCAATCGGTCAAGTTCTTCCGGTTCGACCGTCTTTTTCAAGAATGCCTTGCTCCAAAAAGGGTCCAAGCCAAGTCAGTCCAAGTCAAGTCCATGGGCATGGGTCTGTCTAATACAACAAAAACATGTCTTTTGGATCAGAGGTCGCAACAACTGCAGCAACTCAGAAATGCAGGTACACAGTCACATGGCCAATGCAAAAAGAATTTCCAAAGGCAGAAAAAATCAGTTTGTTCAGTCTGTGATCATCAGTGTTTTCAGTCACTTCGGTGCGTTTCGTGTTCAACTCTGTTCTCTGAGCGCCTCTATGAGACTCTGTGGCCAGTTGACAGGTTCAAAGGAAGGGGACTGGGGATGGGGATAGGGCTAGGGCGATGATTCACAGGGATGATGACGATGCTCGATGATGATGATCGATGATGATGATCGATGATGGTGATGATGATGATGGTGATGATGGTGATGATGATGATGATGATGATGATGATGATGTTTGATGATGATGATGGTGGTGGTGGTGGTGGTGATGCTGATGATGATGATGATGCTGATGATGATGATGATGATGCAGGATGATCATGATGATGGTGATGTGATGATCATGGTGACGGTGGTGACGATGAAGATGATGAAGATGATAATGAAAGTGAAGAGGAGGATGAGGAGGAGGAGGATTGAGGATGGGGGTGATTCAACGATTATGATATGATGAGATGAGGATGATGAAATGATGAATGACGTGATGAGGATGATGATTCAAGAGATGCAGATGTGGATGAGGATGAGGATGCGGGATGATGGTGACAATGAATCATGATGATGATCATGCTGGTGGCGATGATGATGACGATGGTGAGGAGTACGGTGAGGAGGATGAAAAGCGATAAAGAGACTGGCTGGTACGACGATGTGAAAATGAAAAGGAGCCTAAGGCTTAATATCAGGATGAGCAAGGGTAAGGAGTCAGGAGCAAGGAGTCGACAGCGACAACAGCGACAACAATTTCAAGTTCAGGCCACGAATCTAGATTTCAAAAAATGAATCATTGCCTCGCCTGGTTCGCTTCTGAAATTAAAACAAGCATTCTGCCAGCCAGCATCATTCATTCGCTATTATTTCATTCTATGACCCTTGACTGTTGGCTATGGTCTGTTCACTGAATTTCTGCTATTTGTGTGATTGCTGCAGTTGTACTTGAAGCAGTCGTAGTCGTCGTGGCGGTGGTATATAAGTAACGTCCCTAAATCGCAAAGAGCAATATCCCTCCAGCATCAGTAACAGTAACAATATATTTATCATTTATCTATCAGTTATTTTTAGTAGTCTACTCTACTAGTAGTAGTAATTCAATTTATTCTTCAATGGCTCATTGAATCAAAACGATAGCACCCCCAAGAGTCAGAAAAACAGGCAGCAGCATTGGCAGTCAGGCAATTGCAGGTGTTGGGCCATCCGCTGAAGAAGGCAAACAGCAGCAGTAGCAGTAGCACTAACAAACGCAGTAGCAGCCGCAGCAGCAGCAGCAGCAGCAGTAGCAGGAGCAGGAGTAGTAGGAGTGGGAGTGGGAGCGGGAATGGGAGTAGGACAGGAGTAGGAGTAGGAGTAGGAGGAGGAGGAGGCGTAGTAGTAGGAGTAGGAGTAGTAGCAGTAATAGCAGTAGGAGTAGTAGTAGCAGTAATAGCCAGCCAGTAATAGCAGTAGCAGTAGCAGTAGCAGCAGCAGCAGCAGCAGTAGGAGTAGGAGTAGGAGTAGGAGTAGGAGTAGTAGTAGTAGTAGTAGTAATTAGTAATAATAATAGTAGTAGTAGTACTAGGAGTAGTAGGAGTAGTAGTAGGAGTAGTAGCAGTAGTAGCAGTAGTAGCAGTAGCAGCAGTAGCAGCAGTAGCAGCAGTAGTAGTAGTAGCAGTAGTAGCGGTAGTAGCAGTAGTAGCAGTAGTAGCAGTAGCAGCAGTAGCAGCAGTAGCAGCAGCAGCAGCAGTAGCAGTAGCAGCAGCAGTAGCAGTAGCAGTAGCAGCAGTAGCAGCAGTAGCAGCAGTAGCAGCAGCAGTAGCAGTAGTAGCAGTAGCAGTAGTAGCAGTAGTAGCAGTAGTAGCAGTAGTAGCAGTAGTAGCAGTAGTAGCAGTAGCAGTAGCAGTAGCAGTAGCAGCAGTAGCAGCAGTAGCAGTAGCAGCAGCAGCAGCAGTAGCAGTAGCAGTAGCAGTAGCAGTACCAGTAGCAGTAGCAGTAGCAGTAGTAGTAGTAGTTGTTGTTGTTGTAGAAGCAATTGACAACTGATTTGTAGTAGCGGTGAAACTGAAAAATCGTGACTAGCAGTCAGAGTGTATAATAGCCCTTGTCGTCATCATTGTTGCTGTTCGGAAAGTCTGGGGCTCTGAGGAAGGAATGAAGGAAAGAAGAAATGAAGCAAGGACTCTGACTTGGCTCGGGGCGGCCAGACTGGCATGTCAGCAAACAAAAGAAAACGTCACCAGCAAACCGGTCAAAGCCAAACTCAAAAGGATGCACTGACGCCACAATGTTTGATGACTTGAGCGATTTCTTGTTTCCATTGGTCCTTCCCACCAATCAGTCACTACCTGCCAGATTATCGTCACAGAGTACTCCGGTCCATGCTCCGTGATAGCCTTGCAGACTTGCAAACTGCAAAAGCTCCAATCCACATGACTTCGCGACAGGGAGATGAATCCCCAGCTACTGGCCCACTAGATATGTAAATATGCACAACAAACGGATCAAATCCAAAAAACATGGTCTTCACCGGCCATCGTTATTGCAACCCACCGCCAGCGCCAAGCAAACCCTGTGTTACGACGTACAACATTCGGATGAAATTACAGCGACAACACCTTAACGCCTTAACGACCACAATAAAAACAGCAACAGCAAAGAAGCAATGAGCTGAGTTGCAAATGTCAGTGGCTAGCCTCTGTCAAGACTAGTCGAGAGTCAAGCGTCCTAAATTTACAAAAGGATCACGCAGTTGCGAATAGACTTATAGAAAGCCGCTCCCCATTGAGGAAACATCTTAGTACCAACCATTGAGCCATGGGTGCAAAGAAGCGACAAATGTGTAGCCAAATCAATGTCAGGTTGGCGTCCGCCAACGCTTGATGGGATTGTTGCTAAACGTTTCAATTGGAAAGAAACCGCTTCGAAATCAATAACAGACTCCTATTGCCATCCATGTCCTGTCAATTTAAAGCGGGTTCCCTGTCACAAAGAGCAAAGCCTAGCCAAAGTTGCTTAACCTAAAAGATCTACCTACAAGGGCAATGCGTCAACAAAAACTTGACAAACAGCCTGCTCTCTGCTAGTCTGTCTGCTTTAATCTTGCTGGCCAGGGGCTGAAAACTGCACAAGAGTGGCGCCTGAAATTCGTAAACAATCTGCAGCGATCCACCACAGCTTGTCATTGGCCACCTTGAGAGTATTCACTCTCCATGTCCCCATTTTTTTCTGGTATTCCTTCATTTGATCCACGCTCAATTCATCCACTGAATGCACTGGCTTGTTGTTTTCAGGCAACTTGCTGGAATCAGGAGTCTTGCTAAGGACCTTCGCCAACACTGGCAACAGCATCGCCTGGCCTCCCACACCAAACATTCTGCAAACAACTTCGTAGATTGAGTTCCACCGTCCTCCAATGCATTTTGGCCAGAGTCGTCGCGCCAATTCAACCCCGCTGCGGTCGCCATGCTGATTGCACCATTCCTGAAAAAATGCCTTCGACACGTCTCTCAGGGTGTTCGAGCTTGTAGCCAGCGAGCTGAATAGCTTCCAATCTCGACCGTGTTTTTTCAACAGGTTGTCACAAGTCTTCAAGGATTGCAGGGTTATCAGGTGAGCAAGATGCTCGTTGCAGTCAGCATGGAGGCAAACAATCTTTGGATTGTCCCGGCAGAGCACCATCCAGTACTTCTTGGCAAGGACTTCATTTGGGCCACGGTCTGTTGTGAGCACATAGAATCGCAGAGTCCTCATTGATGAGCGGGGGCTGGCGTGGTAAAAAGAAAAATCAAATAGACAGGGGAGCCTGATCAAACTATTGAGACAAGAAATGCGAGGAGATTCTGGGCGAGCAGTTGCGCAATAAAAAGAGGCCACAAAATCACGCGATAGGCCACCATCTAGATTCAAGTAGAAAGTGTTTCAATTCGGGGCTTATCAAATTTAGTGAAACAAAACCAACTGCAGCGCCCCATCAAAACCAAATCAATGCAGCAAAGTGGCGTGTGTCCCTGTGGAGCTTTCTGCTGACCAGCTTCGACCAGGCTCCAAATCGAAGGACAACCCACACTCTGAAGCATCTTGTGAGTAAGCCCAATGCTTCCAGCAGCAGTACCATCAGCAACGGGTTGTACATCTGCAATGCACTCCAAGGATGTGAAAAGGTCCCATTTCCATGATCCAGCAAAAGAAGAGTCGTCCTCGCTGCTGGGCAAGTTTGAGCAATAAGCCGTGTGCAGCAAGAGAGCCACAAGCTTGCGTTTCTGCCAGATGCTTCCATTCGTAGCATCTTGACTGATGCAATGAATAGCGACCCCAAGTGTGCCTGACGCCTGTTCTTTGCACTGGTCCTGGAAATCCTGATCCATCCCACGATGGAAAGAAATTGCATGCCCCATCAATGCTGCACCGGTCTGAACCTCGGACCGTGCAATTGTCCAGCGTGAAACATCGTCCAGCAGGACCAACCCCAAGTCAGCGCATGCCACGTTCGAGCAATTGCGGCGTAGACTTAAAGAGATTCTGGACTCCACGGTCAGGTACCGATTGTGCTTTGTCCGTTGAATGGCCATCCGTTGGTCGACGTTTTCCACAGTGATTGGTTCTCTCCGTGACTTGCCTGTCGATTTCGTTTTGGGCTTGGCCTTCGCAGCCAATTTCTGAATAGTTTGTGCTGATCTTCGTTTCTGTTCCTGCAACAACCTCACTTTCTTTTGCAAATCTACATGTTTTTTCTTCAGATTGTCATGTGCATGTTTGCATGCCTCAAGTTCAGCATCCTTGCGGATAAGCTCGTTCAAAAGGCCGGTCTTGGTGAAGCCCACATAGGTCGTTTGATACCTTTGCAGCTCCTCTGACAGTTGCTCTTCATCCTCTTCGAAAGGTCTCTTTCTGGAAAGGGGCCTTGCAGCAGGCGCAGAACTAGAAGCTTCACTGTCAATCTGCATTGATCCTGAAGAAGCAGTTGAAGTAGAGGGTTGTAAAGCTCTTGGCCGCAAGTGTCGAACAACTGCATCCCAAGTTGGCGTCTGCATTGATAAATCAAAATCTTGCAGCACAACTTTCACAATTCTCGCTTCGTAGGAGCCACCAGGAAGACGCATGAACATCGATCTTGCCAAACATCTGTCCAAGGTTCGTTCAGGCGCCCCGCCCCTGAACCCAAATCGCCCAATGACTTCAAGCAAATCTGCTCTGCCAATTGCCAGCACACCATTTGACAGGAAGACCCGCCCTTGCAGCACACCAACCAGTGTTGATGTTGACATTGCGCTCTGCGGCGCGGCCATGTTCCCCTAAGTGTTGCTTGGTTCTGCGGTGTAGCTGTTGTTCCCCTAAGTCTAGCTGTATGTTTTCTCGCCTGGGGATGTGATGAGAGACCTTTGCTCTTGCTACGACCTATTCAAAAAAAATGCATGGCTGATACGCAAATCTCAGCTGAAATAACGACACCTTCTATGTCGACACTGGAGCCATAGGTTCTGAGCTTTGGACCTTGGCTATGAACATGCTTTACCTTACAAATGCCAATCTTCAAGACCCTCAAATGCATACATTTGCCTCCCTATAAAGGCAAAAAATGGTATCTGGTGGCTCTGCGAAGGGGGATGTCCCCCCGAAAATGACATTCAGGAAGCTTCACCCCCACAGGGGGCGACGCACGTCACGATCATTAAACAGTGGAATATACAATTACTGGTTGGTGGTTTCAACCCCTCTGAACATATTAGCCAGTTGGGATGATTCTTCCCAATATATGGAAAAATAAAACATGTTCCAAACCACCAATCAGATTAACATATTACCATGAATATCTTTAGATCAATATTAAACCATGGAATATACAATGAAAATACCATGCATATCATATTAATAGTCCAAGAAAACGACATGTTTGACCCACAAATTGCCCCAAGCTCTGCCTTCTCGGTCCACGCCTGGCTACAAAGATGTATGATGTCGATAACAAAAGCAATATGAACATATAAGAAATACAAATATATATATATATAGTATAGTATAGTATATATATATATATATATATATATCGTATAGTGTTTATATACAAATATAGGTTGTCTATATACAAAATATATAGTATATATATATATATACTATATAGATATAATACATGTCAAATACCATTTACAAGTGGATATTAACATGGGTGCCACGCTCAACATACTGATGATGATGATGATGATGATGATGACAATGATGATGATGAGGATGATGATGATGATGGTGATGATGGTGATGATGGTGATGATGATGATGATGATGAGGATGCATTACACACCTATGGTGATCATATTATATCATTTAATATTATATAGTAAATCAATGTAAATCATGGTGTTCAGCAATGTTTGCTTAACACGTATGTATGGTCTTACAATGTGTTGAACAAAACTCAACAAACCTGGAAGACGAGATATGCACTCAGTGCCAGAAGTGATGTGGACCTGTTAGGGGAGCAAACCCTCCAAATCCATCCGAATCACTCTGTGGGACCTTGGTAACCAGCTGCAGTTTAGGGAATATGTCGAATTTGCTTCAGTGCCATGGTAAGTTACTGGGATTCATATGGCTGGCTTAATCAACAAACACTTGGAATATCATGGGAAAGTCATGGAAATATAATGGAGTATGCTATAGTATGCTCGTTCATCCCATCCTTTAAGGAATTCTTATTCGTGGGAATATAAATCCATTTGACTGGACTGATGACCATCATCCAAGATGTTTCGGATGTGCGGACCCAACACCTTGCTCAGGGGTGCATAAATATGGCCATATACTGTACATATCAAAAACCCTACCTGCACCCCCAAGTGGGACAGAATACCTGGCGCAATCCAGGATTCCTTAGTTCCAAGCACTTCAACTCAAAAAAAAAAACAACACTGCTACTGCACAGTTGGCCTTGTAGGCGGTGTCTACTGCATCGTGCATCGCCACTAACTCCACATCCTGCATCGTGCAGAGCACTCGTATCGAAATGTCTCCACTCCTCTATTGTTTTGCATATGTTTGCATCAATGCCAAACCGCGCTGATTACAATAAAATTTGCTTCATGACACCTTCTATTCCAAGCATTTCTAAGCCATGTGATCAAATTACTGTATATCAAATTCTATGCAATCTATCAGCATCATTCATGGCCCTTCCAAAATCTTTGAATGGTGCACAGCTGCACAGCTCACCGTCCACAAGAGAAAGAAATACATGTGCGGTGCAACCCTGACGCTGCACCGCGCCGGAATTAAGGAAAGCTTGCGTATTTTTGAAATGCCATGTCGGTGGACTTTCAATATGTAGATGTATATGTGATCCATGATCATCATCGTCGTCGTCGTCGTCGCCGTCGTCGTCATCGCCACCACCGTCATCGTCATCATCATCACCATCATCGTCATCATCATCATCATCATCATCACCATCGTCATCGTCATACTCATTGAATCTTCAACATCATCATCATCATCACCATCATCATCATCATCATGTCATCGTCAGCATCCCTAATGAAGATAAGTTGATGCTATCAGATTCAGCATATTTGCCATAGGGATGGAGGATTTGTTGATCCCTTATGAATATGTTGATGCTATTTTCAGATTTAGAATATCTGTCAAAGGAGTGGTGGGTTTTTCGATCCCTTATGAAGATAAGTGGATGTTTTTCCTTATTCAACATATTTGTCAGAGGGGTGGCGGATGTTGATATCTTATGAAGATAAGTGGGTGTGATTACCCAATTTAACATATGTGTTAAAGGGGGTGGTGGATGTTTGATCCCTTATGAAGATGAGTTGATGTGATTACCCCGTTCAACGTATTTGTCAGAGGGGGTGGTGGATTGTTGATCCCTTATGAAGATAAGTTGATGTGCTTACACCATTCAATATATTTGCCAGAGGGGGTGGTGGATGTTTGATCCCTTATGAAGATGGGTTGATGTGACTACACCATTCAACATATTTGTCATAGAGGGTGGCGGATTTATCTATATAATGATTATAAGACATGTAAGTTGATGGTTTTACCCCGTTCCACATGAGTAGACACTGGTGATGATGATGGTGATGATGATGATGATGATAATTATGATAGTGATGATGATATCATGATCATGATGATGATAATGATGACGAGACCATGGTGATGATGACAAGAATCATCATCAACACCATCATCATGATGATGACGATGATGAGATCATGATGGTGAGATCATGATGATGATGATGATGATGGTGTTGATGATAATGGTGATGATGAACACAATGATGATGATGATGATGATGATGATGATGATGATGATAATAGTGGTGATGATGATGATGATGATGATGAACAAGAAGAAGAAGAATAATAAGAAGAAGAATAAGAAGAAAAATAAGCAGAATAATATGACGATGACGATGGCGATGGTGATGATGATGATGATGATGACGATGACGATGGCGATGACGATGGCGATGACGATGGCGATGACGATGATGATGGTGATGATGATGATGATGATTATGGTTATCTTGATTGTAATTGTAATTGTGGAGCAACGTCCGGGTTGGACGGAACATGCTGACATTTGATCATTCTAATCTGAAGCCACAAGAGAAACAAACATGTGTTACTCGTGGAGTCCAGGGGTACAGCATCAACACCAGAGAATGGTTTCTATATGTTCCTATGCTTCGTTAGTTGTTGATATCTTGGTCGGTTGTACGTTTGTTGTACTTCTCCTTTTTCCCTGAAATGAACACAGTGATGAATACCCATGTTCTGCTGTAGTCCCATTTCTGTTGGATCAAGTCCCATCTTCGATTCATGAGCATCCAGATTGTGCTGGTTGGTTCCACAGTTCGATTCAGCGATCTTCCCATACTCACCGGATTGCTTGACTCTGTATAATGTGAAGCCCGGATGACAAAGCCCCAGTTGATTAATAAAGGGAGGGGTACCGACTTCAACAGTAAGTTATATCTTTAGGTGGTATATCCCCCAAAGAAACAGGTTTTACAGCCCCGTGTCATGGCGAAAGAGTCGTCGAAGTTGCTCGGGCTGCTGTTCCTCCACATGGATCCACCCCGACTGAAGTCATTTGTATGGCTGGGATACAGCATATAAACCATCAACAAATCTGTGTTTTACTGATGGTTTATTTTCTGTAAATGATATCAGCAATTTCATTTAGTTACTGATGGTTTGACATAACATATATCAATCAACCGTTTCATTGTTGCTTTACTAACACTGATATTGATAAGGCTCCCTTAGGCTTCGTTAGATTGACACTTTGACGTGCACAAATCGCCCAGATCAGCTTCAAGGACATGAATTGCCTTGCTATTGGGCCCAACAGTACCTGGGTTGAAATTCAACCAGAGGCCTGGCATAATATGATACATAATGTTACAGAATCAAGGATTCAAAGAAGTTTCAAGAAATGGGGCCGTGCCAAGCAGGAAACGCCCATGAAGTGAAGTGACGCCAAATTGGGAGTTGACCAAAAAAATTGGCAAAACTAATAGGTACTGGTATAAGGAACGGCAATGAGCGATGTGGCTGAAGTTTGGTATGGATAAACACAAACAAAGGAAGATCAACGCATATTATTCTGGGAACTTTAGAGAACATGATGAAATAAACATCGTCATAATTGGTCATCAATGGTGTGCACGTTCTGACCGAAGATTGGAATCCTACTCATGGCCGAGCGCACCTTGACGGCCCGCGGGACTGCGGCCTCACAGCCGGGCAAGCTCCAAAAAACAGGTCCTTTTGGGTAACATCCTACCAAATTCTGGTCATCTATATGTCTATATGTCTATATGTCTATTGTGTTCTATTTTCCTGCTGTGGCTGTAAAAGTAACAACTATTCCAACAAAAAAACATGCATCTGTATGTAAAAACACGGATGGTACGTACCAATGTGTGATTTGAACCAGCCGTACCTGACGGCCTAACAGTTGAGTGGGACTAGCCCAAAAGACATCCATGGTTTGTCACGACTGGTCTGAAACCACTTTGAATGTGCTTCAAGCAGTTTCGGAAGCAAAGCCTCCGTATGCTATTGAGCCATCATTTAATATGTTTTTCTATTCTGCACGTGTATTTCTACATATTTCCCCTCCAGTAAACTAATAGTACCTGGAAAATTACCATTACATCATTAATCCATTTAAGATAATATATATATATATATATACACATAATAGGTACATATCTGGGCCAACATATATAATAGGTACAACATCGAACTTCATCGAACTAAATGGGCCACGGCTCCAGGGCTCCTGGACGATTGGATGACAGGCTTCCACAATGCGAAGAGAGGCATAGGTGTGCAAGAAATGTAGTATAAAGTAAGTTATATATATATATTACATATGTGCACATATATATATATATATATTACATATGATTTTTTTGTCATGTCTATGTATAAATATATATATAAATATGTATTTATTACATTGTCATATATATATATAACATACAGATACATATCTCAGGTAGTTTCTGAGTTGCGGGGCCCAGGAAGCGGTCAAAACTTCCAGCTGCTCGGACAGAAGGCCTGGAGTCCACTGGAGCTCCGAAGGACCCGCAGCACGGTGATCACTGATCACCATGAAATCGGTGGTTTTCATATGGGGCGTTCCATACAGTTATGGCCATGGCTATCAGTTATAAGTACTAACAAAACCCCATTTATAGAATGTATAATTGTATAATCCCATTTATAACCAGTTATAACTGGTATATGGCCATAACTGTAGTCATCCAAGTCATTACTCTCTGGTAAACTTTCACATAACTATGGAAAAATCACCATGTTTAATGGGAAAAACCACTATCAATGGCAATTTTCAATAGCGATGTTAAATCACCAGAGGGCAGACTCATTAGACCATTTTAGTATATTTAGATCTATGGTGACTTGGGGATTTTTCATTTTAGAAAACTTCATGAAAATTCCATAGGGTTTCCTGAGTCATGGGGATATCCCAAACAGCTGGATGGTTTATTTCATGGAAAATCCTTCATTTTTTTTAATGATGACTCAGGGAATATACCCTCTGGTAAACGTTTAGACAATCATCCAAAGATCTGTTAGTTGAAGGTAAAATCTTAACCCGAAACCAAAGTTTTGCCCATAAATATATAGAGTTTTCCTGCAGATTTCCCCTTAAACCAATCGAATGAAAAATGAATGTGATCCAGTGGAAAGCTATAAGCTATCTGATTTGTTTGAGGTGTCCCATCTGGTTTCTTAGTTCGCATTCCAGAATCAAGTAGGGTGCTCTATCTCCCACCATGTGTATCCAATACGAAAAATTAGTTCTCCAGTATATAATATATGTTGTTTTGCCATTGATGACCAAATGGTAGCCTGGTTCATCAGTTCATGACTCCGCCAGCACAACCAGGCAGGCAAACTCCGCCTCTCTCTCTCTCTCTGATCTTCTCTGTGGACGTAGGTTTATATTTATATACATGCACAATGTAACTTCATATACAGTACCTGGCTGAATTGGCATATCTCACTCACCTGAAAATGAGACATTGCAGGCTATTTGGGGATAATTCCCCTTACATTCAACATCCTTCCAACGACGTCCCATCATACGTCCCATCTACTAAGACTGACAATTAATTTAATTAAAACATCGTGGCTTTACCAGGTTTCCTGCAACCTTCAAATTAAACTATAGTTCTATAGTCCTACGCAAAAGGCTTGTTCCAGCTGTCTCAAATAGAGGTGTGACTCGGTCAGTGGAACACAGAAGTTCTGTCTGAAAATGTGCCACATAATCCTCTAGGTTGGCTTTAAACTTAGCCAACAACGTAGGGTCTGTGGTAGATTATATATGCAGAATCATGGATATAATATATATATATATAATATATATATATTATAATTATATATATATATACCTATATACCCATATTTCTATGTAGAATCATGTATAATTATATGTCCAACTTATAACTGGCTGGATATGGTCAAAACTGTTCCAGCCAAGTAAAACAATCAGAAACAATGAAAGAGGCAAGTTGCAAAGCACATGTTTCTTCAAGCCTGGGACATCGCACACTTTTGGTGCTGAAGTCACAGGGCTCTGCCCGGGACCCACGATCTCAGCAGTGCTGTTAGACTGTGGCGATAGCTACAATGAATGTCGAAATGAACGTAAGAATAAAGCTGAATCCAACCTCTGGATCTATGTGTTTTTTTTCGGTTTTATGATGTTTTGTTAATTCTACAAGGACTTGGTCCAGTTAAGGACTGCGTCGCGATGCCGCGACACGCCTAGCTGCCTAGCTGGGTTTCAGCAAGGCTTGGTCAGGCCCAAATCCATACATCAAGGAAGCCTGGCAGCTGAGCAGCTGATTCATTGAACCATCAAGTAACCATCAACTAACTAAAAAACCATTGATGATGAACATATGGATTTGAGAATTTACCTCTGGTTACTATTTGTGTGTAATATGTATATAATTCTCTAGAATGTATATATGAATATCTATGTGCGATGGTCAAATTATTTGGTTATGATGGTTTATGCTCTTACATCGCATGGTATGGGAATCCAAACACCATGGGTATATAAATGCCTATGAAATTGGATTGATGATCACCCCCCAATATGGAAAATCATGTTTTGACCACTATGCTGCATATCAAAAAGTATATGCAGGTGTCTGAAAGAGTACACAGGGTATTGCCCAATCATTACTTATCACATTTACAATATGTACGAACAATTTCAAGCACCCTGAAACATAGTGTATCATGTTGTGTATGGACTGGACATTCATGCATTTTCGGCAAGCCTCGGTGTCTCCAAATTCCAAGAATTGATGAATGTTTCAAGCCATCAAAACGGTTAAGTTGATTGTATAACTGAGATTACCTTCCTGTAAACGTTTACATAGATGTGCAACACCAAACCATAGATCCGTCTATCCGTCTCCCAACAGGAAACCATGGGTTCCCACATCTATGTTAGTTATAGGAAAGCCAGGATTCCATTGATCTCCTTCATTCTGGCTGCCACACCTGGTTCAAATCATCCAGGGCTCCATATTGCTGATAGCGCACCAAACCTGGCTGATACGACTGTAAACACCATTCGGCATCTCCTTTTGGGGCTTGCTATACTCCTTTGCCAATCGGAAACAACAACAGCAATATGTGAATCTCTGCTCCAGGATGAAAACCTCTCTCTCTCCACTTAAATGATTCTGCAAGTAAAAAATATAAAAACATACACTTAGACTTCTGGTACTAACCTGCGGAACCAAATATCCCTCAAGCTGCACGAAAACAGAACCGCTTTGAATACTGAATATCCATTGGCAGTGTGCAGAATGGTAGTTTTATCCCGCGAGACAGGGCCTTCTGGGCTCAAGTGCAAACTCTTCTTCACGATCGCAAGAGCCTGCGGTGCTGGCCCCTTGAGTACCCTGGATGCTTTTTTGTTTTTTGCAACCAATGTCACAATATGTCACAATCGTAAGAGTCTGCCTATCATGATATTCTATGATATTCTATGACATCCTTATTTTTGCCCATGATGTTGTTGCGCAGGCTTTCGCCTTCTCAATTGCTTGACTGAGAAGTTTGATGAAGTACTTCCCCCTGTGGTTGGAATATACGGTTATAAAGTTCCCCCAACATTCTTTCTTGTGGTCCAGTTTCATCAATGAACCGTGAAATAGTTTGGCGAGTGGCTAAATCACCGCCAAACTAGCGTCGGTTGATGAATGGACCACCCGCAGAATGGGTTTGTCCAAGAGTTGGGTGACCCAAATAATCAACGGTGTATCATGGTTTATCATGATGTTCCCCGTTCAAGTTGCAATTCATGATTGAAGTTTGAGCGTTTAACCCATTTCTGGATAAGCCAATAATAGGAAATCTTGGGAGGATATGCTTGGAGTGTCTTAGGTCCCGGCAGGCCAATCTACAAAATGTTGCACGTTGGTCCCTTCTTGTTGAGGGTGACTATGGGACTATGGGTTAAATTGAACACAAATGGTCCTCATGTTACATGACTCATGTTGGTTAAACTCAAAAAGTCTCATGGAGCGTTACGATTTTGTGATTGAGTGTGGTGAAGTGTGCTCCCAAGACTATACAAATCCCATGTGAAAGAATCATCTGGCTGAACTAACATAATTCAAAAGACTGCAATAAGGCGATTTGTGAATGGAACTATCCATCATCAGGATGCTGTTGTGAGATCATGTTAATTCAGCCAAATATACATGAATACAACAATCTGAAGATTCGAACATATTAGACTATAACTCTTATACGTCATTGTGATATGACAGATAATACGATGATATGGGTATAGGTCAAAATTGAGTACCTGAATAATTAGTTTGATATAGTTTCACGGTGAATACTACAAATATGATGATATATGTTTTTTTGGGATAATACTAGTATTACAATTATCCTATATAACTAACTGGGGATACTAAATACTAAGAAAATGAGTATAGGTCAAAATTAAGTACTTCAATAACATTGAAATTACTTAATATGATATCATACTATATTATCCTAGGAAAAAATGATGTGTGTTTTTCCCCAAATTCACCAGATCGTTGCCTCAGATTCCATTTGAATCTTTCTTCGTTCAGCATTCGCCTGAGCTTCCTGGCGAGACTGGACGAGACTCACGGTGAAATCCCTACGTGTGAGGGTGAAAATCCATATGTTGGTTGAATGCGATAAATATCAACAAATGTCCCATATGATCATCATATTATGATTGGTTCAATATACTATACTTCAGGTATCATCTACAACCCTAGTTTTATGTACATGGTGAATCTTAGTTACCTGCCAGAAACCTTTTTTTAGCTGGTTAATGTACATTTTACCATTGATAGCAAAAAATCAAAGTACTAAATAGTACCTAACAAAGGTTGACCCAGTTAAAAGTGAAGCCCTTCAGATGGTGGTGACGAATACCGATTTTGGCGGGTTCACCAAAAAACAATGACTAGTCAAACGCTTAAAGCTTCATAGTTCTTCAATTTCAATTTTGAAGAGTGATGAACTGATGAAACCAGTGTAAAATCATCATATGTTTATCTCTTCAATCAACATGTTTGGTGAACCTCTGCAAGGCTGGGACCCCTAGTTACAAGTTGGTGTGTATATATATGTATATATATATGTATATATATATATATATATATATATACAGAAACCCCATGAATTTTAGTTATTTCATTAGCCTAAAGCCTAACGTTAACAAAGTTCAAAAACCAAACACTATATATGTGTGAAGAGTGAAACCTTAGGGCATGTTCTAGTCAGATTAGTTAACCTGTTCTAAAACCCAAACCAAACAATGTTAGGTAAAACCATGCCTTTGGGGAAGAATAACCCTGGTTTCATCACCGCTCAACGCCGCACCTTGGTCACCACCGTGTAGTTGGCGTGACCATCGGCCATTAACACCTGGCTACGCTATGGCGCTGGCCTAACGTTGAACTTATGGTCCTTAGCAGTTGTGGCCATGGCATGAAATAACTCTTGCAACTATATAAGGTTATTGTAAAACTGTTGAGGGTTATAACATGTGGTTAATGATGCTTAACATTCAAGATGAGTTTATGTGAAAAACATTGTTTTCCATGTTGTTTTTCCCAAACATAGGTAAGATTAGGTTATGAGCCATGGGGTTGGTAAATATCCTGTTGATGGCTTGTCACTTGTCACAAGGTGGCGCCCAGTTCGTTAGCTAATGGTTGATAGTAGGTGTATCGAATTAGTCTAGTTACATAATGGGTCTTTAAAATTCTTTAAAACAAAAAACATAACTGGGTGTCCCACCTCAAAACTATGTGGGTTTGTCTGAACATGTTTGGGAAACACACCAATTCATTCCCGTGGTCAATCATGATTTCAATGAATTCATACAATGTTCCTTTATTTTTGACATCACCACAGGGATTATTTTGAAATATGTTGAATCATTTTGAGTCATACAGAAAAAAGGATTATAATATTATACAAAAAACAATCTGAAAAACCGAAGAAATTCTGCACCCAGTGGACAAAATTACTTCCTGAGGAGGTACATGTATAATATCCTAGAGTATACCCTAAAAAACACCTTCCCCCACAGGAAACCAGGTCCCCAAAATCCCCATGAGACATGTTTGTCTTCCACCCCAGTCCCAGCCCTCACGGCATCTCGGGCCCCATGAGCTTTGCCACACCCCTTTTCTTTTGGCCAAAACAATCGGAGCGTTGTGTCTTCCGCGCTTTGGTCACATCCATCGACTTGAGGAAATGCTACATGCTGCGTGCACGTTTCGGCGCAGAAGCATCAGCTCCATTTTGCTCCGCCTGTGGAGATATCGGGATAGGTCAAAAGTGCGGTACCAATGGAAACAACTTCTATACTAGTTTTACCATCCATATTTTTTGGGGGTTGATCATTGTACAGGTCAATGTATTAATGTCTATATTGTGTGGTTCAAAAATTACCAAACGTTCTTCCGTGGAGACCATTTGATGATTTAGTAGTAAGTTTATTATATATCATATATCATATATATATATATATCAGTTATATATCCCACAAAGCCACCGGGTGAATCATGGTGACTTTATCTCTAGCAAATATCTTCTAGAAATCTGCACTTCCCAGGGTGCATTTTTTTGGTGCTCCAAAAAAACATGACCAGTGGCCATTCGACCAATTGGATGGTTCTAAAGGTTTTTTTTTTGGGGGGGGGATGAAGATATCCATTTCCCGAAAAAAATGTTATCTATCATATATATCTAAGAAAGTTCTATCATATATATATATATATATATATACATATCATATAGTAAGTGCTGATTATTTTAGTGCTCACCAGGCTAAAAAGTGCACTGACACTTGCGGCATCTTGGCGCCATATGTCGGGGCATCCATGGGCATCCAGTCGCCTGCACTCTGGATGACCACCAGTCTGGTTCCAGTCCAGTTGGCCATTCCATCTTCATGGTCTTCCGTTTCGAGAAATAGTAGTCGCGATATGCCTGAAGCGGAACCCCAAAGGATAGGTGGGTTGGTTTATATAGGTAGGTTGACTGGAGTTATAGTGGATATGTATATTGTATTATATTGTATATATATTTTATAGGGACATTATGTTTGGACACTATATGAATGGGCTTACCCCTTCCTGTGAGGCACAGCACTTCCAGGTTTGAACTCAAAATCGAGTAAATCCTCGCTTTTCCCATGTTTAATTGAAGACTATATGGTTTGGTTAAGTATATGGTTTTGTCTGAAAAGAGGGCATTCCGGAAAATTATCAGGACTTGTTCCTTTTCCATAACTTCTCCATTCAACAAGACCATGTGAGGTTTGGGGTATAGCCATGAGGCAAAGCCATATCCCAATCTTCCATCGCTCCTCAACGGCATTTTGGGCGCTCTTGAACTCCTCTGGCATCGCCTTTGACATCAAGGGATGGGGACATCATCCCACCCATGATGGGGACATAACAAAATCCTGGGGATATCAAGGGGAAATCATGGAGACATTGTGGGGATATAGTGGGAATCTAGAAAAAAAATGGTGTGGAATGAAGATATCATGGAATCATATATACATTGATATACAGTGACTAAGACATTTCAAAACTCTTGTCTATGCTATATGTATTAAATGTATCATATATATATATATTCACATATATAAAATATAATATAATATAAAATATCAGTATATATATATATATAATATAATATAATATAAGATAAACTAATATAATAATATATATATATATAATAAAACATAATGAAATACAATAACATATAATACAATAAAATAATAAAAAATAATATGATATAATATAATATAATATGATATAATATAATATAATATGATATAATATACTACACTACAATGTACTATAATATACTGTAATATACTATAACCTACTATAATTTACTATAATACACTATAATATACTATAATATACTATAATATATTATAATATATTATAATATACTATAATATACTATAATATACTATAATATACTATAATATACTATACTATACTATAATAAAATATAATATAATATAATATCATATCATATGATACAGTACAATACAATACAATATAATACATTATAATATAATAAAATATAATATAATATAATAATGTGTATATAATATATATATATATATACATTAATATATATATATATATATATTTATTATGATTATATATGGGTGTGTCTGCAGATTTATATACCCCAACCATGCAGCTATTTCACAAGGGCACATAACATGGAAACATGATGATGAACCATGCGATTCTGGGGTACCATATTTTCAGACAAAACCATCGTATCCCCACAAAAGTAGCAAGGCCCAATAAAAAGCAAAGATATCCAGATAAGCAAAATGATACTGTTAGATGACACAACACGATCAGGTCTGATGCTGTATCTTGCCAAGTCTTTGACCAAATACCAAAAACAACAAATTGAAACCGACTCTTCCAAGCCTGTGAAAATCCCCAGATTTTCATAGATTTTCCATAGATCCCATTGGAAGGTTTGGGGCCTCCATGATCAAAAAGGCTGTGCCAACATCTGCCAACATCTGCCAACATCTGACCAGGCGCCAAATGCTGATATTTCACTTTGCTTCGTCGCTTCTTTTTGAACTTTGGTTCATGCTCCTTTGGTTCGGTGCCGCGCCAGGAGGATCATCCCGGAAATTCATCTCACTCCACGTTAGCCTGGAAACAAAAACACATGTAACAAATCCACCACCAGAACAGCCATTCCATCTTTCAGCTAGTGCTTCAGCCACTTCATAAGCTAGATTTAAATAGTAATTTTCATGACCAAATCATGCTTTAAAATCCCAATTTATTTGCCTAGGCCCATGCCATTCCCAAAAAAAGCTTGAATCAGCAGAGTCATCGGTCCTTCAGCCACTTCAACACGTCCTCGGTGGCATGTCGGATGCCTATCGCCTTCTTGACGCTTTTGCCCCGGCCCAGGCGATATTCGCGACAGAGCTGCAGGCCCAATTGCACGGCCCAGCGGTAGTTGCCCAAGGATTCCGCCACCCAAATCCTTGACCCATGATGCAGTAATCAGTTGGGATGGGTAAATGTGTTTAAAGTGTTGAAACATCATAGAAGGTTGACGTGTTTCAGCCACACAACACATGTTTTTTTTTGCGAAGCTTACTAAACACATGTTCTTACCCACATGTTCAAAGATTCGGGTGTTGGTAAATGTGCATTAATATGGTGGTTTGAAACATCACCTACATCGATGGACACCTAGTGGCTCAGGCAAGATCACTGATTCATGAATCAATGCTGAGGAACACAATGAGAATGGGTTCCGGCAATGGTTACAGGAAACCCTTGGTTGTATCATCCAAATACTTGGTATACACCGTACTCCAGTGCTTGGTCTACCGATGACAGTCCCGTATGGTTAATTCCTACATGACTTTGCCTGAAAAAAGAGTACACAAATATATAATTCCATGGTCAATCAGAATCATCATATGTTACATATGTTCATACATAGCTGAGAAGTAAATCATTCATCATTTTCAGACACACAAGAAACAAGATAAGCATAGATAAACAAGAATCTATCCTGATGATATCGTGACGTGATTCTCGAAAAACCGTTGGTTTAACCGTTTAACCAACGGTGAACTAAGGCGCATGGATCCCAACTTCCGGTGTCCAGCCCTTGACTCCTGGTTGGTTAAACCCGCGACGAAGGCGGCATGGTCGAAGGCAACCATGATGGATGATGGGCTAATATGAACATGGTAAATATGAATTCAATTTGATGGATGATGGACTGATATCTGGAACTGTCAAGATCGACTGGATGATAGATAGATTTAAATATATGATTTCCGTGGTCTAAGCAGTCTTTTCATCAGGAATTTCATGATTTCAGATGGAAGTTTAAGAGTACCCAATGGCTTCACTGGGGTCCATGGGTGCCCCAATGGGGATGGTGCCACAAGATGTGAGTATAGATCAAAAGCTTAAATACATATGTTTTTTTATTATTATGTTTTGTACATGGTACGTTAATGCAAATAGAATATAAAGATTTCATGAATGTTCAAAAAAACTCACTAAGATGGTCATATCTTAATTTTTATCCATGTTCACCCATATTCTACTTCAGCATGATTGCATTTTATATGAGGAAACAAACATCATTGAACATCCACCATCACCTGACATCGGCTCCTTGTACGGAATGCGTTGCCTGGGGACGTAAGGCGCCTTGCAGTTAGACGTCTTTTCCCTTGCGCGGTGGTGCACGTTGCAAAGAAGCTGGGCGGTTTCCACCTGAAGTCAGCGACTCGTCAAGGCAAGAGACTTCCCCAGACCCTCCGGTTCCCTCCGGTGTCATCAAACGCGGCGTGCTGAGAAATGGTCTTTTTATATACCCTCTGGTAAACTAACATAGCTATTGAAAATGGCCCATAGAAATAGTTGATTTTCCCATTAAAAATTGTGATTTTCCATAGTTATGTGAAAGTTTACCAGAGGGTAAGTTTCCCAGTAAAAAAACTCCGTTTATAAGGGATTTTCCAGCCAGCCACGTGTGATGACACCAGAGGGGCCCATCTATCATCACTCACTCAGAATGCCTTTGAACCATGGGAAAAGAGTGCAGCATCCATATCTTGATCAACAAAAAGGGAAAGGACATTGATGAACCGTGCAGTCATTTAGTGTTGTGTGCAATGGCGGCTATTCCAAGGCATTCTCGCCCAGCAGTGGAAATTTCTAGGCAAAGCCGACATTTAATCCACTTCAAGGTAGCTCAGTTTTTCACTGGGTCTTCACCATAAAGCGTCTTGAAACCTCAAAGCAATCCAAGGTACAATCATTTTCACCACATGGATGTTGGCATGAAACTTGGCAGCTTCCTTGGGTGACATTGACAGGAAAAAAATATTCATCGCTCAGGTCTAGCCAGTCTCGCCATGGGGCTGCCCGGTGGGCCAGCTGGCAGCTGAAGATTGAGAATCGGTTGCTTATAGATATCCCATTGGTACACCAGGTAGTATAATCCCTGACAACCAATCAACAGGGATATAATGCTTCAACATGGGATAGTGGAATATAGTGGATCTGACATGTTAAGCACCAACCTTAGAAAACAAAGCCAGCCCCAGCCCTGTTTGAGCCAAAATCTTTACACATGGCCGCCATTGGCAAACATGGGATCAATGGGATCGTCCCGTCTGGGCAAACTATACTGAAAAGTTCGGTTTCTTCTTGGGATCCCACATATATATATGTATGTATGTACATATATATATATATGTATATATATATATTTACATATATATGTATATATATATGTATATATATATATGTACATATGTATATATATATGTGTGTGCATATAAGATATCCTAACCATGATTCCAGGGTTAGGACACTATGTGAGGTCACTATGATTTACCCAGATGAATTCTCATTTTTAACCATTAATCATTATTTCTTAACCATTATAAACGATGATTAACAATCACTAAATCCCATCAAAATCCCATCAAAATCACAATGAATCATCCCGTGAATCGACGTTCTGATCGAGATGCCAATCCACTGGTCAACAGGTTCAAACAGATTCGTACTATGGTCTGGGTAACAAACAATAACGCATGTCAAAAAAAATCATCATTTAGAATACCAATACATATGTACAAATATTAAATCTGATCTTTTATGTGTATGCATATATATAGTGTATATTTATATATATAGTATATATATATATATATATATTGTATATATATATATCGTATATATATATATATACATTGTATATATATACAATAATATGTATATATATATACATTGTATATATATATGTATATATATACATGTATATTGTTTTCTCTTTTTTTGAAATCCAACAATCCAGTCACGTTCTCTTAGTCGATTGCCGGTTTTTCGCTTTACTCTTCTGCACCTTGACCTTGCGATCATATTCGGCCTGGAGAAGCGCTTCATCGCTTCGGGGTTGCGTCTGGGATTGATGGTGTATAGGGATGGGTCAAGTCACCAATAGTACCCCTGTTGTTTACATCAAAATCGATGGGATTGATGGATATTTATGGCAATTAATCTCCAAACAAAATTGTATTTATATATAGGTATTAATCCATGGCCATATCTAGCAACCCAGATAGAAAAGCATGTTTCGTCGCGCATTTAGGATTGAATTTGACCAACTTCTATCTTAACGTGTTTAAGAATTACATCAATGATAACAATACCGATAAGTACACAATTACACATTTAGGATATAGTTCAGAAGCGGCCAGGGAATCATTTCTGTAGACACTCGGGGAAACTAACCTGGCTGAGCCAGCCGTGAAATGCTGATGAATTTCTCTATATGATTCAAAAATCCCAAAGAGTTTCAAACAAGTCACCGTCATGGGAATGTAATGAGAGATATCCAACAACAATGGGATTTATATGGATTTATAAGGACATGTATGGGTTCAAGGGGTATTTCATGTTAAAGAGATGATACTGGGAATATCATGGGAAATACTGGGAGATAGCCTCTGGTAATTTTGTTACATCTGCTACATCTCTCTGGAACAAATTACCAGAGGGTATCTCCCAATTTATATATATATATACTTAGACTATGTATGTACAAAGACAGATCCAAGACCATCTGATTTATTAAACATGGCGATTTTCCAGTTCGCCGTGTTGATCTACCAGAGGGCAGACGAAAAAAGAGGTGGACCTCACGCGATCTCCTGACAGCTTTAAGCGGAACTGGCCCTATATCTTGATGCGTTTGCATGTGACGTATAGATCTGACGAACATATTTTGGATGGCAAATACAGTTATGGCCATAACAAAACCCCATTTATAGAATGTATAATCCCATTGAAATAACCAGTTATAACTGGTAAATGGCCATAACTGTAGTTGATTTTTTTCTTTTCCCTCTCTAATGAAATGCCCTGTCTGTCCGATAGTCAGTCTGGAAAAAACATACTGCAGATTTGTCCATTCTCGATTTATGACAATATGCAGCAAATATTCGTAAGGAAATGTGGATGGAACCAGTAAAAGGCTGGGAATAACATCAACAACCTTGCGGTTGTTGCATTGCGCCATCCTTGGCCATGCTATCCGACCATCTAATGGTCATGGAACATGAACATCTATCATCTTTCGGATCTCTTCCAATTGGGAAGACCATGGACTTCAAAAAAAAGGCATTGGTGTACGCAAGGGGTCTTTCCCACTCATATCTTGGGACATATCTCCATGTTGGTTGGTTTTTCATCCCTCAAAAATCACCAGATCCCATGAAATCTCAGTAACTATCTCATAAAATGCCACTAAGACCCAGAATCGGTTGGTTCTACTGTGGAAGAAATCCTGCACCAGTTGGTTGATGGCTTATCCCGCTCCAAACCCATGATTTATATGGTTTCATAGTCACCAATAGTTTCCAACTGGTGCAGGATTTCGCAACCATCCACAGTATGATGGTATAGTAATAATCATTATAACCATCATTAACTATTATTCACCATCATTCATCATTTTGTAACCATTATTAACCATTATCAAAAACTATTTAACTATTATTATCCTGAGAACCGAGACCCCCCACCTTGATCACAGAGGTTTCAGCTCGAATCTTTGTCGAGACTTGCTGTTGCTCCCTGAGGTTTCATGGCGGCTGAAAAAAGGCCATGAAATCCATGGAAAAAGACATGGAACCAGGGGATTCTAATGGATGTTAAGCATCAAACATAGGGACTACGTGACTATAAATATAGAGCTTCAAAAATAGGAACCAGCAACATATGGACAGTTTGCAAATACTACTTGAAGGGAACTTGTTCAAAAGAACTGGCTGCAGTTGCTCCGGGAATCAAACATGGCAATTGCAATGGAAAATCCCCATCTTGTAGATGATCTTCCCATTAAAAACACCATTTATAAGGGATTTGCCATTGCTATGTTTGAATGCCAGAGGGTATATCATGTATGTATATATATATACAGGCAAATACATATGATCATTATCATTAATTATAATATAATATATATATATATATTATACCAATCATACAATTTGCGACGCCCAACATGAACAATAGTACCTTGCAACCCTGCGTTAAATACCGTTTAAAACAACTAGGCGTCCTCATGAACGGAGCTGTGACGTAGCTGTGCCTAATGAACATCATCTGCTTCTGCACCTGATCAGTGTCGGGAATCACATCTAAAGGGCAACTGGAATTGGCAACAAAAGGGATGTGGAAAGGGATGTGTTGGGACCGTTGGGAAAGGTTGTTCCATATGTTTCATCATATTTCCAGATCTATTTCACAATCCATAATTATGTATATGCTGTACACATGCAAATCACTGCTAATCTATAATCAGCCTAAATGATTAGATGATTCAAGTCTTCCAGGTAGCTTTTCTAGAGACCAAAATTGCACTCCCTAGCTCTACTGCCAGCACTCCGTGACTACTGTTTTCCGATAGCTCTTAGTTATACAATATACAGCTGGTCCTAAATATATCCCTATATTTACCCATTTTTGTTCACAATAGGATACCAGCAGTTGGTATCCCTAATGGTCAAACATGGATTTACCCCTCTGCAATATTTGTTGGTCACTATCCCACTATAGTTCTGCTTAAATTCCACGAGGTTCCCTCAGTTTGTTGGTTTGTAACCTCCATAGTTACTATAGTTCTGTCACAAACCCTTGGGCTATTGAAGTTATTCGCACCAATTTAGCTATCATAAATCAACCATAAATGATCCTAAATATTAATGGATTGTTATATAATGGTTGATGTATGATATGATAGCTAAATCCGTATAAATCCTCGTTTTCTTGGTGAATCACCTTGATTTTCTCCATCTTTTGCTGGGTTTTACCCTCTCGTCTGCGAAAAAAACACACCGGCTCTAGGGCCCTGGGGCCTGAGTCTGAACGATGCTCTGCTCGAAGCCGTCCGGCAGGTCGATGACCATCAGCTGCCTTCGGTACAGTAGGTGGAATCAAAACTGGTCTCTTTGTTCGAAATCAGCTCCATCTACCTGACTCAACTTCGAAATCACAGCTTTTCTGGGTAGAGGTTCCTGCTTCCAGAAGGTTCCTAGTGTTTCACTGAGGCGATCGCAACCCCCAACACTCTGCATAGGTCTTCCTGGCGAGCGCGTGAGCGTGAGCGAATCGTCAGAGCAACGATCCGCAATGGGACCGTTGCTGGACCATCGGAAAACTCCACTACTTGAAGGACCACGGTGGTTTGTAAGCACTTAGCCCATATATGTAAGTAAGATATATGTGTATATATATAATATATATATATATATATGTCAGTTCTAAGTTGGTTTTGAGATACTAGGGTTTTCAACTTAGGATCTTGACAAAGACTTTAAGTGATCGTTGGATTGATATGGATTGATGGATTGTTACTCCACTAGTCTTGATGGGATTGTTGGATTGTCAAAGACTTTATTAGGAGTAACCATACCCCGCCCCTTAGTAAAGCCGATTAAAAAAAAAAAGCCAATACTATAGAGTCAAATAGGTGCTTTTTCAACCCCAAAAATCATGCAACCTCGCCAAACTAGTAAAGCCGATCTCCCACCTCCAGATTTTTTGGGGAACGAGTTCTAATTTAGTATAATTCCCTTTCGCTTTTAATTGAAACAATTATGTTCTTGATCCCTCATGGTGCGTTCAATCAAACAAAAAAGCTATGTTTAAAAATCCCGGAAATGATCCATATCTTACTGCTATTGGCAAAAAAAACATTGGAGATCATGGGAGTTTTGGAAGCTCACAAAGGGTACCCCCACAGGATGATCCTCCATTGCCATAAATTTAGAAAGATGTCCCACTTTTCTTGCTTGAGCAGTGCTAAAACCAAGTGTAACCATTCTACTCTACATAAAACTAGAGTTAGTATCTGCCGCTGTACTAAAATTCTACAAGTTGTAGGCCAAAACCCTATAACTCTGGTCCCCCAGTGCTGCCTGAGCTCATGGTCCACCATCTGCTGCCTTGAATCGAACCGCAGCAAAATTTGATGCAAGGTCTGGTGATCAACCATAGGATATGATATTTATATAACATTTAGCCAACAAAACTGGTGATTTTACCAACAACAACAATGATATTCAATGGATGCATTTCATATATTAGTTGATGATAGCTGATGTATCTGGATAATTAACTATAATTCACGAACCTGAAATAAGATCACTGTGGGACGATTCCCCGTTCAATGGATTGGTTTTGGTTGGGAAGATTGACGGGAAACCATGTCTTAGAGTCGTCACATTGTGAAAGGTGATGAATCTGGAAAATCAATGAAACTCACCTCCCACCTTGCTTAATTAATATGATTGGAATGTTTATCATCTCCCACGGGTTAATATTGAAATGGATCCATCGTTCCATTCCATTTCCTCATTCCATGTACTCCAAGAACCTATGAAAATTCGATAAGGTCATGTGCAGTTTTGCCATGCCATGATGTCATTTAAAATGAGGTGTGTATGCCCAATGCCCCATTCCCAATTTTGTTTTATGAAATTGGATATTTACCACCTAGTAATGGGATGATTTCAAAGAACTCCCAAATGGATGGCTATCGTGAAGGTTTATTATTGGCCATGTTTACCTTTCAGTTTCATTATTTGCTTGGTACAGAATGGCAGAATGACTGGTAGTTTACTGGCAATGATATCAATCAATCTGGCTAAGTTACAATAGTTCCCTAACTTGAAAATAGCCGCTAAATATGGCTATATAGCCGCTATCATATGGCAATTTGGGGACCATTCCACCTACATTCACCATCATTCCAGAGACGTCACAGTGAGGTCATGATCAAATTCATCCAGATGAATTTAAGACCATCATTCATTAAGCCCCCCGGCATCTTCTGTGAAAAGATATCTCGCTCCTCCCAAAGCTGCGTTGCCTCGCGTGGCTGTGCGCACTTTGGGGACGGCCACATTGCACCCCCCCCAAAATTTTGAGGGTTTTGAAAATTGGGTTCCCACCAAAATTAACTGAAACAATTTGGAGAGGTACCGCGAGTTGCCAAGCTTTCCGGCGCCTCATATTCCGAAGCGGCTTTGATGAGCACATCGCGCACGGAACTGACAAAGACCTGCTGAGCGGTGATTAAACCATTTGATGAATAAATACCCTCTAGTTCTTTAACATAGCTATGCATGGAAAATGACTCAAATTTGTAGATGATTTTAATGATGAATTACCTATCAATCAATGGTCAATTTTCAGAACGGTTGTATTTTCCATAGCCATGATATGCCATGTTTTCCATAACCAGAGGGTATGGCAGGGCAGGATTTTGCCCGGCATGAAAATCATCATGTGTTTCCTGCAGGACGTCCTTTCTGAAACATACGGCTATTGGCGAAATAAAATCCAGGTGTTCGTCCGTTTTTAGATATGTTCAGTCCATGTTTAGCATACGATATGGAAGTGGCTTGGTATCATCAAGGGCCCATGATCCCATGGAGACCAGCAAAATGACCATCAAAATCATAGGGATCATGATCAATGGAAAACTGGGGTTTGTCCATGTTTTTTCTGTACATTTTCAGACAAACCCGTTGTTGCTAGTCTTCTATTTGAGCAGTGCCGATGTGCTAGTTTCATGTACTATCGATGCTAGCACTTGAGGTGGGCACATTTTGCAGGCCGAATGTGCTGGCTTGGCTTGATTCCCATGAGACTGATGTAGAATGGTCTCCACTTTTTCCAGGGGCAACATGTCAAAGGGAACTCCTATCATGGAACTGCGCAAGCTCCTAGAATTCCACAGGAGCTCTAGGGAATTCATCATCAGCATCATTCTCCTGAGAGTTGCCTGCACATTCTGCTCAAGTCGACCAGTCCTCCCAGGAGTCCTCCCCGGGTCCCAGGGCCCGCTCGGCACCTGCTCGTAGTTCTGATTGAACTCGCTATAGAGGGACGAGATGTTCTGTGGGATCAAGCGGTACTGCAATGAAACCTGCCATCTCACCACAAACCCTGGGAGGTTTCAGGCCCTTGTCACTCAACACAAAAGATACTCAACACAAAAGATAGGACAATCGTGCACTTATATAAATCTCAAGAAACCAGCTATTTTCAGTGTTTTGGGGTTGTCATTCCATGGGGTGATAATAACTGACATCCATCACTGGTATTTCGGGCCATAGCTGCCATAGCTGTGTTGCCATTCCACAGAGTCCTGGCACCTGCAAATGCAGTCCCAAGCCCTCCTTTGTTCTGGTATGGAGTGGTGCATACCTGGCCGTCTGAAGCTTCTCAGTCACTGATGCCCCGATGATCCCCGATGACTGGGATCCCAAAATCAAAGACATCTAGTGCAAAGCCGGGGTTTATAGCTGTGGTTATAAATGCTGGGGGAAAAGGATGGCTTGGTGGTTTATCAGGTTCATCCCATCAGTTTTTCTATGTGTTGCTCTGCTATCTTGCCAATCAACTGGGCACAGTAGTTTAACAATTGGCATCCGGCTTGGACTTCGTAACTAGCTTGTGACCCCAACTACAAGTGAACTTTCCAGCCCCCATTTGTAAGCATGTTGCCGACTTACTCGGATAAATCCTCACTACTTACAAGGTGGTGTCCCAGTGATGTTATTTGGTTGGTTTATAAACCATAGGAATAGTATAGATATATCATGATATCTTTACCATAAACCATAGTGAAATTGGAGCTTTAGACCAACTGAGCACGATTTGAATCGCTGGGGCACCACGTGGGTGGCTGTCTTTGCTGGATGAAACCATCTGGGATTTTCATGGGATTTTGATGGGATTTCCACGGTTAATCATGGTTAATCATGGTTAAGAATGATCTGGTTGGTGGTTGACCTACCATCTTGAAAAATCATGGAGTTCGTCAATGGGGTTGGGATGACATCCCATGTATGAAATGAAAATTAAAGACCTGTTTGAAACCACCAGCCAGTTTGTGTACAGTATCTTATGTCAATCATTTTTGATAGTTGGATAGGTATGGCTCCAATCATAGGTATTCAACAATTGTATCTTACAATCACTCTACATGGTGGTCAACAATGCAATTAGCCATACTGATGCTGAACTTCATTTGATCATGGATTGCCTAGCAAAGTGGTCATAACATGTCAAAACTAATTACAACATATACGAAATGTTCGGACACACCTAAATATCAAATTGTTGGATATCTACCCTCTGTTCATCTGACATAGCTATGGAACAATGTCAATTTAGTTGGATGAATTATGATGATTTACCGATTCAAAATGGTGTTCTGTTCTTGCATAGCTATGCGTTAAACTACCAGAGGGTGTATCATGGTATATTTCATTATTTCCCATGACAATCTCATTGTATCCTATGGTAATCTCATTGTATCCCTGTAAATCCAATTACATCCCATTAAATTTCAATATTGCTGGATTGCTGGATATCTATATTTCATTACACACCCATGATGCTTGGTTCCATGTTGCCCTTTCAATCAAACTAGGCACCTGAGCCCTGCCGTTTCAATGCGGTCGATGTTGCTGAATTCGATGTTACGCACCTCAAAAACACTGCCATGTAAGAAGATACCCTGGGGTAAACGTTTACATAGATGCAGAAAACCAATGGTTTCCCTAAGAAAATGGTCTAGACATAATGTTTTTTTCCCACATGTTTGTTTGTTTCGAGGAAGGATGTGATGATGACAATCACTATCCAAAGCATCAGAACTGATGTTTTTGTAACATTTTCAGATACCCCATTTGCAAAGCCGCTCTCTCAGCGGCCGGGATCTCAACCTTTTTGTTCAGGGATGGTTGGCGGTGAATCCATCAATGATGGCGATGAATCCCATGATTCATCCCATTGTATCATCATTATTGGCTTATCCCACATAAATCCCACCATAAATCCCACGTAAAGAGGTTTCTTAAAAGAGGGGTAGAAAACCACATCATCTGTGATGATTCCATGGAACATGGGATTCCTTCCTGTGATGAACAGTTCCACTGGGCATATATTGGCATCTGTACTCTATACATATACAATATAAAATGTATATAATAAATATATCAAAATATTTCAAAATGTATTTATATAATAGGCGTATACATGCATTTAAACAAAGCAAACACACGTCCCTTGGCTGTGCCTTCATTCCTTGGTGATTTGGTGGAGATGTTTTCTGGCACCATGCAGGTGCACGGCAATGGATGGTTGGTTAGTGGTTTCAACCCCTCTGAAATATATGAAAGTCAGTTGGGATGATGAGATTCCCAATATATGGAAAAATAAAATTCATGTTCCGAACCACCAGATGATTGATGGATATATAATTGAAAACACTATCGTATTGGATCCAATTGATATCCAATTTTTACGATATAATATTGTGGATATCATGGATTACACGGGGTATGTAGTGGCATGGTACATGTTTAATCCCTATTTCCCATTTTGTTGGCAAAATTAGCATGTGTTGGAAACAATCCTGTTTTTTTAAATGCTGGTTCTATCATCATATGGTATAATTGTATAGCCCATGCCATGTTTTTGTGGTTAACATTGAACATCCATAGCAAACCGTTCGATTACCAGAGGGTATATTTCACTATTATCAATTATAATCATCCCATTGTATCCCTATATTGCAATCCCTATAAATGCCATGAAATCCCCATTTGTTGTATGGATAATATCTCATGATACAATAGAAACACATATCCCTACAAGTCATACTTATATACTTATATCATTATTTGCTGTTAATCCAGGTTAATCCTATTCTTATGGGGATCTCCCGCTATAATCCCATGAAATCCATTGAAATCCCCATTGTTCGTTATTGAATCCCCATTGTCACGACATCACCCGCTGGGGATCCCGAACATCGGAGGGAAACCTCACGTGTTCTTTGACAACGTGTGATTTGAAGCTTGTTTTTGGTACACAAATGCAGATACTGATGATACATATACCACAGGATTCTATATATATATATATATATATATACATATATATATATACATATACACATATATATATACATACATACATATATATATATATATACAAACAAATATAAATATATACAAATAATTATATATATACATATACACACATATTAAATATAATCATATATATAAATATATAATCATATATATATATAATAAATATATATATATATAAAACAAAAAACATACACCATATGAATCCATGTGATGATATTGGTATAATATATATGTAATGATGAAACCATGTATCATAACATGTCATATGCGTTCACGTTCACAAAGACCACACATTGTTTTTTTTACACTTTTGACGAAGACCAATCAATGGCAATCTGCATGATATGCAGATCTGTCTGCATGTCTTTTTTTGTGCATTGTAACTGTCATATGTCAATGTGCATCTATTTCTCTAAGTCGACTGAATCCTTTGATTGATTGATAGAGAGGTAGATCAAGTAGAGTTAAACATATTACCTAATGAAAGTTACCTCTATTTTTCGTATATCATCTAAATCTCTATATTCATCCTTTGATTGATCCACTTTGATCCACCTGTCGAAGTCATTCTGCAGGCCTGGACCGGCTAACATTTGCGGTGCAGCTACGGCTACGGCTTCTTCATGGATTTCGCATGCGTATCAGCGTGCGTGCGAGGGAAAAAAAACAACAACTATCCAGAGTTGGTATGATTTTCCGAATTACCAGCAGTACCGCGCAAGGCGGTGGTGGAAGTTTCAAAAATAGGAAACCTATAGGAGAGGTTGGTTGTCGTGAATCACGGATGGCAGAGCGAATCCACTGATGGACCGAAAGGTGGTTGAAGTTGTGTTTTTTGAAATGGTTGCAATGGTTGCAGTGGTCACCTCACCCACAACTGCTGGATGTAGGGTGGTGTAGTGCAGTTGTAGTTGTAGTTGTAGTGTGATGTAGCGGAGTTGTAGTTGTAATGTGTAATAAGTGTAGTGTAGTTGCAGTTGCAGTCGTAGTTGTGGTGTGGTGGAATTAGTGTAGTGTATTGTGGTGTACTGTAGTGTTGTGTACTGTAGTGTGGTATAGTGTAGTGTAGTCTAGTGTAAAGGTAGTGAAGTTGTAGCTGTACTGTTGTGTAGTGTAATTAGTGTAGCGTCGTCTAGTGTAATTCAGTGGTAGTTACACTTGTAGTTGGAGTTGTAGGTGTACTTGTAGCGTAATGTAATTTAATTAATGTAGTGTACTGTAGTGTTGTGTTGTGCAATGTCATGTAGTTGTAATGAATGTGTATTTGTAGTTGCAGTGTGCTGCAGTGTAATTGGTGCAGTATAGTGTAGCGCGGTGTAGTTGATATTGTTGTTGTAGCTGTGGTCGTAGTAATTGTTGTAGCTGCAATGCAGTTATTGTATTGTTTTGTAATTCGATGTAATTAGTGTAGTGTAGTGTAGTATAGTGTAGTGTAGTGTAGTGTAGTGTAGTCTACTTAGTGTAGTGTAATATAGCGTAGTTTATTTGCATTTGTAGTTGTAGTAGTAGTGTAGCGTAGTGGTAGTTGTAGTTGTAGTTGTCTGTCTATCTATCTTTCTATCTATCTATCTATCTACCTATCTATTTGTCTAGCTATCTGCAATCTGCACGCTTGAAAACGAAGCAATTCTGCGAGACTTCCTCAACTTTTGAACGTGATAACGTCAAAAAGGAATTAAGCAATTCAGCGAGACTTCCTCAATTTTTGAGCTTGACAGCATCCAAAACGAAGCAATTCTGCGAGACTTCCTCAATTTGTGAACTTGACAACGTCAAAAACGAGAAGATGCAGGTGCGCGAAAAGGTAGAAAAGTCATGATTCACTCTGCTTTTCCAATGATTTGTGGCTCCGGAGGGTCGAAAAGTAGGCTGAAGCGGCGGGTGCGGAGCCATCTGGCCAGATGAGAGATGAAAAATTGCACGCCGTTGTGGCGCGAAGCACGTTTCGAAGTCAAAATGTACAAAGCACACCAACGTCGGACCACTTTTGGAAGTTGAGATGTTCAAAAAGTGCACGCCGTTGTGGCGCGAAGCACGTTTCGAAGTCAAAATGGCCACTTCGTGGCGCCTCGTCGGCACTGCCTGCGGCCTTAAGAGAGAAAAGAAAAAGAAGGAGAGAGACCGTGACAGACAAGGGCAAGAGACAGAGAGAGAGAGAGAGGGAGAGAGAAGGGGAGAGAGGGAGAGAAAGAGAGAGAGAGAGAGAAGATGTGAAGATGTGAAGATGTGAAGATGAGAAGATGTGAAGATGTGAAGACGAGAAGATGTGAAGATGAGAAGAGGAGAAGAGAGAGAGAGAGAGAAAAAAAACATGTGAATATGTGAAGATGAGAAGATGAGAACATGTTAAGATGAGAAGATGTGAAGATATGAAGAGTGAAGATGTGAAGATGAGAAGATGTGATGAAGATGTGAACATATAAAGATGTACAGCAGACCTCCATTGTTAGAACCCTTCGCTCAGACGCTCTCGGGAAAAGTAAAAACATCATCATTTATACAAATCCAGGTAACTTTGAGTTGCCGAGCAATGTTCTTGAAAGTCTGCCAGGCCAGATCGCTCCATTGTGCGTTCAAGCGTAGCATTTCGTCTCCCGACAAACTGGAGCATATCACCCTGACGGCATCACCATCATCGGCTCAAGCTGCAACACCAGGTCGCCTCCAATCCGTTCAAAGGTAGAAAGTGCCAGGCGGTGCAAGCGGAATGTTGTGCTCACTGCAGTTTGAAATGGCAATACCATCACTTCTTAGCAACACTGTATGAGTCCCACCTGCAGATACCTGGATGTAGACCATTCCGTCATTCAAACGTAAGCTGTCGAGAGTAAGGACAGAGAGTTCTCCCAAGAGATTCGGGCTCAAAGTTTCAGCTTGGCCATCACTTCGAAGAAGCGCACAGTGAGACCTGCCTGCAGAAACCAGGGTGTAGCTTACTCCCCCTTGCAACGGCTGCAACAGCCGCATGCGATCGGATTGTCCAAGCATGCTCGGCTTGGTGGCAACGGCTGTCCCATCACTTCGGAGAAGCACGGTCAGATCCCGACTAGACCCTGCAGATACCTGAGTGTATGTAATTCCCTCGTCCAGGGCTGAAATGTTGCACTCTGCACTTACGTCCCTTCCGCAAGCTGTCGCTGAGCCATCAGAACAGAGAAGAAGCGTATAGCCACAGCCGGCAGACACCTGAGTGTATGACAGTCCTGCAACCAATGGTGGAACATTGCATTGTCCAAAAAAGTTGTTTCCGCAGGCAATAGCACGACCATCACTTCGGAGAAGCACTGTGAGATCTACCCCTGCAGAAACCTGGGTGTATGAAACTCCTTCATCCCACGGGGGAACGGTGCAAGATCCAAATAAGTCCAGTCCGCAGGCCACAACATTGCCATCACTTCGGAGAAGCAGTGTATGACTTCCGCCAGCCGAAACCTGGATGTATGACATTCCCTCCAAGGATGGAATGTCGCGAATGTCGCATTGTCCAAAATCATTTTCCCCACAGCCACAGCACAGCCATCACTTCGAAGCAGTGCTGTGTGACGCCCACCTGTAGAAAACATCGTGGATCAAGACTACTTTGGCCAAAGGATTCAATGCTTCTGGATGAAGTATCAGAATTCACCAATCTAAAATATGGTTATTTGGGGATGGGTCAAAACCTAGTATTACTTAATTGTGTGGGAGAATAACCATCCGTTAACCAGCCATTTTAAGTTACCTAGGGTACATAGGGTTTTGACCCATAACCATTTTGAGATACAGTACTTTTCCTTACCAACCAGCATCTACAGTGACATAATTCACGCAAATGCTTCGTCGGAAACCGTCGTCGGTTGGCTGCGTTTCTGTCACAAAAGCCGAGCCTTTGGGAAGCTACAGAATCAACACATCGATGCAGGATTTAGACCATTTTCGACATTGGAAATGACCTTCAAAGTAACCAGTTTTACATATAGTCAAAGAGTCAAACACGTTTAAAATGGTATGATATGATATGATATCATTTTAAATGTGTTTAACCTGAAACACCCATCCCTGAACCTATATGGGAATCTAATGGCAAATGATCAACACTATAGGCAGTCAACTGGTTCTATTGAATCCTAACTTCATTGGAGGTTCTGCACATTGGTTTCTATCAGAATTTATGACTCATGACACACCTCGCAACTTTATGTCACTTAGCCTGTGAACATCTTGTCCCTGGGCAAACAAAAAAAACATCTGAAGATCCTGAACATGTTTTTCCTATGTTTTTCATGTTTTCCCAGACGTGAAGATCAGGAGGCCCCATCAGAAGCTTGTCCAATGACCAGCTTCATCCGGTCTGCTCCCTCTGCAGGCCAGCAACAAGATGAAGTTGTTAAATGGCCCAGTCATGTACCTCTGGAGCCGGATGCTTCAATCGGGTTTGGATAAGGCCCACAGGAAAGCCATGAAAATCAGGTAAATTGTACCTTCTAAACAATCCATTGATATTGTGCATCCCACATTCAACGAGCTATCTTTGATCAATGTAAGGGACACCTCGATTGATCTCTCCCAAGGTTTTCAGAACAATCTGAATAACTTACAATCGTTCCCTGTTGCATCATATGCCATGAATATCCCATTATCCACTACACCACTTGTTGTTCATTAAATCACAATCCCTATTTTCCTTGGCTAAACCAATCCACTAATTACCACTATGTTCCCACTTTTGTTGGTTATCCCCGTTATAATCGCACAAGATATCCACTTATATCCCCACGTTATCCCCAAGTTTTGACGGATCCCTCAGTTAATTTAAGATAATTCACTATTGTCAGTAGCCAATTTAGTTCTATGTTTACCTAACAGAAATATTTCTTCATAGCAAAGTGTAAAAATTACCAGAAGGTAATGTCTAGTTTCAAGTCCACTTGTTAACCAGTTTTTTCATTATATCCTCATTTCATGAATATTTGATGTTGAATTCCCAATGTTTGATGATCAAATAGCCAGTGCATCCATGGACTTACCATCATATCCCATTCAATATCATTTTAACATTTTTAACCCATTGAAAGCCAGTAAAACCCAGTAACCCCCATGAAAAGCCCATTATTGATTATGAAATCCCATTAAAACCCATTAAAACCCATTAAATCCCATTGAATCCCCATTGATTTAATTCACACACCGGGCCCCTGTTTGACAAGGTGCAAGCCGGGCCCATAGATCTGATTCATATCAGCTGCCTTTTTATCGGCGGTGGGTTGGTGAGTTCGGAACAGGAAGCTGAAAAAACACCATGGCTACGGTAGAATTATGAATGAATTATTACTAGTTGTCATGAAAATCATTATTTATGATCACTATTAATATCATTATCAAGCCTTGAATACAACGTCAAACTCTGTGGCTGATCTTACGCTTACATGCCTGACCCAGCCAAACACTAAAAAACGAGGTGGGATATGAACTATTCTGATTCAGAATCATGGTTCAAGCATGTTCAAGCTTCAAGCATCACCTACAACCCTTGATTTACTACTAGTTGTGCTTAAGAGGCTCCAGAAAAACACATATTTGTTGGTGAATTGCCATGAATTGCCCAGATGCTCAAACAAAATGACCTCCACACCGTCACTGTCACCAGTTGGTATCCAACAATCAGGCCCCAAATCACCATGGGATCTACGCCAATTCGTGGGAGCCTCTACGTCCTTAATAAAATAGTGGTTGGTTACGAAGATTTCCTAAAACGGACGTATAATCGCAACCATAGTAAATGGATAAATGGACTATGATTGAAAAAGTGGATGCTATAATAGTGGTTTCAATAAAACTAGACGACGGTTGGCCCGAGAGCGAAAAACACGTCCTTCAAGCAGCTCTGAGTATGGTAGTCGTAAAAAATAGTCGGTGAATGGTTGGTGAATTTGATATGAGCTATGGAGGGGAAAGTTGTGAAATTACACGCAGACGCTTTTACACACAAACACTTTCACAGACGCGTTTACACACAGAGACTTTTACACACAGACGCTTTTACACACAGACACTTTTACACGCAGACGCTCTTACACAGAAGCTTTTACACACACACTCCTTTACACACAGACGCTTTCACAGACGCGTTTACACACAGAGACTTTTACACACAGACGCTTTTACACACAGACACTTTTACACGCAAACGCTTTTACACACAGAAGCTTTTACACGCAGATGCTTTTACACACAGAAGCTTTTACACACAGACACTTTTACACACAAACGCTTTTACACACAGACCCTTTTACACACAGACCCTTTTACACACAGACGCTTTTACACACAGAGGCTTTTACACGCAGATGCTTTTACACACACACACACGCTTTCATACACAGAGGCTTTTACACACAGAAGCTTTTGAAGAGTGTCTCTATATGACATTTTATGGTCCTGAACTCAAACTGTTCTGTTTTTGACATCAAGCACATGATGGCATCGAGCTCTGTTGCAAACGTTTGCAGACATTTCACTAGTGAAGTATTGTCACATGTGTCATTTACAGCATCATGGTACCGATCTTTTTTGGGCCAATTATGTGGGATTTTCCATAATAAAATGAAATAACATGTGTCATACGCAGCATCATGGTACCGAGCTTTTTTGGGCCATTTATGTGGGATTTTCCATACTAAAATGAAATGACATGTGTCATACACGGCATCATGGTACCGAGCTTTTTTGATAGTTTCTGTGGGATATTCCCAGAATAAAATGAGATAACGCGTGTCATTTACTGCATTATGGTATTGGACCTTTTTTGTGCAAACGTTTGCAGACATTTCACTAGTGAAGTCTTGTCACATGTGTGATTTACAGCATCATGGTACCGATCTTTTTGGGCCATTTATGTGGGATTTTCCATAATAAAATGAAATCACATGTGTCATGCACGGCATCATGGTACCAAGCTTTTTTGGGCCATTTATGTGGGAGTTTCCAGAATAAAATGAAATAACCTGTGTCATACACAGAGGCTTTTGCACACAAACGCTTTTACACGCAGATGCTCTTACACACACACACACACGCTTTCACACACAAACGCTTTTACACACAGACGCTTTTACACACAGAGGCTTTTATATACACACAGACGCTTTTGCACACAGACGCTTTTACACACAGACACTTTTACACACAGACACTTTTACCCACAGAAGCTTTTACACACACACACACGCTTTTCTTTTACACACACACACACTTTCACACACAGAGGCTTTTACACACAGACGCTTACACAGAGACTTTTACACACAGAAGCTTTTACACCCACACACACATACACACACACACGCTTTTCTTGTACACACACACACACACTTTCACACACAGAGGCTTTTACACACAGACGCTTACACAGAGACTTTTACACACAGACGCTTTTACACACAGACGCTTTTACACACAAACGCTTTTACACAAAGACGCTTTTACACACAGAAGCTTTTACACACAGACTCCTTTACGCACAGACGCTTTTACACACAGAAGCTTTTACACACAGACACTTTTACACACAGACGCTCTTACACAGAAGCTTTTACACACAGACTCCTTTACACACAGACGCTTTTACACACAAACGCTTTTACACACAGAAACTTTTACACACAGGCGCTTTTACACACAGACTCCTTCGCACACAAACGCTTTTACACACAGAAGCTTTTACACACAGACGCTTTTACACACAGACGCCTTTACACACAGACGCTCTTACACACAAACACTTTCACACACACAGAGGCTTTTACACACAGAAGCTCTTACACACAGAGGCTTTTACACACAGAAGCTTTTACACACAGGCGCTTTTACACACAGACGCTTTTACACACAAACGCTTTTACACACAGAAGCTTTTACACGCAGATGCTTTTACACACAGAAGCTTTTACACACAGACACTTTTACACACAGACCCTTTTACACACAGACACTTTTACACACAGACCACTTTTACACAAAGAAGCTCTTACACACAGAAGCTTTTACACACAGACTCCTTTACACACAGACGCTTTTACACACAGACGCTTTTACACACAGAGGCTTTTACACACAGACGCTTTTACACACAGACGCTTTTACACACAGACACTTTTACACACAGACACTTTTACCCGCAGAAGCTTTCACACACAAACACACACACACACACGCTTTTATTTTACACACACACACACTTTCACACACAGAGACTTTTACACACAGAAGCTTTTACACCCACACACACATACACACACACACACACACGCTTTTCTTGTACACACACACACACTTTCACACACAGACGCTTACACAGAGACGCTTTTACTCACAGACGCTTTTACACACAGACCCTTTTACACACAGACACTTTTACACACAGACCACTTTTACACAAAGAAGCTCTTACACACAGACGCTTTTACACACAGACGCTCTTACACAGAAGCTTTTACACACAGACTCCTTTACACACAGACGCTTTTACACACAGAAGCTTTTACACACAGAAGCTTTTACACACAGGCGCTTTTACACACAGACGCTTTTACACACAGACGCTTTTACACACAGACGCTTTTACACACAGACGCTTTTACACACAGACGCTTTTACACACAGACGCTTTTACACACAGACGCTTTTACACACAGACGCTTTTACACGCAGACGCTTTTTGCACACAGACGCTTTTACACACACACACACACTTACACACTTGCTCAGAAATATCTTATCGAATTACTGTTGTGGAGTGCATCGGTCGTGCACAAACAATCCCCTAAAGTCTGACAGGCGAGAGGTGGATGACATGGCAGGAAAACCAATAAAGATTATTTCTTTCTTTGTCCTTGCAGAAACCAACTGTTCCATCTGACGTAGTCAGCAGTAGATCAGATTGCGAAAACCGTACAGTAGATTGAAACCTGTTTACACCGAAGTTCTGAGGAAGGTCCTGATGCAGCTAAAAACGACATGCCGGTTCTTGGCTTAGCCGGTTGCCATTGACGACAAAATGAAAATTGGCAAATTGGAAATTTGCAGGTACGTCGGGATGATCAGTCCCGATATCACAATCTCAAACCACCGTCTTCGTTGGGCAGTGGATGGAATGAGATTCACTGCCCCCCTGCTAAGTTAGAAGTTTTACATCTTTACAGATGGTTCACACACACACCCTCCCGCAGGAGGGTGGGAAATTAAGGTCCCGACGATGAGATGAAAATGAAGGGGAAGGGAGATGAAGATGAGGTGAAGATGACAATGAGATGAAAGTTACTTAACCAGGACGCAAAGAGGGGAACGCAAAAGAAGAGGGAAAGAGAAAACACCAACACAAGAAACCTAGCCCAAAACGGGCAACCCTGGAAAGGCAAGGGAAAAGAAAAGCGGAGGCCGACGGACAACGGACCAGCGGAGGAGGGGGAGGACAGAAGCGCCTGAACCAACCTGACACGGCGAAAACCTACAACAACCTCAGCACGCAACGGGCCAAACCTACCTGGAGAGAGGAGAACGCAAGAACACATGAAAAAGGGACACATGGGAAACTAGTTGAAGACATGATGCATCCACAACGCATGCAGTATTCGTGATAAGGCTCAAAGGCCCTCGGCTTTCAAGTCACAACCCTCTGGACGGCTTACGTGTTCAACCCCTGAATTAGGTGCACAATTGAACCTCACCAACGACCATAAAAGAAAGAATCACCAAACCTGGAAGGATGTCCTGTTGCCTGTGAAATCATGTGCAAATGGCTGCGGTCCGTCTCTTGAGAAAACGGAACGATTGTTGTCGTGGCTTCCAGCTATGCATATCGGTAGAACAGAAAGGCGGTGCCAGGCACAGCAGCCAGCAGTTTCAACAATCACTCGACCGACGTGTGAAACAATGAAAAAATGGCCAGCAGTTCACTCTACTTAAACGAATTACTAATTCAAAAGTGTAAATTCAGACATCGTTTTACTGTCAATTGTTAGCCTGGGAAGGCTTTCCCCGAAGGGTTCCTGCCAACTTGACGTAAACAGCAGGAATGACACACTTGCTCAGAAATATCTTATCGAATTACTGTTGTGGAGTGCATCGGTCGTGCACAAACAATCCCCTAAAGTCTGGCAGGCGAGAGGTGGATGACATGGCAGGAAAACCAATAAAGATTATTTCTTTCTTTGTCCTTGCAGAAACCAACTGTTCCATCTGACGTAGTCAGCAGTAGATCAGATTGCGAAAACCGTACAGTAGATTGAAACCTGTTTACACCGAAGTTCTGAGGAAGGTCCTGATGCAGCTAAAAACGACATGCCGGTTCTTGGCTTAGCCGGTTGCCATTGACGACAAAATGAAAATTGGCAAATTGGAAATTTGCAGGTACGTCGGGATGATCAGTCCCGATATCACAATCTCAAACCACCGTCTTCGTTGGGCAGTGGATGGAATGAGATTCACTGCCCCCCTGCTAAGTTAGAAGTTTTACATCTTTACAGATGGTTCACACACACACACACTTTCACACACAGAGGCTACTACACAGAGGCTTTTACACACAGACTCTTTTACACACAGACGCTTTTGCACACAAACACTTTTACACAGACACTTTTACACAAACGCTTTTACACACAGACGCTTTTACACACAGACCCTTTTACACACAGACACTTTTACACACAGACACTTTTACACAAAGAAGCTGTTACACACAGAAGCTTTTACACACAGACGCTCTTACACAGAAGCTTTTACACACACAGACTCCTTTACACACAGACGCTTTTACACACAGAAGCTTTTACACACAGACACTTTTACACACAGACGCTCTTACACACAGACGCTTTTACATAGAGACTTTTACACACAGACACTTTTACCAACAGAAGCTTTTACACACACACGCACACACACACACACGCTTTTCTTTTACACACACACACAGAGGCTTTTACACACAGATGCTTGCACAGGGACTTTTACACACAGACGCTTTTACACACAAACGCTTTCACACACAGAGGCTTTTACACACAGAAGCCTTTACAAAGAGACTCCTTTACACACAGACCCTTTTACACACAGACACTTTTACACACAGACACTTTTACACACAGACTCCTTTACACAGAGAGGCTTTTACACACGGAAACTTTTACACACAGACACTTTTACACACAGACACTTTTACACAAAGAGGCTTTTACACACAGACGCTTTTACACACAAACACTTTTACACACAGACGCTTTTACACACAGATGCTTTTACACACAGACACTTTTACACACAGAGGCTTTTACACACAGAGGCTTTTACACACAGACACTTTTACACAGACGAAAGCGTTGCGATTGACTAAGTAAAGTCGCAATTTTTCCTCAGTTTTTGACGTCCAACGTCCATTTCGTGCAAAAGGGTTGCGCGCGACCGATAAAAGTCGCAACTTTTCCACAGTTTTTGACGTCCAACGTCCATTTCGCGTGTAAGGGTTGCGATTGACTAAGTAAAGTCGCAATTTTTCCTCAGTTTTTGACCTCCAACGTCCATTTCGTGCAAAAGGGTTGCGCGCGACCGATAAAAGTCGCAACTTTTCCTCAGTTTTTGACGTCCAACGTCCATTTCGTGCGAAAGGGTTGCGCGCGACCGATAAAAGTCGCAACTTTTCCTCAGTTTTTGATGTCCAACGTCCATTTCGTGCGAAAGGGTTCAAAGTCGCAACTTTTCCTCAGTTTTTGACGCCCAACGTCCATTTCGTGCGAAAGGGTTGCGCGGGACACCTCAAAGTCGCAATTTTTCCACAGTTTTTGACGTCCAACGTCCATTTCGTGCGTAAGGGTTGCGCGGGACACCTCAAAGTCGCAATTTTTCCACAGTTTTTGACGTCCAACGTCCATTTCGTGCGAAAGGGTTGCGCGTCGCGGCGGCACCGCCCCCGCCTTAAGAGAGAATAGAAGAAGAGCGAGAGGAGATCTGCAGATGTGAAGGTGTGAAGATGTAGATCTGCAGATGTGAGGGTGTGAAGATGTAGATCTGCAGATGTGAGGGTGTGAAGATCTAGATCTGCAGGTGTGAGGGTGTGAAGATCTAGATCTGCAGGCGTGAGGGGTGAAGATGTAGATCAGCAGATGTGAGGGTGTGAAGATGTAGATCTGCAGATGTGACAGTGTGAAGATCTAGATCTGCAGATGTGAGGGTGTGAAGATCTAGATCTGCAGGTGTGAGGATGTGAAGATCTAGATCTGCAGGTGTGAGGATGTGAAGATCTAGATCTGCAGGTGTGAGGGTGTGAAGATCTAGATCTGCAGGTGTGAAGGGTGTGAAGATGTAGATCTGCAGATGTGAGGGTGTGAAGATCTAGATCTGCAGATGTGAGGGTGTGAAGATCTAGATCTGCAGGTGTGAAGGTGTGAAGATCTAGATCTGCAGGTGTGAAGGTGTGAAGATCTAGATCTGCAGGTCTGAAGGTGTGAAGATGTAGATCAGCAGATGTGAAGGTGTGAAGATGTAGATCAGCAGATGTGAAGGTGTGAAGATGTAGTATAACGGCTGCTTTTTTACGAAGAACCCTTCGCAGGCGCTCTCGGGAAAAATAGTGGTTGGTTACTTACTATAATCCTCGATTTATTGAGAAAGGGTCGTATACTCATAATTCATAACCCCCTTAAACTCATCAACTTCAACAGGGGTTTAGCAGTTTAGCAGCCACAGCCGGGTGCGACCCGTTGCGCCTTCGTGAAGGTACTGTACTTGATGCCCAGATGCAATGGCGGCCTCGGAGTGTGTCAGATGTGAGGTACGGCCCGCATCGCAAGCATAGCAGCATAGCGGCACTTCCCCAACTCAAAAGCGCTGCCATTTGGGGATCATTCCCCCAACTCACCATCATTTCCAGTGACGTCTCACTGAGGTCGTTATAATTTGCAATCTCCTAGGATATCTACAGCCATGTTTGGTGGTTCAACCGCCATATATATATATATATATATCCCTATGTATCCTATCAATAATGCCTATATATACAAAAACAAATACATCCAATATATATATATATACATATATATGCATATGTTACATATTCCAAAAAATGCCAATATAAATCGCATTAGAACAAAAAAACATAAGAATCCCATATTGCAACCCTTCCATGAGTTTATCACATAGACAAATCCCATATAGAAAATCCCATAAACAAATCCCACATAATTACATAACCATGGGTTTCTTAAAATGGGGGTACCCCAAAAGCTGGATGGTTCATAATTTTATAATGGGGCAACAAAAAAACATTAGCATGTATAGAAATTGATGATTTAGGGCAATTAGGGGTAACCATTTTTGGTAAACCTCCATATTCTACGAAACCTCCATATACCCTCTGGTAATTTGTTACATAGCTATTGAACATGGCTCATAGAAATAGTTGACTTACCGAACTTCATAAATCCATCCCCCCATCCTTCCCGTCAGGTGACACCGCACCCAAGGAGGTCACCAAAAATGCCACACACCTCGGTTTATCGATGATTCATGGATACATCCAAAAGCATGGGATTTGATACAGGATGGGGCCCCCAAGATAACTAAGTTGCCTTATAAGTGGCTTAATTTAATGGTGGTTATAATGGTTTATAAACAAACTTATAACTGGGGGGCCCCATCCTGTAGGATGTTGATGGATTTTTTAAGAATTTTTGAGGGAATGTTATGGTGATTAGGGATGGATTAATGATGGATTATCGGATGATTTGATGGGATTTTCTGTGATTTGATGGGACTTTATGGTGATAAGAATGGGGATTTAAGCAACAAACATGGGCATATAATGGGAAATCATAGAATAATTAACTAGGGATTATGGGAGCTATAACTAGGGTTTATGGGAGATATAACTATAGCTAATATTGCTTCATGGGATTTCCAAAATGATTGTTGTAGATGATTGGTGGTGACTTACTTAACGGATTTAACCAACATTGACGAGGTGTACCATTCAGTGTCATCAAACATGATTAGCTGGAAAATCAACCATTTAGTTCGATGTCTTTCTCAACTAGAACCTCCATTTCCCAGCTCGCCACGTTTGATTACCGAAGGGTATGGTTTTAAACAAAAATACTAATAATCTGCATTTTGTCTATGATCACCTACAATTTTATTACATGTTTAATTGAAGGGAAAAACTGAGAAACCGGAAACCATGGGTATTACCATCAAATATCACGTTTTCTGCATATGTTTCCATGGTTTCCATGATCCAATTCTGGGATAAGAAATTTGGCTCGCCAGCAAATCACCAAAATTGAACTGCCGCAAAAGCCATCGGGATCCAAACACTTTCACGTCCCACATGGTTCTAAAGCACCTCATTCTCTGATTGATATGAGCTATCTCAACCAATCATTCCAAACATGATTGAATAAACAATAAATAGTGGATCTATTTTCGGAGTATCGGGATATGTCTTAAGCCGGTGAGTATCTGGGGATGGATCACCATTCTTGGATACACATTGCATGATACCATAAATTATACCATGTTTTTTGAGGGTGAACCGGTGAACCTCATTTCAAAACAGCTACTTTAGAGTTCACGAAAGTACCAGGCTTTTGACTCAGCTTTTTGCAGTGACATCTCCAACTTTTGCTTGGTTTCCACACGCCACCAGAACAGTAACACCTTGGATATCACCACTGTGCTGGTTGAAACATCATCCAGACACATATTGCCAGTAATTACCTGGAATACAATATTAGATACGCTAAACATCCGGTAAACAAATGAAATTTTGAGGTACGCTGTTTTCAACTAAACCCACGTCTTCTTCTACTTTCCCTTCCAAGACAATGCTGGGAACTCTTGAGCTAATCCCTTCCCGATATTAAACACCCCTCAAGAAACCGTGGTTTAGTAGCGGATTTGCTGGCTTCCCAAAATGCCACTACTCCAATAGCTGGATGGTTTATAATATTGATATATATATATATTTATAATGGCCAAAGCCATAAAGATGGTTTGGGGATACACCTCTTTTACGAAACCTCCATTCACAAATGACCTGGCGCAAAACCCCCGAGCATCACACCGCAACAAATGATTTTCGCATGGTCGGAGATCCTGGAAGCTGCGGATTGGACTGGTTGAACGCCCCGAAAAAAACATGGTTTTGCTGCCTCTGGAAATGCTGGCCGTGGCTGGCTAGAAGATCTTCTACAAATGGATGGGTTTATGTGGAAAAACATGTTTAAATGGTGGATTTTCCATTGCCACGTTTGATTACTGGAGGGTAGGTCTTGTTTTTCTGACTTCTGATCCATGCTAATCACATTTGGATGCAGGTTGAATCAGAAAAGCCCCTAGGTCGGTCACCCAAAACAGAAGTATAAACATCTTGCCAACTACAACTTGTTTGGCTCCGCTGGAGAAATCCGAAATGTGATCTGAAACAAATGTAGCCTTGAGCCATCAACAGAATGAGGATCCACATGGGTGTCCCAAAAGGATTGTACATCACAATGAGGCATTTTGTTTACCCAAGTTTCCCATTGATTGAAGGAGACTATTGTGATAGATCATGGGCTAGTCCGGCGGTTCCAACATGCTGGAACCAAGTGACTCATCTCTGGTTATGTCTCACAACTCAGGACAACTATGTCAACCCATTGTTTCGCAATCCTAAATTCCTTAACTAGGCAATTTTGATCAAATATGTTATATAACTTGGTTTTTTGAAGGATTATGTCAAAACAATTCAACACAACAATGAACCTAGGGTTTTTGCTAAAAGATCCGCAACACCCCCAACCATAGTGTATATTATTGATATATCTACCTTCAAGGTACTGTGCGCATATGTTTCATTTCATAGAAACATCAAGGTTGTGAAAACAAACGCAAATACCTATGTGTGCTTAATTCCAAACAACTTTGGAGATTCAATTCGCACATTTTTTGATTGTAAAGTCATGTCAATAATCTTAATACTTAAATATACAGACACATCATAAACTTACATAAAACATCTAAGTATGATTGAAGGCTAAACAAACCTCCATTCTTACGGGTCCACCATGAAGGCTTTCCCATGGCTTTTCAGCTCCACCGTCCCAACTCCGTCCCCAAATCCATGGGCATCTCGGGTGGTGGCTGATAACCACCACTTCGACCTTGAACTGCGCAGAACTGACCAGGGACCCCAAGGAACGCACCAAAAAAAAAGGTTTACCATATGGTTTAATATGGTGGTTTAATATGGTGGTTTAATATGGTGGTTTCCCCCCGCAAAAAAAAAAGTTTATCACCTGGGAGGAATTTACTGCTCTATCTTTGGGGATGATGATAGACTATAATCTGGTTGGTGATTTCAACCATCTTGAAAAATATTATCAGCCAAATGGGAAGGATGACATCCCATATATATGATGGAAAATAAAATTCATGTTCCAAACCACCAACCAGATATGGTTTAACATGGTGGTTTCCATAAATGGTGAATCCCCAATAGCTGGATGGTTTATATATAATGGAAAATCCTCTTTAAATGGATGATTTAGGGGTACCCCCATTTTAGGAAATCTCCATATGGTTTATCAGGTTTACCATTCCAGTGTGGCATGCCTGTTCGGTTTTCGGATTTCGGTTGGCCTGCCCCCTTTTTTTGCATTCCAAGCCATTCCAAAAAAAGGCCTGGTAATGTAAAAATAGCTATTGAAAATGGCCATTGAAATAGTGAGTTTTCCGATTAAAAATGATGATTTTCCACCGTCCAATAGCATTTGAAACCAGAAAAGGTAACATTGGTCATTTCCTGGGAACCCATAAGCTAAGTTGCTTTCCCCGGTGAGGCAACCGTAGTGGATACGTCTACGGCAAGCTGTGTGGTGTTTTCAGCCCACGTTTTTTATTTTGGATGTGCATTTTCTCAGGGGCACCAAACCACGAAATTACTTTATTTCGTGTGAACCCCACCATGACATTTATACATTTTGTTACTGGCAAATCTTCTGGCGTTCTATCTGACATATCTTCTGGCATTCTATCTGACATTCTATCAGGCATATCTTCTGGCATTCTATCTGGCAGATCTTCTGGCAAATTATCTACTCAAATCTTCTGGCATTCTATCTGTCAAACATTCTCGCACTTTATCTGGCATATCTTCTGGCATTCTATCTGACATTTTATCTGGCATTCTATCTGGCATACCTTCTGGCATTCTATCTGGCATATCTTCTAACATTCTATCTGGCATATCTCCTGGCACACTATCTGGCATATCTTATGGCATTTTATCTGGCATATCTTCTGGCATTCTATCTGGCACATCTTCTGGCATTATATCTGGCAAACATTCTGGCACTTTATCTGGCATATCTTCTGGCATTCTATCTGACGTTTTATCTGGCATTTTATCTGGCATACCTTCTGGCATTCTATCTGGCATATCTTCTGGCACTCTATCTGGCATATCTTATGGCACTTTATCTGGCATATCTTCTGGCATTCTATCTGACATTTTATCTGGCATTCTATCTGGCATACCTTCTGGCATTCTATCTGGCATATCTTCTGGCATTCTATCTGGCATATCTCATGGCATTTTATCTGGCATATCTTCTGGCATTCTATCTGACATTCTATCTGGCATATCTTCTGGCATTCTATCTGGCCGTTGAGGTCCAGCGGTGCGCACTGAGCTGGGAAGGTCCCAGGTTGAGGTCCAGCGGTGCGCACTGAGCTGGGAAGGTCCCAGGTTGAGGTCCAGCGGTGCGCACTGAGCTGGGAAGGTCCGAGGTTGAGGTCCAGCGGTGCGCACTGAGCTGGGAAGGTCCCAGGTTGAGGTCCAGCAGTGCGCACTGAGCTGGGAAGTTGGCGAAGAGCTTGGCGAACAGTTGGCAAGGCGAAAGTGGAGGTGGAAGTTGATGCAGACATGGTCGAGGAGAAACTGGAGGAGGAGGCGGAGGAGGCGGAGGAGGAGGAGAAGGAGGAGAAGGACAACAGCTCTGATAAAATCTAACAACCCTCACCTAGCAGGTGGGGAAAAAACATCTTCCCACAATTTCCCATTACCCTCTGGTAAACTTTCACATAACTATGGAAAATCACCATATTTTTCTTGGGAAAACTCACTATTTCAATGGCCATTTTCAATAGCAAACTGTTGACCTTACCAGGGGGTAAATCCCCCAGTTGTGGCCGACATTGTTCCGCCGCCCTGATGGTCCAAGCTTTGTGACCACTGATGATACTGGCGGATATGACTCGTGGAATGTATATATATATACATACATAAAAGATAAAATGATAACAGTAATCATCACAATACCAGTAGTACCGCACAAGGCGGTGGCGGAAGTTTCAAAAATAGGAAACCTATAGGAGAGATTGGTTGTTGTGAATCAGGGATGGCAGAGCGAAGCCACTGATGGACCAAAAGGTGCTTGAGGTCTCCTCTCTTTCTCTCTCTTTCTCTCTCTTTCTCTGACTATCTACCTACCTACCTACCTACCTACCTACCTGTGTATCTATCTATCTACCTATCTATCTGTCTATCTATCTAGCTATCTACCTATCTACCTATCTATCTATCTATCTTTCTCTCTTTCATCTGTCTATCTGTCTACCTGTCTATCTGTGGTGCAGTGTCATTCAGTGTAATGTAGCGTAGTGTAATGTAGTGTAGTGTAGTGGAGTGTAGTGGAATGTAGTGTAGTGTAGTGTAATGTAGTGTAGTGTAGTGTAATTTAGTGTAGTGGAGTGTAGTCGAGTGTAGTGGAGTGTAGTTGTGTAGTTGTGTAGTTGTGTAGTTGTAGTTGTAGTGTACTGGAGTGTAGTTGTGTAATTGTGTAGTTGTAGTTGTAGTGTTGTGGAGTGTAGTGTTGTGTAGTGTAATGTAGTTTAGTGGAGTGTAGTGTAGTGTAATGTAGTGTAGTGTACATTAATTTTAGTGTAGTGGAGCGTAGTGGAGTGTAGTTGTGTAGTTGTAGTTGTAGCTGTAGTTGTAGTGTAGTGGAGTGTAGTGTAGTGTGATGTAGTGAAGTGTAGTGGAAGGTAGGTAGTGAAGTGTAGTGTAGTGTAATGTAGTGTAGTGTAGTGTAGGTGTAGTGTAGTGTAGTGTAATGTAGTGTAGTGGAGTGTAGTTGTGTAGTTGTGTAGTTGTGTAGTTGTAGTTGTAGTGTAGTGGAGCGTAGTTGTGTAGTTGTGTAGTTGTGTAGTTGTAGTTGTAGTGTTGTGGAGTGTAGTGTCGTGGAGTGTAGTGTAGTGTAATGTAGTGTAGTGTAATGAAGCGAAGCGAAGCGACATCTGAACCTCCAAAAGTGGTCCGAAACCCTGGTGTTTTTTAACATGTTGGCTTCGAAATGTGCTTCGCGCCACAACGGCGAGCACTTTTTCGACATCTCAACGTCCAAAAGTGGTCCGAACCCCTAGTGTTTTTAACATTTTGACTTCGAAATGTGCTTCGCGCCACAACGGCTGTACATTTTGACTTGGAAATGTGCTTCGCGCCACAACAGCGTGCAATTTTTCGACATCTCAAGTGCCAAAAGTGGTCCGCATCCCTAGTGTTTTGTACATTTTGACTTGGAAATGTGCTTTGCGCCTCAACGGCGTGCAATTTTTCATCTCTCCTCTGGCCAGCTGGCTCCGCACCCGCGGCTTTAGCGAGCCTACTTTTCGACCCTCCGGAGCCCCAAATCATTGGAAAAAACACAGTGAATTGCGACTTTCCTACCTTTTCGCGCATCTCCATCTTCTTTCTTCTTACTCTTTCTCTTCTACTCTTCTTTCTTCTAATCTTTCTCTTCTCTCTGCCTCTTCCCTGCTCTGCTTTTCATCTGTCCATATTGTCGGAAGTTTGACTTCTAAACTTCCTTCAATGATATATCTATAATAAGTATAACAATACATATATACACGTTATATTATGTTATATTCCATTTCTATCCATGATACACCCCATATGTATCGAAATATAAGATATCTTCCAACTCCTGTCAACTCCTATAGATTCAACATGTTCACCCGCTGCTGGGTATGCACCGACGCAGAGAAGGATCGCGTTAAAATCATCCTGGGAACTGAGCACAGCCTGCAGAACTGACAATAACGTATACACAGCGATGGCGATGGAAACCACTAAAGGCACTGAAGCGATGAAGACTGCATGGCCAGGTCACACGCTCCAGGCTTTGGTTGAAGTTAAGGCCAAAACTCAAGCTTTGAAGACTCGATGGCAAGGTCACCAGTTCCAGGCTTTGGTTGAATTGATCGCCAAAACTCAAAGTTTGAAGACTCGATGGCAAGGTCACCCGTTCCAGGCTTTGGTTGAATTGATAGCCAAAACTCAAGCTTTGAAGACACGATGGCAAGGTCACCCGCTCCAGGCTTTGGTTGAAGTCACGGCCAAAATTCAAGTTTTGAAGACACGATGGCAAGGTCACCTCCTCCAGGCTTTGGTTGAATTTGAAGTTCTCGCCAAAACTCAAGGTTTGTAGACTCGATGGCAAGGCTACCCGCTCCAGGCTTTGGTTGAATTCACGGCCAAAACTCAAGCTTTGAAGACTCGATGGCAAGGTCACCAGTTCCAGGCTTTGGTTAAATTGATCGCCAAAACTCAAGGTTTGAAGACTCGATGGCAAGGTCACCCGTTCCAGGCTTTGGTTGAAGTCACTGCCAAAGCTCAAGGTTTGTAGACTCGATGGCAAGGCCACCCCCTCCAGGCTTTGGTTGAATCTGAAGTTCTCGCCAAAACTCAAGGTTTGAAGACTCGATGGCAAGGTCACCCGCTCCAGGCTTTGGTCGAAGTGATAGCCAAAACTCAAGGTTTGTAGACTCAATGGCAAGGTTACCCGCTCCAGGCTTTGGTTGAAGTTCTCGCCAAAAATCAAGGTTTGTAGACTCGATGGCAAGGTCACCTCCTCCAGGCTTTGGTTGAATTTGAAGTTCTCGCCAAAACTCAAGGTTTGAAGACTCGATGGCAAGGTCACCCAGTCCAGGCTTTGATTGAAGTAATAGCCAAAACTCAGGTTTTGAAGACTCGATGGCAAGGTCACCCGTTCCAGGCTTTGGTTGAAAACATTGCCAAAACTCAAGCTTTGAAGACTCCATGGCAAGGTCACCCCCTCCAGGCTTTGGTTGAAGTCACGGCCAAACCTCAAGTTTTGAAGATTCCTTGGCAGGGTTCTTTGGTTGAACAGGGTCCTGTAGTTGAAGTCACCTTCAAAACTCAAGCTTTGAAGATTCCTCGGCAGTGTCACGCACTCCAGGCTTTGGTTGAAGTTACGGCCCAAACTCAAGCTTTGAAGACAAGATGGCAAGATCACCCGCTCCAGGCTTTGGTTGAAGTCACGGCCACAATTCAAGTTTTGAAGACACGATGGCAAGGTCACCCGCTCCAGGCTTTGGTTGAAGTTCTCGCCAAAACTCAAGGTTTGTAGACTCGATGGCAAGGTCACCCCCTCCAGGCTTTGGTTGAATTCACGGCCAAAACTCAAGCTTTGAAGACTCGATGGCAAGGTCACCAGTTCCAGGCTTTGGTTGAATTGATCGCCAAAACTCAAGGTTTGAAGACTCGATGGCAAGGTCACCCGTTCCAGGCTTTGGTTGAAGTTACGGCCCAAACTCAAGCTTTGAAGACACGATGGCAAGGTCACCCGCTCCAGGCTTTGGTTGAAAACATTGCCAAAACTCAAGCTTTGAAGATTCCTCGGCAGTGTCACGCACTCCAGGCTTTGGTTGAAGCGATGGCCAAAAGTGATACTTGCAAGGCTGCTGGGGAGATGATGCAAATATTCTGGAAGCATTTCTGCTTCAAGATGTGTAACACCCTCTAGCGCAAACTCTCTCTCACAATTCAAGAGCTCCAAGGCAGAACCACAGGCAGAAAGCCATGCTGCATACAGATTAGTTGGTATGTAGGTGCAGGACAGCATTGCGGATTTTCCAACAATCCCTTGCTCTGCCAAGTTTTCATCCAACTTCAGCTCTCCATTGCCATGATGCACGACAAGCTTTGCGCCTTGCTTGCATGGAAGCTTCTCTGACACCAACCTGCGCAGGTCAGACCCAAGCATGGAGCCACGGACGCTTAATGTCACTCCTTCTCCAGTCAAGCACAGCACCCGAAGCTCGACGTCATCAGTTTCATCTGCCGCATCTTTGTCAGCAAATGATGGATCCGCGTGATCAGCCATATTGCGCACTAAACATTCATCAAAAAGAAGACACTCACCCACAGTGGGTGGAGCCGGAATGGGCTTCTCTGAAAATTGGGTACATCAGAATCCAATACATTATTTGTTGGCAATGCCATACATTGGGGGCCCATCCCCCACCTTCAGACACACCCACATCCATTCATTCATTTGCGAAATCACTATTTTTGATGGCTAAAATTCACTTCTTCAACATGTTTCAAGGCTGGAATGAAGTTGAATTGCTATAGTTTACCAGTTTACCACTAGACCATGCTAGACCTGGACCCTCATGACCTGTTCACCCCCAAAAAAAGTTCCCATGGTTTCATCCCAGGCTAGCCGAGTCACGCCGTTGGCTCAACGCTTGATCCATGGCCAAATTGAACCACGGACAGGGAACAAGAGACCCAGAGGCTGATTTCAAGCTGTTTGAAACATGTGTCTATGGCTTTTGTTGGGATAGATATGATATCATATGATATCATATGACCATATGTGCCATGGTCAAAACAAGTTCTTGTTTGAGTATGGTCATCCCACCGTCGTACATGGCATCTCCTATAATTAATCAATATATGAAACCTTACAGTATTCACGGATCGATAAACATCCCCCAAGGACTGGGTATTTTTTACAGCATTTGACCGTGGCACCACCAAGTAAAGTCAGCAGCAGACTTATAAACACCCAAATACACTTAAACAGTGGCGCGTGTTCCATGTGTTTGTCAGAATTGCAGCCACTTGTACCTTCATGCCTTCACAAATAAATGAGATCTTGCTGCTCACCCTGAAAGCTATGCCGTTGTCTTGTCATCTGCCTTGAAAGCATTGCAGGGCTGGGTGGGGTGCCAACATCATCTCGGGACATGTCCTAGTACTGTTCTGAAGATACTTCACCATGGAGATGTATCAGCACCGGCGGTAAATCAGATCAACATGCCGTTTTTAACAGAATGGACCTGACAATCATCTAACATGGGTGACTTTCCAGCGGGAACCCAATGATTATGGGGTATCACGGGCAAGTTTTTGTGCCAAGCCATGCCCAAATCAATGCAGGATTCGGTGCAAGATTCGGTGCAAGCCTTCCTTTGTAGCGTCATCCAGGTTGGGAAAGCGAACCTGTCACGTGAGAATGATGGTGTCATCCCTACATTTGGTGGTGGCCCATACTTAGCTCAGCTGGCTTAAACATAGATTAAGTAGAGTTTAAGGTGCATATATCTATCCCATTCTATCCCTATCTAACCAAGTCTAGAGTATTGGAGTTATGATTTCGGAAGTCAAGTACCTTCTCAGGATGTACTTGGATTCATTGGGCCATAGCTAGAGGGGTTATACGTGCTTATAAACCGACTTCAAAACTTGGTGTCCCACCGGCCACGGACCGAAACTTGCACCTATACCCGACACTTATATAATTCTGGTGCGGGGAAATAAACCACCAGATCTGAGGATGTGTGAAAGAACCCTGGTGAACATCAAAATAGCTGCGATTTATGGATGCGAATCACCTTCCAAACATGATATCATACTTTTGGATCCATCATGTTCAAGTGTTTGTCTGGCTTTGCCAGAATTCGTGATGGTACTGTACCTCCAACAATGATGATGTAAAGGTCTTGTAACGAGAAAGAAACGCCTTGTCTCACCTTGTCCTGTTTTGCATGGAAATTTACACAATTCAAACATCTAAACCTGATGTCAACACCAAGCAAGAACAGAAAAAAATCGAGTTGTTTGAATCCCACCCCCAAAAAAAATCATCCCATATCTAGTTCTCAATGCTTCCCCAGGGAACAAAACCTCCATTTTTCCATGTTTTTTTTTCCATTGGACCACCTTCACCCCTATTTCCACGCACCCGGATGGTTTCCCGCGTCAAGGCATCCAAGTTCTGATGGATCATCATCGCGGATTCCGCGAAGCCGGCATACCTGGGACCCGTGATGACCCGGGGCAAACGCTGCGTGGAATCCGTGGAATTTCCCAACCTTTCCCATGACGGATCCATGGTGCTGCTATATATGGTAACATGGATCCCATCAATATACCCCAGTCATGTTAGCATATATACCCTCTGGTAATTTAACATAGCTATTGAAAATCACCATTTTTAATGGGAAAATCCACTATAAATGGCCATTTTCAATAGCTATGTTAGTTTACCAGAGGGTACCATACATGGATCCTATGGGTTTGGGATCCAGTGCCACTTTCCGATTTCGACCTTGATGTCAACAAAAACACCGAGACTTCACCGACAGAGTCCGACGATTTCTCGAGGACGATTTCTCGAGCCGCTACGACGTGGAGTTGACCACAGTAAGCGACAGGTGTTTGGGGGTTTAGGCCAGGCCATGGCAAATGGGATACAGTTTTGGCCATTTATCAGTTATAAGTACTTATAACATCTTATAACCCCATTTATAGACTGTATAATCCCATTTATAACCAGTTATAACTGGTAAATGGCCATACCTGTAGTGATCATGCAATGGATCTTTGCCCGGTCAGTCTAAATGTTGAAGGGCTATCAAATCTAGCAGAAAAAACTCATCGACTTTTGAACCAACTTGACCATCTACAAATTGTCGTTATAAATACGACATCTGAATCTGCAAGTTATGTGTGACTGTACAAACACTTGCTTTGCAGGAGAAATCCTCGAGACCCGCCAACAGAGGATTAGCTAACCACCTTCCAGGAGTGTGGTGTCCTTTCAAAAAGTTCTGTCTGTTTCATCACTATTTGAACAATCCTGGAAATTGGTACATGTTTTTGTTTTTTTTGGATACCTGGTTTCAAACCCATCAGTTGTGTGTGGGATAAAATGGACGAATACTCAGTCACAAACCATTCATACCAAGTTTCATGTTCATCCCAACGTTCTCGAATCACCTCTTTTTGCTGGTTGGATTATACATGACTTCTGGTAGAAAAGGAGCCTCCAATATCACCCTGGCAATTACATGGCTTGGACAACATATTTGTTTGCCCAAAAAGGTGGATCAATATGTCACCACCAACGGACTTCGATTTAGAGTGAAAAATGTGTCCCGGAAAACCCAGAAAACACACCCGTGCAGCTTGGGTGCAACCACCGGCGTGCAGTTGGCAATTGCAACTATCAAAAACTCAAAAACCATCTCGGTTGACCTTCAAAATGACCTCTCTATAAAAAGGATTCCAGAATCGAGGCGAACCAAAAATACCATTTGCCCATGGCAGTTGAAGGGACCAAATAAGTAGCCGTATGATGTCCGATACTAAGTCTCTATCAGTTGAGCCATAAAAGAAAACAAACTATATACTCTTGTTTTATTGAAATAGGGAGTTATGAAACTGCCTGGCCTATTGCTAATGAAATGATATTTCTGATTTAGATTAAAGTTGCATTGAAATGATAAACCTTTGGTTCTATGATCCCCTTAAAAATTGTGTTCTTCTTATATAACTTCTTCTTATTTACAAACCATTACACACATTGTTTTATTACTTATCTGTTATAATATGCTGTAGGGATACCTCTCAAATCCTCTCAATATCGACGCACAGACACGCACAGATGGGGATCTGGTGGATCGATCGTTGTGCGAAATAAACTGCTGGTTTTAGAACCAGAACTATTCGATTTATGGTGTCTTGTTCTTCTTCTTTTTACATCTTTTTACAGTGAATATAGATGAATATAGTCTATAGATAAGTGAATCTACTTTAGAGAGAATTTCTGAATGCTTTTCAGAATCTTTTCAATGACCTTTCTATGTCTTTGACGCTGTGTTTGTAGCTCCCAACACATCCACTGCCGGCATCCTGAGGCCCCGCTTCTTGGGCCCCCCCACCGTAGCTCCCATCCCTGTTGAAGTAGGGAAGTCACCAAGGAACACTTCAGACCTGGCTGGCCCTCTGGTCCTGGTCCTCACAAACATCCCTTAATGGGATATCTCCACCAACTAGGCTGAAAATTCAAGTGACATGCTTGGTATAAATTTAAAAATCAACTTTGACTATGGGGCACCAGTATACAAGTTCTCTTTGTCTCTCTGTCCTCCCTCTCTCTCTCTCTCGGATGTCGTTTCCCCTATTGAACATTGACTTTTTTCCCTGTTGCCAGGTTTCCCAGAGCGTAGACCCTGAACTAACATTGTAAAAGATACCAACATTTGAAGTCTCATATACCATCATATACCAATATCTTGTGGTAGATTGAAGTTTCAGGTACTTGAAACATATGTTTTATGTTCGTCCATAACTTGTCCATCTTATTTAATGATCATGTCGTTGAGGGGTCTGGTACCACCCTCATTTTTCCTAGTCCTAAGTGAGTTGACCTGAAGACCTATGAAAGTGTATGGCTACGATCCACCACCCATTCGTGGTGAAGCATGCTGGGGATACTGCTCTCAAGTCTTTCTTTTTAATCACCAAGCCGCGGAAAAATGATGGCATTCTCACAAACAAAAAAATGTCATTGACGCGTTTCTTCACCACAAAAACCAACACAATTTGGATATGGGCCACAACCCTCCCTGGTGAACGATCTTAATCAATCTCATACTGGTGCTTAGTAAGGAATGTTTTTTTTATCCAATCATCCCATTTCCCCATTCCCCACTAAGCACCAGAAAGTTTGATCAAATCACCCTGAAAAGTCATGGATCTTCACATATCTTGACCATTCAGGTGCACATCTTCGGTTCCCCGGCGAAAGAACTCGTCATGGCGCAGCAATCGGGCCTTGGTTCGAGGGGAAACTAATGGCTTTTTGACTATGGTGAAGTAGCCCGCCAAAGTTGGGTGATATAACTTCTATAACGAAAGGTAACTATAGCGATTTTGTGACATCTATCCACTTATAGCCTTAGCTGGAACTGCACTTCCAAATGATTTAAAACAAAGCCAAAAATTACGGAGATTTCCCCAATACATTGGAACCTTTGGTATTTGAAATGGGATAGTGAAGCGACCAGGATGGAGAATTTCCCAATGGATCAAATTCTTTCAGTAACACACTTGCTCAGAATTAGCCACAGAAAAACACATTCGCATTCAGAGGGGTGATGTCCAATGAGAAATTTCAGGGCGTAGATCTCCAGGTCGCACGTACACCAGAAGAGAATGCAGACTGAGTAGTCCCTACATATTCAATGTTACTAGTCGAATCTCACATATGTGTTTGATAGTTTATGAAATACCACTCTACATCCAATATCAATCAATCATAGCACCATCAAGATCAATTTATCAACAATAGCGCCATCATTTTTTCATAGTACCATCAAACAATCAAATAGCATCAAACATTCAAACAATATCTGCACACATCGATGCTTCGTGCGCGGCCGCCGTGGCAGACTTGGAGGCTTCC